GCTAGATGGATCATACTTATTGAGGGTGCAATAGATCACAACTTTTAGGAAGTTTCTATGGTGACGACAAGACTTCTAAATCTAACAATTCAGATCAACTCGAGAAGAAACTACTTTCACTCTTTGCCAAAATGACATAAATGTCCTCAAATAATCACAACCCTACACGTGTATTTCTACCCTCTCATGTAAACTCTTACATAGTTAAGCTGCCATTTAGGGGTAGAAAAACTTAACTTAGAATGCCTGACATTTTGTCAGCTCACATGAAATAGTATTAAGGTTTTGAATTAGATTTTGATATGTTTTGATTTATTTAAGTGTGGATTCAAAGCATAGATGCTTGGAGAAGCTACTTGAAGAGGAAACCACCTAGCCTTGGCGACGTATAAAGGCCCGAGGTAAGTTTATCCAAGTTCAACATGTTCTGTGTGTAATCAATTTGTTAGGTATTCGTAGGTTTGAGATAGAGTGGTTTATAACTTCGACTTCACTTTGAGAGTCTTTTATATGTGTATTCACCTCTCAATCATCGTCCACATCATTAATTTTCTATTTTCTTCCTTTTCTGATGACGAAAATTCTTTTTGTTCGTTGTCGTCCCTCTTTGAGCTCATTTGATTCAAATAGTCACAAAGTAACGCCTAATTCTCATTCCTTGTGGATCGACCTCGAGCTTACGACATTATTTACTTATTTTAGTATTTTTATTTAGTAAATTCATTATTACAAATATTTCTTTGATCAACTGATTTTGGGGTTTTTGACGACCCTCGATTTCATTCAATCAGAGTACTGAGTGATGACCTCAATAATGAAATAATAATTGCGGTATGAATTTAGGTATGGTCTTAAAAAAGATAAACCAAACTCACTTGAGTGTAGTCATCAATAAAGACAATGTAGTAGCAATAGCTCGAGATAGATAAAGTATGAGAGGGGCCCTAAACATCATGATGAATGAGGTCAAAGAGTTATGTAGATGAAATTCTATCTCGACTAGAGTATGAACTACAATGGTGTTTGCCTAATTGACATGACTAGCACACAAACTTATTAAGAGAAAGTCAAGACAAGATTTTTTTTGAAAATTTTCAAAATAAAGATGTCCTAAATGACGATGTCACAAAAGAGATGAAGTGGTCGTAGAGGAAATAAAAAAAGTCTAAAGGTCAAAAGAAAGTTCATCATAAATTAACTCCAAGACACCTTGTTTATTCTCATGTCTCAAATCAATCTTTCAGTGTACATATCCTAGAAGGTACAAAGAAAAGAAAAATATATAACAAAGCAAAGGATAACTCACGTGATGGTACTAATAGATAAGAGGTTAGTAGGAAATCCGAGAACATAGAAAACCTGGGTGAGAGGAATACTCAGGGTAACAATAGTATTGTCATGTTCGTTGATCGGACAAGTTCGACCATTGGCGATGGTAACTAGCAAATAATGAGGGGTAGGTTGGTATGATGATAAAATAGTGAGTGTGCCGGTCATATGAGTGGAGACTCTTGAGTTAATAATTCATGGTGAAGATGAAAATATAAAGAGAGTGTGTGTACCTGATGTGGAAGGATTCAAAAGCAAGGCCAGATTAGTTGAGGAATGAGCCATGGTATCACTAGAGCGGCGTAATGCTTCATACTCACTAGAGGTTAATGTCATTTGAAAAGTCAAAGAAGAAATACTAAGTAGTGTCGTTTAAGCTGGTGAAGCAAGCATGAGAGCCAGTTAGGCAAAGTTGGGCTTCTCGAACTATTTCCAACATTTGTTAGATAGGTGGCTCTACTCGTCGCAGTAGATGTATAGAGGAAAAGAATTGTGACCCCTCCCACGTGGTGGACAGCCACTATCTAATCTCAAAGTAAGAGGGTCATGTGACTTTCAAAGAGTGGAGATGATCATCGTTGAAAGAGTAAAGGTGTCACTTACTATAACAAAAGGAGTGTATGTACTCACATGAAGTGCAGCAGAGAAAATGTGAAATATATAGGAGACCTAGTCTCTAAATAGGATTTTCCTACGAATTTGAGAGATAATTGATGGGTGAAGTCTATGCATATAAACTTTGATAGTGTTTGAATATCCAAAGGTCAGTGGTCGAAGGCTGATATAGTTGGCAAGCTCCTATATCAGGGCTTGGAGATGACCAAAATAAGTCTTAAGTGAGAAGTCATCTTGCATGTAGGCAAGAAGTGACTTGAAGATCTCAATAGTGCAACTAATATTTGTCTCATTGACGTACATGTTCACCAATGTCATCCAAAGTTGTTGCACAAGGTGAATCTAAGTGAGAGGCTCGACAATACTTGACTCAATATTCTAAAGGATCCAAGTAAGGATGGCTGAATCGAGCTAAGACCATAAAGCAAAGGATGGATCAATGAGGACAGACGGATCAATTGACAAGTGGTAGAGAAGTTGTACAATTTCAAGAAGTGTTCGAATCCAAAGGCCCACAATCCAGAAGTCCATTAAAGACATATACCAATTGAATAAGTTGCACCATGATAGAGTGTCATAGAATAGCTGACTCGATTGGAGGAAGAGCAATAGCTGACTAAAGAACTAGCATAAGAGGACGTCCCTAGAGCCACGCAAGGCATTGAGAGGCAGCATGTAGGACAGCGTGGGGAGGTGACTATAGTCATTGCATGGGGCACTAGCAAGAGATGGTGCTGTCAAGCATACAAACATAGTCGCATGTCAGGCAGACATGCAAGATGGCATTAGGTAAGTGTCGAATAGGCATGTAGGTGTGTGTGCCAGGCGTGCAAGGCTACACATATTGGGCACCAGGTAGGCATGCAAGGCTACACATATTGGGCACCAAGTAGGCATGCAAGGCAACACTACAAGAGATTGCATTGGGAAAGGATAGGTGAGGCTGAGAGAAGAGGGGGAGTGGCAGCAGTAGAGAAACCCTACGGTTATGATACTATGTTGACAAGAGGAAGAGAAAATCTTAGAATTGATGTCTTGAAGAAGAAGAGTACATGAGGTTATATAAAAGAAGGAAAGAAAGAAAGAGAGAGAGAGAGAGAGAGAGAGAGAGAGAGAGAAGAGAAGTGGAGATTGTGGAAGAAGAATAGAGACATGAAGAGAATAAGTCTAAAATAGGCCTAGTGGGCCCAATGGGCCTATTCTAACACACAAAACTAATGTTACTTGTTGTAGAGTTTGAAAATAATTGATTCTTATTAGATTATGCTAACAATTATTTCATGACATTATATGACCCATAGGTCTTTTAATACATATTCTATAGCTATATCATACATGTAACGCAAGCATGGTGAGTACAACCTATAGCTAACCATCATTTATGATCCACTTTATACATTTTAACTTTAATTTTTTAGTAGCATAATTTTTGTGACTGAACATTGTAGTTAAGGATCAAGAGAGACAATCAATTTTGATGTCCTATAAAAGTTATGTGACAATACAAAATAAATCAATTAGTGCTTTCACCTCATATTGATAGTTGCAAGTTAATGTATTATTGTAATAAATGGTATTCTTGATAGACATTCCGGGGTGGAGAATGAAGAATATAATGTCACATCTAGTGAACCATGAGATTGATCCAATATTAAGTTAGAAGAAAAATGAATTCATCATTAATAGCTGCACATCTAATGAATCTAATGAACCTCATATGAGAAGTATTGATTGGTTCAAATATGTGAGCCTTAACCAATTCTAGGCTTCACCTAGTCTAAAATAAGAATATTGTGTGAGCCTTGTTTATGTGATCAAAGTAAGCACTTAATTTGAATCCTCTCACCCTGCATTGGTGAACTCAACATGTTCTCAATTAATGTCGATCGCAGGAGGCCTTACACATTCCCCTCTCCACCAACAAACATGATGCTCTCACATGCCTATATTTCCTTGATAATGGCCTCCACATTCTTTGATACTAAAAGTGCTGCCTATCTTACTCAAGCTTAGGCGTTTCCCTCTTGCAAGAACTTATGATGCACAAAATCATATCTCGCCCTGCTATGAAGAGTAAGGATGAAGAAATCCCTCATCCCAATGTCTACAATGTACTATTTTAAATTTTATATTTGAAATTTCTTAGGTTCCTCTATGTGAAAACACATGAATGAATATATAAATACTCTCCCTTTGATGAACCAAATCAAGGATTTCTTCTTTCTATTTTGTATGTCTTTCACACAAGCTAAAGCTTCAATTTGCATAGTTCCCTTTCATTGGATTTAGCATCAGGTCATAAATAGTTGTTGGCGGTGTCAGTCCATCACATCTAACCCATTCAGGAGACATGTAAGGGGTCTCCTCCCATCTGACCCATTTGGGGGACATGCAAAGAGTGGTGGGGTGTCACCTCATCCTTATTGACCTATTTCGAGGATTGTGTAAGTAGAGAGCAGGAAATGAGAGTGATTAGAAACCAATACTTCCAAGGTGTGGACATGCCCATACATAGGTCGAAAATATCTCATTTTTGGGCGGATGGCTACGTTTTCCTTTTTCTATAAATAGGGTATGTTTAATCTTCTTGGATCTCTTCCTCTCACTTGATTCTCATCTCTCTATTCATCAAATCTCTTCCTCTGTATCGAAAGAATTTACCCTCATAAAATAATCATCATTGTTTAGAAAATAATGCCGCAACAAGTTTATAGTGGATGTATCCTCCTCCCTTGGAGAAGCAAAGGAGTTGTGATAGGTCAACATTGAGGATACCCTGAACTGAACTGATGTGATCTCCTTATGGGTACGTTACCCGATGTGCCATCAAATGGTTTATACCCATTTACCTCCGTTGGACCCCAAGTTTGGCAGAACAGTCGCAGAAATCGAGTCACCTGGTTGGGTTGGATATCAGGACGACACAGTACCGCTAAAGGGTTTACGGTAGGCTAGGCATTCGTACAAACATCTTCCGTGCCACCTAAACGGCACCGCTCACACAGCCATCCATGATCAGCCGCGGCCAAGGTCCTCCTCCGAGATGATCCCCACTGTCATAGCACGCCACGCGAGGCCTCCCTCGCCCACGGCGGAAGGGGAGATTGAAATTGGAGAGGGAGGCCGGTGACAGGGTGCTCGAACATGAGGCTCTCGGCATGGAGGGCGTGGAAGTCGCACTCCTCCCCTTCCCATTCATGGACCCCGCCGTACTTGACGTCCCCTTTGATGGGCATTGCCAGGTACTGACAGTGCAATCGGATCTGATGCGTCCTCCCGCTCTCCGGGAGGGCCCTCACCAAGATCTCTCCAGGCTCCTCCCCGCCCTCCTCCGCCTCCGCCACCGCCTTCTCCACCGCCGCTACGGTTTCCTCCGCCCGCTCTGCCCGCACCTCTCTCCCGTCCAACGCCAGCAGTTCGAAGGAGGTGGCCATGTGCTTCACGCGGGATCCTCCCGGCAGCGTCCTGCCCACGTCGGCGGTGGAGTAGACCCGCCAAGCACCGAATCTCGACCTCCCGTGGCCGGAGCTGATGCGGATCCGGCCCCATACCGGCGCCCTCCCAATGCAGAGCGCGAGGTACGTCTTCTTCACTCTGTGCTCCGTGAAGGCTTCCACGAGCTTCGCCGCCGCTCTATGGGACTTGGTTATGATCATCAGCCCGCTGGTGTCCCTGTCGAGCCTGTTGGCCAGGTGGAGCTCCGCCTGCGGAGCCGGGAGAGTACTCTCACCGGAAGTTGTAGGAGAGGAGGGGGGCGCGAGAGCAGAATAGGAGGAGAGAAGAGCCTCACAGTAGACGCCGGAGGGCTTGTTGACCACCGCTAGCCACTCGTCCTCGAACACGATGTCGTCCCCGGTGAGGACAAAGAAAGATGACCTCGAGGCCGCCGACATGGCCCTCCGCAGCTCCACCTCCTTGGAGATCGCCGGGCACGGCGGAGAAAGCGGCGTAGGGTAGTTCTGCAGATCGAAGATCTCGCCTGAGACCTCCGCGCCGGCCATCGTGGCGGACGTGCGCCTGGGGAGGAGACGGGTGGTGGGTACTCGCCGGAGGATGGGAGGGCGAAGGGAGGAGGCGGCGGACGGGGTAAGGAGGGATAATATTTTGGGCATCGAAAACGACGCGGCCTGATCATCGACGATCAGAAATCTCCCGATTGGAGCAGAATAGCTAGATTTTTATACCCCCTCAAATACCGTTTCTCATATAATTTCAACTTTACGCGACGAAAATTCAGTCCCATCTCGGGTAATGCGAGGGGGAGAGATTAGATTTCCCATCTCAAATGGGGAGGCTGTTCTTCGTGATCTCGTCGCAGGTAGGAGACAAAATTCTTTATACAAACCATAATCGGTAAATAATTTTTTCTTAAAAAATCGTCGTATCTCGGGTCAGCACCTCTCCGCCAATCTGGCGGTGACGGATCGGAGCTTGGAGTAGACCTTCCCTGCCGGGGAGCCCAGGATCAGACTGCAGAGGGAGTCCCTGGCAACCTTGATGTTGACGAAGGAGCCGAGGATGTGGATCTTCCTGTCCGCGATGACGATCCTGGTGCGGGTGCAGTTCTCGATGGTGAACTTGGTCTTCCCCCCTTTGCCGGAGAGCCTGCCGATGGCCCTCTTCTCGTGCTCGCCGCGCAGCGTCTTCACGTCCTGGATCTCGAAGGACTCGACGTAGAGGTCGTCCAGGCGGAGGAGGGCGAGGGCGTCCGCGACGTCGAAGCCGAGCATGAAGGCGTGCACGAAGTCAGCGCACTTCTGCAGGTTGCCTACCTCCGGCGTGTCCCGTCTGGTCTTCAGTTCGACCTTCCGGGCCTAGAGAGTTACAAAAGCCAAGAACATCGATCAACAAAGCTCGGAATCTGGGCGAGAACATTCATTGCAGAACACTAAAAAACGGGTGGTGCGATGGGGGAAAAAAACTAGATGGTTGATAAATAGAGAGTGCATTAGAAAAATTCTTCCTTGGATAAAATAACGTGAAAGTGAAATCAGCTAATTGAGTGCAAGCACAAGAGGAGACGCATTCAAATCACAGGTGGGGGGAGTGAGACTTCATCTGCTACGCGAGGATTAATCAATTTGAACGTCGAGATGCGAAAAAAAAGAACAAAATAATTACAATTTCGAAACATGACTAACATCATTGCGTGGAGTAAATGTGTGACAGGTCCCCTAAATGGAAACACGATGAACGACGTGTTGAAAAAAACTAGAGGCTGCCAGTTGAATGGATTCATGTAGGCCGGGTGAAATCGAATGCTGTTCATAGATAGTTACGTCAACACTCTCTGGATCGGCCATGAGTGACATCCATGGTGCTCTTAACTTGGGAAACTACTGAAGTTACTCACTTCAGTAAAAAAAACTGTGGGATTAATCCAAGAAAAGATCACCTAGAGGTTCATGCGGATATCGAGTAAAAAAATGTGAAAATGAAATCAGCTCCATCGAGTGCAAGCACAAGAGGAAACGCATACAAATCACAGGAGGGGGGAGTGACACTTCATCTGCTACGCGACGATTAATCAATTTGAACGTCGAGATGCAAACAAAAGAACAAAATAATCAGAACTTCGAAAAAGATAAACGTGTCTAACATCCTTGCGCGGAGTAATGTGTGACAGGTTCCCTAAATGGAAACACGATGAACGACGTGTTGAAAAAAAACTAGAGGCTGCCAGTTGAATGGATTCATGTAGGCCGGGTGAAATCGAATGCTGTTCATAGATAGATACGTCAACACTCTTTGGATCGGCCACGAGAGACATTCATGGTGCTTTTAACTTGGGCAACTACTGCAGTTACTCACTCCAGTAAAAAAACCGTTAGATTAATCCAAGAAAAGATAACCTTGAGGTTCATGCGGATATCGATCTTCATTTGTTCGTAGACGGGGGTGTATATCTCCATCCAGTTCTTCTTCAGAGGAGAGTACCGGTGGGGAGGAACCGGTATCCTTCGAAACTCTACCTTCCCATCCATCTCCTGAGCCGAGAGAGCGGCGAACTTTGGCTTAGGAGGAAGCTTATCGACGCCGACTCCCGCAGATGAGTCGAGTTCCATGGAGGTCGGCGCTGCCAAAGACCGCCGATCACTGGTCACCTCCATTAACGATGGCTTACGACGATACTCCTGCAAGGAATGTTTGAAACACGCGCATTTCAGAGCATATGAGAACGGGAGAATAATCCCTAGGAAACTAAACTACGGATGAACTAATCCAACACCCCTGGCAACAACAAGACGCCGGCTGGTTCCTACAAACACCCCACTAGATTGGTTGGATTCCTCCGTGGAACGAATACAAAAGGTTACGAAGAAGATTGAAAATACCGGGCGACCATTCGATTAGAGAGAAGAACAAAAACCTTTAGGGCGGAATGCTCCTCTTTCCGGATGCCAATCAACGGATAAACCTGGTATACCAGAGGGAGAGAGGGAGGGAGGGGCCGAACCTGTCCCGAAGAGGATAGACTGGGAAGCAGCAAGCGGCGACGGGGAGAGACGCCCGACGAAAGGGAAGCAATAGTCAGGACTTCAGAACCCTGAAGTAGGGACGTTGGCGGCTGTGTTGGGGTCGCGACGGCGAAGGGGAATGAGGCCCGGAAGGTGTTAGGGTTTTGAGTCGATTCCCATCGATGGAGAGCCGCGCCCCCCTACCCCCCCACAATGGGCTCGCAAAAACCTGAAGCGGGGTAAGCCCAGGTTGGGGGCCTTGTCGAGCCCCAAGTCCGAAGACACGCCAATGAAAAATGGAGCGCCCAATATGGGCCCGCTTTCTATTTTGGGCTTCAAAACGGCTGACGCTACTTTGTAGATATATCCGTTTTGCATGTGATTCGACCCGCTTTAAGCCATCGAGAATAATTTCGTGTGTGATGCTCAATCTCCTCAAGCATAAAAGACATGGATCTGATGATCATGGTTTGCGATCAGCGAAACGAACCGATGATACAGAATGCCGCATCACAGGACGAGGGAGCGGTGTGACAGTCTACAAGTTATGTGGGCAGAGTCACGCATCGATGAAGCGGATGTCGAAGGTGTCGGGATGGATCTGCCAAATATTCAAGGCGGCATACTCCTCCAAGCACTCCTTCAGCTGGCCTTCGCTGTAGCCCTGTTGCGATCAGGATGCGCCAGTGCAAGGGGAATGATTAGTTTTCTCTCGGTGAAGCGGCGAAAGCACGAATTCACAGGGAATGTGGTTTACCTTCCGTGAAATCCAGTTCAGGGCGTGAGCATAGCTGATATCCGCGTCGGTCGTCCTCGCAGCTTCGTCTCTCAGAATAGAGTAGATATCAGAAATCGCGTCTAAACCTGATCTCTGGCGGTCGTCCGAGTACAGTGAGAACTTCGACATCTGCATTAACCTCAGGGCCTCGTCAACGTCGCTCTGCGCCACGGTTTCTGAGAACCGTAGCCTCGCCAGGGCCTGCCACCAGTCGATCGATTAACGAACTTGGTCAACCCGTGGACCTCGAGATTAATATTTTGCTACCTGAGGATGAGGAGCCAAAGCTACTGAGGGGAGAAGACTCACAATGGATATCCGGAGAATGCTGAGCAGCGTCCTGATGGTCGTGTAAGAATGAGGCGCGTTGGATTTGGCCTCATCCTGCCTGATGCTGGCGTATGCGGTGACAACATACTCCTCCAGATCTCGTGGGACGGAAGGAGAAATCCTTCTTGCAGCGGAGATGTATGCTCTGGATAGGAAGTTAAGAAACTATGCCGTCAATGTCGAGGATGATGGATGTCATCCACAGGAAATATCACATAAATCAAATAACGTCCGAAATCCTCAACATCAACACTTGAATAAATGCCTTCTGGGAGAAGGCAACTGAAGATAGATTTTGTCTTTTTGGAACTCAGTCATGTCGACAGTAGCTAAAATTATAGAACATTAGGAAGGTGGAGTGAGGTATTACCGAAGAACAGATGGTTCTAGTGGTGCGAATCCCAATGCAGGAGACTCGAGATTCTGGTGCACATAAACAACATGCCTCGCCAATTCAAGGTCACTATCCATGTCCGCACGATCTAGGATTAGCCATAGTAGGTCAAAACGTGATAAAAGTGCCGGTGGAAGGTTGATGTTCTCTGCAGGAGTTCTTCGAAGATCATAACGTCCCCTGAAGAATAATAATGAAGATAAATACTGTCAGACAAGGGAAAACACAATATTAAAAACATAATTTTCAATTAATACCAAGCAGGATTTGCAGCAGCAAGGATAGCAGTTCTTGCGTTCAGAGATGTGGTAATTCCAGCCTTAGCTATGCTCACTGTCTGCTGCTCCATTACTTCGTGTATTGCAGTCTTATCTGATTCTTCCATTTTGTCGAACTCGTCGATTGCACAGATACCCATATCTGCCAGCACCTATCACAGAAATTTTCAAGTCTTAACCCAAGAGTTTTAGCAACAGTTGCATAGCGTAAGTACCGTGAAATCTAAAAATGCCAAAGAATTAGAATCCTATCTCGATAGGAAATCTACATGATATGAACCGTTTCGTAGGAAATGTATAATTATATGAGTTTCAGACAAACATGCCCGTAAACATAAGCAAACGTGAAGGATTTCACGGAAGAAAAACTGTGACTGTCAATCGTCTCCAGGATAATATTTTCCATGGATATTCAATTAAATCAAAATGTAGAGAGGTGAGTATAACCAGAGCTCCTCCTTCGAGAACCATCTCGTTTGTGACAGGATCTCTCTGGACGGCTGCTGTTAAACCAACCCCGCTGCTCCCTTTGCCTGTTGTGTAGATCCCCCTCGGTGCTACATTGATTATATGTTTGAGAAGCTGACTCTTGGCAACTCCAGGATCTCCCATCAAACAAATATGCAAGTCTCCTCTAATCTGCAGGCAAAAAATGAAAAATAAAAAACACCATTTTGCGTAACTATTTCAAGAAAAATATTAACCAGAGCATTAGCTTTAAGAGAAAAATGATTTAACCGTCTCTGTCTCGGAGGCATGTACAAAAATTCGCAAGGCCAAAGTTAATAGATGCCTTTACTCTTACGATCCTCTATTGTAGGTCCATGAGATGCATTTGTGACAAGCGAAAGAAAGACAATGAAAGTAGTGCAAATTTCGAAAACAGTCCAAAAATCAACTAGAAGTTCTAGGGTAGACGGAATTTTTCTGTATTCATAAACCGTCGGCTAATTATCTTAAGTAGTTGCCGAGAAAATCCTCAGGGAATCTAGCTTTTTGATTTGTAATAGCAGATCCAAACGTTAAAAGACACACTCGAGCTAATTATATTCAAATCTCCGCAGAAAGAAAATACGTCAAACACAATCGCCCAACTTTAATCTTCCAAGTTTATTCTGAACCGAAGTACAATTCTAACTAGAATTTTTTTCCTAGTTAAATACCAAATTCAATGACCAAAATAGCTCAGAGCCTTCTGAGAGCCAATATCTCAGTCAGAAGCCCGTTAGATGAACACAGTAAGTATTAGAAAGCACCCATCATGTGTGATCAGGTGACTCGAAGGGGGCAAGGCTTTGTGATAATGGAGATATTCTATGATGGCTAGCACTGTGACTAACCGTTCAAAGATTTATTACCTTCATACCATCTTTCAGTTTCCGGTGAGGAGCACCAACGAGGAGAAGAAGTAGGGCCTTTTTTACATCGTCATGTCCAAATATTTCAGGAGCTAGTGACCGAGCTAACTTGTTGTATATGTCTCCATCCTCAGCCAGACGTTCAATCTGTTCCTGTTCATCACCTTTCAGCTCGTACCTGTACGTAGGGTAAATTAAAGATAGTCATTATGCGAGTTAAGGATCTGATTTCGTCGGGAATGTAGTTCATCCATTTCCACGTTAGAGGAATTGTAAGCTAAGCTTCATGCAAAGATGACGCTTCACTCAGAAGCTAACTAGATGATCTAGCCGACAGGGCAAGAAATTGTTGACTAAACTAACAATATCACCAATGTGTCTAACGATAATTTTCATTGGTGGTTGCTAGATACAGTTTCAGAGCCAAGAGATTTCAGACCGAGGTATTCCTTTTGATCGTTAGAGACAGCAATCATTTAACATCATGACTTACTCTTCGTATTTTTTCTTGAAATGGGTGACAGACATGGCCTCCAAAAATGTATCTGCAACCAAGCCTGCACGCATTGCCCTGAAGCCAAAGTATGGAATTGGGAGGAAAATGCCAGAGAATTCAACAACATCGCCTGGTGCAACCTGATGAAATCCCACGACAAAAAAAAAAATGGTAAAATGTCAACTATATTTAGAAAGAATAATTTCTCTTGGACACTAACAAACTCTGAAAATGAGGGCACACCTTCCTCGTGAGATCTCCTCTCAGATGAATTGTCATTGAACGTGGAATATGGCCCTTAGGAACATGCTCTGCTAGTTCTTGTATCTTAGCCTGTAAATAAATTTAAAAAAAAAGCATGTACAAGGTGAACGATATATAATAGCATATTAAAGGAACAAGGTACTGCAAGAAATTGTAGTCACTGCAGTAGGAAACGGTCTAACAAGCCCAATTACACTTTGAAATAGTCACCACTAATGCATGTTTCTTTGATGAATGAGGTGTACGCTCTTAATTCCCAATGCTACTCCTATTGTTATTGTTACAACTGGAACTGGCATCTTTCTTCAGAGGGGCCATTTCTTGCGGGAAAGCTTCACAATTAAATGAATGCGCTTGCATACTATTCTATTCCAGTGGGAAGTGTGAGACTCATTGAATTTCATTATCGTCTGCTAAGAGAATTCTACTTCCAGCAAGTGAAAAACATTGTGGAATTCGCATCCATTAAATACTCTCAGTGTCCCTTTGCTTATGGTATTACAACCTTAATTCTCATCGATTTTGGTGATACAGCAGGGCTGCACTGAAAAGGGAATATTTATAGATACAAACACTTCCATGTTTTTCAAATGGTTGTGCTTTTGACATACATGATTCTTTTAAGGGTTGTGTGCAACTTCACACGACCTTTTAAATAAATTCACATTTATCAAAAGACCTTTTGAACACTGTGCATGGCATTGCTTCATGCTCTGACTCTGGGCGGTATTACACAATTAGTGCACTTATGATCACAGTCCGTTAAACGGAGGCATTCCGCTACACAATAGCCACAAATAACAGCTGAGATGAAGATGCAGATCATTATCATCTCTTACCAAACGAAATGGTTGTTCAATTTGACTTCCGTCTGTTCTGAGATGGTATGAGAAGAAAAAGAGGTAAAGGAAGATGAGCCAAAAACGTTAAAATTGGGGTAAACACACTTTTAAATAGACGTTCTTTCTCAAAAACAATGTGCGCTCCTCTTTTTATAATTTATTAATACAAAAAATTGAAGTTTTCTTGTCGTTTAACATTCTTTAAATAGGTCAGATTGACGGCTGTGAAATGATTTTCAAGCGGGCACCCAATAGCAATAAGGTAAAGCATTGCTCAAGGGAAAATGCAATATGATACTTTTTTAGAAACGTAGAAAATTTACTTTATACAGTAATTCCACGCGTTCCTCAGTTCTAGAAGTTCCAGTGCATAATTGATAACAGGAATAGGAGTCTGATTCATGCCAGCAGTTAGTCCCATATCAATGAAGGGAATTTTAGTTACCTGATGATAAGACCCTAGTCTTGGCACTAGGACCACAAAAACCACCAGCGCCTACGTAAGGAAAATTATTATTCCTGTTTGACTTTGTTGGAAATTCCATAGTATCAATATCAGGCAATTGGATTATAAACGCAGACTGGTATTCTACTGAGAAAGATATATATATTTAATACTTACTGAAAATGGCACAATAATTCTCAGTAATTCAGGAAAGGTACCTCATTATCTACAACATAAATACGCACTTTCTCATAAAAGATTTAACCTCTATGCAAGCCGTTCCAATTTATCATACCTTAAATAAAACCAAGTAATGAATTTTAAGGTCCTCTTCACGAAGAAATAAATTACCTCTTGAAACTTCAGAAACTTTGAAGCTCTGAGCTGCAAGATAAGATTTCCCTTGGCTTTATTCAATTTGCACCGCTTTGATGGGCATTCAAAGAGGGGCATGAATACTCGAGAAGTTACTTCCTGTAACGTTTGCCAGCGAAAAAAGATATATAATTAGAGAAAGGACGCATAACATGAGGCTGTCCATGATAGGAAAGGTCTGATAAGGTTGTAGATACGAAAAAGAGAACAAGAATGGTGGCGGTCCCGCGTGTATGAGATTGCAAGGGAAACTAGTGCCGTTAAACAAAAATACCTGATAAACTGCCAACTAAGGATTTTAAAAAATATCATTGGCAGAAAACAGTAGTTGTTGATCTCAACAATTGTACCACTGGTAAATAGGAAAAGGAACTGATTGGCACCTGATATATTTCAAATCCACAATCTTCACAAGTATAAACAGCAACTTGCATCAATGGCTTAACATCTGAGCAGCGTGTTACTATCCCTGACAGTTTCACAAGCTGACCAATGTGGAAAGCCTTAACCTGTCGTATGGTGAGTGGTGCTCCCTTTGAAAACGCTTTTATGTAGACTTCACTGAAAAACAAAAACGGAAGCGAGCCCATCAAAGATTAATGTTAATAAGAAGCGCGGAAAATGATGGCAATTAGCATAATATTAATTAGTAGAAATAGTTTTATGTTCTCAATGCCATTGCTTGCGTTATTAATAACACCATTGAGTGGTGTGCAATGAAAACAGGAAATCAAATGCTAGACCACGCCATGAACATCTTAGTTAGAACAAGATTATTCATTTTTTAAAAAAATTACAAACCCATTACTGTACAGGAGAGATTACCTGATACACAGACAGGTTTGATGGGTTAAAACATGAACGAAAACAAATAAATTAGTTTTTGGAGAGCCCAAATTCACCTCCATCAAAAAACGAGAAAAAAGAGCAATCACATTTGTTTGGAGGAAAGTCAGGCACAATCTACAGCTTTTAATACGCTGCTTCGCTTGAGAAAAGACGAACAGCGGGAATTTATCAGAGGCTCTATTGGTACTACTAATAGATTCTCAGGCTAGACCAAACAAAGAACAAAAAGATAAAGTTATTGATACTACTAAAACCATAATCCTGAGCACTCAATCCATGGAAAGGGTCCAGAAGGATCCAGAGCAGCAATGAACAGGAGCTGGAAGAATTGAAACTGTTGCCACTTAACCAGGGACAAGTTTAGCGTGGGAATTAGACTGACAATATATCTAACCATTGCGCAGGCTTGGAAGAATAATTTGCTCACTAAAACAACTAAACATGAACAAGAAAGGTAGGCGAAACCAGCAGGTAATTTTACCCTGCAAACCAAACAATCAAAGAAAAAAAATCTTTACACAAGAGCTGAATATGCTTCGCGGTCAAACATTTTCTTTGCTCTCAACGATCCTTAGAAAATCTAAGGTCGTGTTGAAACTAAACTTCTACAGTGCAAATACGCCAATGTATAGACAGAGGAATTCAATGCAACACAAACATAAGCGGAGTGATACAAAATATAACACAGAAATGCACTAGAAATAGATGAATTCAACATCCCTATTGGTGTCATCATCAAGAACAGGATAATAGTTTCCATCGGGATCAATTTGGAGTTTATTTACTTATAAAATATTAAAAACCATCCGGCAAAATAGAAAGGCTTGCTTACTGATGGAAACAAGATTAAATGCAAAACAAAACGATATAGAAAGTGTGCAACACAAAGCACCGCACTAAACTAAGAACATAAGTGGAACAGGATAACTTGGAATCTTGCGGTAAAGAACGGTCTAGGAGAATAGGGCAAAGAAAGAATCTCTGAACCAGTCTAGTAAACACCTGGAAACCTCAATAGTAAAACTCAAATAGAAAACTCGAGGAAACGTCATGTATTAGGGTAAATATCAGATCAGGAGCCAATATCTTACAAGAATCGGTTGATCTCAGGTGGCATCCGCTGCAGCGGGTCTGAGTTTTCAGCACTGTCCATCCCATCCTCCGATCTCTGAGTCATCAAGATGTCATGGTCCTCATCCGCTGGCAACGCCTCCGTCGGAGGAGGAATGAGCTCATCAATGACTGATGAAAATATGCTCATATAGCGCCGTGTGTTCTCGGTAACTCGCTGCAAAAACTCCTCGTCCAAATCCTTATACTGCGGGGAACCAAAAAATCACCATACGATAGCGTCAATTTCGAATCTAAAAATGCACTAGTGCGCATTGTACTAGAGAGAATAGATTAGGCTCACATTGAAGAGATCGTCAAGTTCGATCTGGACGGATCGAACCCTGCGGTTGGCAACATCTTGCTGTTCAAAAGAAGCACGCGGGGATCTGATTAACCATTCGGCTGATTCGTGAGAAGCAATAAAATAGGCATATTGGGGGCAAACTGTAGTGCTCACGAGAATTTTGAGGTACTTCGGTTCCCCATGCGCGTCGGCGAAGTTTTTGAGGAAATCCCTGGCGAGGGCTGGGAGAGAGATTCACACACAGATAAGATGAGGAAGAGACAGACAGCGAGGGAAAGCGGCGAGATCAATGCCAAATAGCCGTACAGCGAAGAGATCCACGGAACGGAGATCGGCGGGCGACTCACCTTTGTCCGCCGCAAAGTCAAGGCTCTTCGTGGCCATCAGAGCTAGGGCTAAGGAGAGGCGTATGCTGTCCACCTGCGCGCCCAATTCCGCGCGAAGAGGTGGGAGTATGACTCCGAACAGTTTTGGCGGGAAGACTCTGCCCCCTTGCCCTCTGGCGGGAAAAGGCCGCGTGCCGTAGGGTTGCGGGCCCCAACGGAATTCACCTTGACGCCTTCCCCGTTGTGCCCGCGCCATCGATCAAACATTTTCCGAAAAATAAACTCTTCTTTTGCAAAATAAAAAGTATCGATAAAATGAGAAAATATCATATTTCCTTTCGTTGGGGCCCGTAACTCTTGATCCAGCTCCCGACGTTATAGCATTTTCGAAAAATAAACTCTTATTTTCTAAAATAAAAATATCGATAAAATGAGAAAAATAGCATATTTCGGTGCATCACCCAAAGTACCACTAGATACCTTTAAAGGGAGCAAAATGAGCAATTTTCCTCTACTGTCAACTTCAATATAACGTTAGATACATAATTTGTAACATTTTCGTAAAAAATGTCCTTTATACCTTTCAAAATCGGATATATATATAAATAAGGTATTGTTTAATTTCGTATTTTTTATCTATACTGAATATCCAAAGCAAATGGAAGGAAAAAAAATAACACGAGGACAAACAGGGCTGAAAAATAAAAATGAAAGAATATCACTTTGACGCTTCAGATCAAAATCTTTACATCGTCAGAGCCTGACGGTGCGGAAAATTTATCCAACGGCGGCGAACCTCTGCCCCCACCACCCCCCCGGTGATCCGAAACGTGGTGGGTTCCTTCAGGGGAGGGGAGAGGGTTGACCCGTCGAGACGGGTCTCCCATAAGTCAACGGGAAGGAAGAGCTTCCTTCGCGAGGAACGTTGCGTCGGCTGCTCCCACCCAACTGTGAAAGACGCTTACTTTCTCTAACAGCTGAAAGCTAGTTCAAATATCTGGCTGTAGGTATCCACAAAGTGGACGTCGAGCCCTTCCTTCACGTTCTCAGCGAGTTCATCGAAGTCCCGCCTGTTGGCCGACGGAAAGATGATGGTCTTCACGCCGCTCCTCCTCGCTGCTATCGTCTTCTCCTTGACCTGGTTGCAGAAGACCACAGGGTCAAAAAGATCGGCCGTATAGGGAAAGAAAATCCCTCTTCGTGGGGTAATTCGTTCTTCTGTATGTATTTGGCTATAATCCATTATATCCCATCATTAGAACCATGATCCTGCGGAGAATGCAGATCTCAAACGCATACACACGCACTGTACGCGTAGAACTGATGCAAGATGAAGAACAAAAGGAGACGGGAGAGGGAAGCTTACCCCGCCGATGGGGAGGATCCGCCCCGTCAAGGTCACTTCACCGGTCATGGCGAGGTCTCTCTTGACGGGCTTTCTCAAGGCGAGAGACAACATGGAGGTAATCATGGTGCAGCCAGCACTCGGCCCGTCTTTTGGGGTTGAACCGGCTGGAACATGGAGATGGATCTTGGTATTAGCGAAAAACGTGTTGTCCGGCTCCTTCTCGAGCAGAATTGCTCTGGCCAGGGTGTGGGCGATCTGGGCACTCTCCTTCATGACGTCGCCAAGCTGCCCAGTTAGATGAAGGGAGCCCTTCCCCTCTCCCTGTTCTACATGGGTCGTCTCGATGTACAGTGTCGAGCCGCCCATTGCAGTCCAAGCCAGCCCCATGACGACTCCCACTGGTGTCTGGTCGTATATCCGGTCAGCATGGAACACTGGTTTCCCAACAAAGTCAGCGAGGTTTGACTCGTCAACGATGACCTTCTCAAAAGCTTCATGGGTCAATGGAGATTCAGCATTTCCCGCAATGTCCTGCCATTTCAATTATTCATAATAAATAAGATCTAAAAGATCAGCTCTTTCACCAAAAGACCACTGAAAAAAAGGTGAAGAACTATGCAAAAAGGAGCCACAGACGAGGTTTATAATCCCCTTGAACTCAAGAAAATGCACCGGATGTGATGGTTTATTTTACCGAATAAACATGATGTTCAGAATGCTTGATCGTAATTCACTTGGCACATACCATAGAATCATCATCTCTGATCGGCTCAACTTGGGCATGAGGGAGATCCACAGTCGGAGGATTATCAACACTGGTTTGAGAATCTTCTGCCTCTGGCTTGGTCAACTCTGCTTCACCAGCTTTTTCAAGTGAAATAGCATCCGGATCTGCCGTTGTTCCAGCCGATTTTCCGACAATTTCTTCTGAATCAAGAGGCGTCTCATTTGACACTCCTTGACGAACAAGTTTCAGAGCAATCTGAAAAGGGGTGCCTCCAGTTTGTCACTTGAAGGGACACATTTTTTTCTAACAGTCGGAAAATTATTCATACTCTTTCTACGATCTGAAACAGAAAAGATAAGATATTTGGGCAGCAAATTCCCGACCTTACGGTATATCTTTTCAATATGTTTCTGTAGATTCCGGACACCTGCTTCCCTGCAATAATTCTCTATCAGCGACAGAAGAGCTGCATCTGTAACTTCAACCTGAAGAGATCAATTTTTAGGCAAGATCAACGTTCAGTCGCCCTAATCAGAGAAAACGGTGCATCATATTGTCAATACAGAGGACAGCGAGAGAGAGAGAGAGAGAGAGAGAGAGAGAGAGAGAGAGAGAGGACACGGAAACAAACAACTATTAGGATACAAATAAAAAGAATGACAAAAAAAAGGTTCATTAAAAAGAAAATAATGGGGTATTTCTAATAAGACAGAGCGTTGGAAGAAAAAATACAGCATGCGAAGCAGTTAAAAATGATGATCTACATAATTATACCTGCTCAGGCTTGATGCCACATGCTTCACGGGTAGTTTTCTCCAGATACTCCCTTGCAATATGGACCTTTTCATCAGTGATGTACCCAGCAAGGGCAATGACTTCCATTCTGTCCAGTAAGGGATTTGGTATCATCTCGATTACATTGGCCGTACAAACAAACAGGACCTGCATATAATACATAAAAAATGGTCAGAAAGTGGAGTAAAAGGAATTTATTTTTATTTTTTTTTGCGTAAAGTAAAAGAAATTCGAACGGATGTCACAGAACCCGCATCGGATCCCACTTAACCAACATGTGGCGATACATCAAGCATTTGCATATTCAAGAAGAATGAGGTTTTACTGTCAATTCACATTCTAGGCAACCTGACGGCATTCTTATTGAAGGCAACCTGAAAGAAGGATTCTTTGTTTGACAATAGCTATCCAGTATTTATTAAAATTACACTTTCTAAGAGTAAGAGCTTGAAGAATAAGCGTACTTGTCCATGACAGCCGTTAAAACAGGAGATTTATGAGGGGAATCCACAGAAAATTTGAGCAGAAACTTTCCTCCACCTTTGATACAAACATAACGGAAGTAGTGACTTGCGAGACCATACACGCATAACATGGTAAACGAGTTTGTCCATTACGTGGCAAAGGAAATATACTACTACATAAGCATTGATCACTCAAAAAAACCTCAAGGCAACGTCATACAGCAAGAGTACAAACAACAGAATCTTCCATGTCAGCAAGAAATTTTCACACGAACAAAAATGAAGAAAGAAATCAAGAAATTGTCAAGAACCACCCCACCTTGGATAGGTCAATAGGAACATCGAGATAATGGTCAAGAAAGTTTGCATTTTGCTCTGGATCAAGCAGCTCTAACAACGCACTGGCTGGATCACCAGCGTGTCCCCTGCCTAACTGCAGCATTGAAAAGAAGAAAACCATTAGTTAAGGCCATTTGGGTTCAATATGCAGTCTTGGATTCACCTTGATTGCATCAAATTATGTTCAAGATGAAGAGCCAAATAATATAGTTACCACAAAATGAATAATTTAAGTGCGCAGGTACCTTGTCAATCTCGTCAATTAGAACCAGAGGATTAGCTGTTCCTACGCTCTTCAGACATTGAACCATCTTTCCAGGCATAGCCCCAACATAGGTTCGACGATGACCCTGAAAATGAGTAAAATGCAAACAAACTTCTCTCATTCTTCTATAACCCAATATATAAGAAATTACATCAATGGCTCCATATTTCTTATAGTTCATAAAATTTCTGCTGGTGTGACTTTGCCTTGTGGATAAGAAGCGCTTATCACTGGTTCTGTGACATTGCATCCAATGTCCATTGGTTGGTTGTAATCATTATTGGATTTAAATTATTAATGCAGTTGGCGTAACATTTCACCCTTGCGCAATAAAATGGACTACAATACCTTAATTTCGGCGACATCTGCCAAGCCTCCAACAGAAAACCTATAAAAATTCCTATTCAAAGCGCGCGCAATCGACCTGCCTATACTGGTCTTGCCAACCCCAGGTGGCCCAGACAGACAAATAATTTTTCCTGCAAGAAACACAAACACCATGAAATAACAATGCCAGGGACCCAAGAGAATGGGGCCTCAAGAAACAAAATGATGTCCACTGGGGTTTCGTCACATTCTAGAAGAAGAAAGATGCAGACTTCCAGAATCAACTGTTTAAAAATTCAGAAAATTTTGGATTCCTATCCATACGTCAACACAAAAGAGATCAACCAATAGAACTATAATTTCCTGCGTATATCCCAAGATGTCTGTCTATGGATGACCGAGGCATGTAATCACCAAGATGGAGGGGGGAAAAGATGCCTGCCTTGGAGATCTATTTGTCACCTTGGATTCCGCAATCGAAAGATGATTGTTCATGAAGAATATCCAGGTCGTAAAAATTTGCACTTAAGGGCCCAACATAAATAAACAGTATACAAAGTATATTATTAAAATGGGATAAAACCTTGGGATTGAATGGCAACATGTACCCCCATCCTTCAGTAGAGCATTCAACTGTTGAAGAATGAAAACTATTCGGTTAATTATGATTTCCTTTTTCTGTTTCAGCAAGGACAAAATAGTGAATGAGAGTGCCATGTAATAAGAAAGGGGGTAATCCTACGCATGAGCCTCGAGTTTATAGCATAGCCGACACCATATTTGTATAGATTACTCAAGATCATAAGTAACAGATTTCCCTGATGCAGGGTTGGACCACTTTGTCTTCTCTCACATAACCACAGATAAATCATAAGAAATAAAAAGAATGAACGCCTATCTCTGGTTCACTCATCCCAAGCAAGGAGACAATTCAATTTCCGATTCCTGAGATGAGCATTATAACCTATAAACCCTCAGATATAACACCGAATAACTGAGTCTCGGAAATGATTGGTGAGCCAGAGAAAGAGAAGATGATCCAAAAAAATGTATCCACGAGATAAATACTACTGAAATAGCGGATAAATATAGGACCACTTGGTACTATTCAAATGACAAAACATTTTAATTTAAAAAATTAAGTTACTAGCACCCACGTTCTCTATCTCCCTACAATCTCAGCATAGTGAAATCAAGTTGGTCATCATTAACGCTTAGATAGCTGTCGAAACCCTTATTTGATTGCCCCAGACGACCCATCCTGGCACCAGCTCCAATTTTAGAAAACAAAAAAGAATAAGAGTCCCAGAAAAATGATGACCCAGTCAATTGATGATCCCAAAAAGGATTCTACTCCTGTCGTTGAGATATACCTTTGCACCGTAACCAGCATCATCACCTGAATACTGTTATTTCTTTCAGACAAAACGCACTCCAACGCATCAGCAGCATTAGCTGGTGTATGGAGTGCATTATGTTTATCAGAATGCACAGAGCTTCTCTCAAGATATAACGAGTCGACATGTCAGACCTTGTTAATATTTTAATAGGTTGAGAACGTACCTACTATTGACCATGTTCCCAACTCTGAGAGGCTATCATCATCAATGCATTTCACATATTCCCATCACATCCCCAACATTAGTTGCCCAACTAAGATTGTACCAGATGGATCTAACAACTACAATCTGAACAGAGACCAACCAGAAGAAACTGCCATTGAAAAGAACAAGAAAACAAGCTCTATAAAATGAAGAATCCCATAAATGGAAACCACTTCTCCACGCAGAGGCACACAGTTGACGACACAATGCCACAATATCATCGATCAAGTATGGTTAACTCTAACAACGTTACATCAAGCCAGCCTTCTTCCATTACATGATGGAAAGAAGATCTCAAGCTAAGCTTCTCGGAATGCAAATGAGAACAGCAGCCCACATCAGTGGAATGTCTAACGAAACCAAATACAGACAGTTTCCAGTCTGATAGATCAACTTATATTTCTATATACCATTTCCACCGCTATCAGAAATGTATAAATCATACTTATTTTAGACATGCAAGAATATAGGAGCAAGACAAGAAATAACAATCATACCTATTTTAGAATTATAGTTTCCATGGTGGTGTGACGAAAATAAAATCATTAAACTTGGAGAAAATAATGCAGAAGCTATGTTTAATCCAAGCATCCTATGGCATATACTCATCGGAATATCTAGATGCCCTCTTGTAAGACAAACATGTCATCGACAACTTCAGAAACTCATCAAAACCTGAACTGTTCAGATTACCAAAGAAAGTGCTGTACGAGTAGAATAAGGGAGAGTGGCTCGATCAACAAAAAATAGCAGCAGCGCCACCCTAGAACCTGGTGGAGCCGTTTTTCATTATGAAAGGCGTCAAGTGGAAGTGCAGTGGTGTACGGAGCCGAGGCATCTAAACGAACCAAGAGATTTTAAACTTTGTTTGTACATGACCTGATCAATTTGATCAGGCACCCACACCATCTATTTTCATCTTACAACTATTTGGCAACACAAAAAAGAAAAAAAACGAAAGATCTGCCCTCCCTTTCTATCTATCCAAAGGATGGAAGGGAAGAGTTTAACCAAGAAACGGGGCCTCACAATCAGTTGCCGACATGATATGCTTTTCTCTCATGTTTCTCTTCGTTCAAGGTTCAACATCCTGGTATCCTAGGCATAGAGGAACCACACCAATCCATCCCAAACATGCTGGTTAAACTCTACAGCACTGACAATACAGAAGGGGAGGTCATGCGGAAAATAGCTCAACACCAGAACAACCAAAAACTTAACACCTCATATTTATAGACAGGTACTTGGGTCTTATTCAAAACTCCAATCACAACATCTCGTCTTATCTGGACAATAAAATGCCATGAGAGAGTTAAACACATTTACCAAACAAGTAAACATCCAAATGTCTAAAACCCAGAATCGATGCAAGGAAGCAGACGGCCAATAATGATTACAAAGACACAGTGGGAATAAAGTAAGCAGATGATCATCCTACACAAATTCGAAATAGTTGACAATGTAATGGCTTCGTATCCTTTTTAGAACAATGTAAACTGGAAAAAAATTAAAAATTGGTTTGAGAGACGGAAAGATCATCTAACCTTGTGAACTTCCTCGAAGTTTTCCCACAGCTATAAACTCCAGTATTCTCTCCTTTACATCAGAGAGACCATAATGGTCTTCGTCCAAGATCTTTTGAGCATGATGAACATCAAAATTTTCATCACTGCATTCAAGTATAATTGAGAAGATCAAAACATTTATTTCCAGGTAAACCATAACCACTAGTTACAAAAGTTTTTTTTCAAACTTTTTTTTGGAACATCTTTGGAAAGGTAGCATTAGCTTAAAGATTAACTTATCAGGCTTCTCCATTTTGAATGAAAGAAGAATGAATTGACTTGGCCTATAGAAGAAGTTCGTGAACATTAAAAATAAAAAAGGAGTCAGCACAAACCTATAGTTCCCCCAAGGCAATGCGGTAAGCCAATCAAGATAATTACGTGTCACATTGAACTCACTGGAACTAGCTTCCAGCAACTGTAATTTTGTGAGCTCTTCTTCAATTACTTGTAGAACATGTGGAGGACATCTTTCCTTGTTTGCTTCAAGTCTTTGCCTAAACTTTGCTGCAAAAAGAGGAAATTATTTATGTTTAGTCATACAAGCATATTTTACAAAAACATATTAGATGATATAAAGCCAAAAGTAAGCATCCAGAACCAACCAGAAAGTGCTGTTTTGTCATCTGTCTCCACACCCAACTCCTGAATCAGGAAAGAAGTTAAATTCTATCACAGCATTATGTACTGTGAAAAAATAGTTAACCAACAACAAAATATGCATTCCAATCCAGTTTTGTCAACTTTCAACGTGTTAAGCAGTCATAAGTCGAAACATTTAGAATTGAATAGGCTATAGGTACCTTTTTAATTGCTTTAAGTTGCTCATTCAACAAGAAGCGGCGCTGCTCCCCACTTATTTTTTCTTCAATTGCTTTTGCAATTGATTCCTACAATTAAACAGAGAAAGGAGAAAACATGCCATTCTCCTGGTTTCTGATTATAGTCTAAGCAAGAAAGAAACTATAACATAAAATTCAAAATATTGCATATACCTGTAGCCTGCTTATTTCCATCTCCTTCTTTACTAATTCTAGAGTCAGCTTCAAGCGCTTGTAAACCTGATGAGCAAAATATTACAAGATCAATCAATCAGAAATCACAATACGTCGGCCTCAGGACACAGCCTCGATGTCACTCATAAGAGATTTGACAAGAAGTTGACAGTCTACCTATCAAGTTAACCGAGCACCAAGCCTTTCCAATTAAGTAAGAATGCGTAGGGGAAAAATGAACAGAAGAATTTTCAAATTAAACCGTGCAACACAACCAGAAAAACTCAATGATGGCTTGCCCAACTGATTCATAATCCTGTCAACACAAAAAAGTTGACTCTGTTTACTGGGGCAATTAGGCCAGTATATAGTGAGGCTAACCTGAATCCCAGCATATTACATATCTCACGATACAGATCCTGGCCGTAATGGAACAAGCAAAGCAAACTTGAGGCCTGACTCGCAGCACATAGATGAGGTGACCGTGATTTCAGATTGACAAGAAAAATAGAAATTCCTGAATCCCATGTGCGATCCCTTGTCATGAACTTCACTTTTTTATTCTAAATACATGAGACAAGCCAAACATACAAGAAAGATTATTCAGAGCTGGCCTGTCAGATAAATACAAGAAGATTTAATATGACAAACCCAGCAGAGACTGGCCAGGCCAGGTAATTTACAGATGACCGCAATAGTTGACACCCCTTTTTTATACAGATTTGCATGAGCCAAAGATTTAGTCCTCAGGAAAGGACTTAAATGGCAAGACAACAGGAGAGAAGATTTGCCCAACTCAGGCAAAGGTGAACCATCATGATAAGACCAGAAGTCAAACAAATGGAGCATAATTAGAATTGTCAAAGTTGAGTCTCATGCAGGTAATGACACTACCAAGGGACAGGAAACTATATTTCAAGTAAAGAATGGCATTGGGAAGATAGATGGCTTTCATGATACACTCTAGCAAAAACAAAGAAAATATCGAAGGACAGAAAAAACGGTAAAGCAAAGTCTGAGCAGGTGGTGAAGATGGTAACCGCCACTAGAAGAGGCCTCACGAAAGGAGAGTCCAATGAATTATTTTTGTTGCAGCAGCAACGTATCAATGTGAAATGAAAACCAAAACCGGGATATTCACTGTTGTTAACAACTACACCAAAAGGCTTAAAGAATGGTCTGGGCAACTGCCTTCCTTTAAAGGTTAGGATCTTCTTTACAAAGTTAAAGCACCAAAAGGCGGCAACAGGCACCCAACCCAACTGAGGAAGATACAACAAACTATTGAGATTTCACACTTAGTAGTGGCTTAAAGACAAAGGCTGTGGATCCTTTATCAGTGGATAATCATTCCGGAGATTAACTTTGGACACCTATTGGCTCACAATAGGCATCAAATGAAGGAATATGGAATGCATAATTAATAAACTGACTGGTGGCAGAATTTGCCGACGAAACCATATATGGTTTTACTGCTCATTCCACGGACGTTCTTTGGCTGGTCCAGAGGGTAAGGAATAAGAGGGGACAGCACACATTATTTCTTGATGTTGTCAAGACCATTGTCAGCTACACAATCAGTTTGGTGACTGTAGCCAACATTCGAAGCCACATTACTTTAGGATGGTTCCTTCTTAAATTTTGCCATGAAAAGCAATATAAACTTTGAGACATCTGCTTGCATAACACCTTGACGAAGTAGATTCCTGTATTCCTTTTCTGTCCCTACACCCCAAGAACCTTGTAAAGTAATCCATTTTAAATGAAATAAGGTATGATCAACTTCTAGAAGATAAAACTCCTCACAGGTTCAGGATGAGTTCATTCCGTATAATTTTTAAGACCTCTTCTTCCCAACGAAAAATGTTAATAGATCTCATTTTATGTTTGAAATTTTCATCAAGCATCTCCACATTAAACAAATATATGAAAATAAATTATATCTTATAAGAGAAGAAGAATATTAGATAACTCAATATTATTCCATATGAATGAAAAAATTGCATACAGAAAATGAATTCTGAGTGCTTTCTTCTCACATCAAGTTCTTGTAGGACTTCCTGACAAAGGAATTTGTTTGCCCCAGAAATAGCTGCCCCAAAATCTGCTAGCCTTGAATAGTTGAAATCACCAATGTGCTGCAATCACCAAGAAGAATAAGGTCTCAGAGGATTTACAGAGTCACAATAGGCAGAGGAGTATCGTTGACCATGAGGCATAAGACCATCAGCTGGCGCAAAAATGTTTAACTGGGTGATTGAAGGAATTAAATCTCTCTTCTCTGGTTACACAGAATCATGCCTTAGAAAGAAACGATGTGCAAGTATATGATAAAGAGTACCCATCATTTAAATCGTTCAGGATCCAAAAGAAACAAACACAATCAAAATCATGTATTTATAAAAAACTTTTGCAAAGTATCAATCAATCTGCCATATGATGACCTCACCGATTCTGTCACATAATTAGAAAGCCCAAAGGCAACTGGATAGTGCACCATCCAATTGTACAGTCTCTGCCGTGACCGAATATTCAAAGTGGAGACAGACCTCCATAAACCTCTATTTACCAACATCAACATCCCATACACCAATATAGTCACATAGATCGCAAAAAGATCAGACGCAAGTTTGCACAATAATACATGTTAGCAGCGGACGAACAGCAATCATCTGAAAAATACATGAAACATCTCCAGGGTAATTTTTAAGCACACTTTCGTGTATCAGAATGCTAAGAACCTTAAAGAAAAGGCAGCAAGCTCAACCTGCTAGTAAATATATTAAATAAAAAAACAGAAAATTCTATATAATTCCATGTATAGTATTTTTCAGGTTTAGTTTCAGTAGCAAACGGACAAATAAGACAATTATTATGTGCCAAGAAGCTCATTAAAAGATACTGAATAAAGCACGTTTTCAGGAGAAATAACTTACCATTACCTATTCCCTAACTTCAAATTTACGGAACTAGAGGAAGATCCGCAAAAACCAGGCATTACACATCTTACACAACGGAAATGCCTCATTACCATGACAGATCTTTATAGCAATTTAGCCATTGGTGAAAAGATTCACACAATTGGCAATAGCTTACATGATAAGATTGTCAAGAAGCCTCTTGTGCCTATAATATTTTACCCATGTAACCTGAATTCAAATTTGTTTAGCACATCGAGACAAGTAAGCCATATTAATCCAAAGTTGAGGTAAGTTGTCTTCTCCAATTGACTGAAAGTTTAATGGCTCCGATTTTTTTCTTAAATTTAAGGCATAGTAGAATATGATAAACAGGTTTTGGAACAAAACTTTTTTATGTGAATGTGGGAAAAGACAAAGAAGAGTTCCAACAAACACCAAAATAATTAAAAACCTCAAAATAACTCAGAAGGAGTCAATAGAGAAACACAAATCAATATCAAATAGAATACTGGAAGGCTAACCTGAGTATATGTTTGCACATGATCTCTCCAGAGAGAACTCGTTTTTAGTACATCTCTCAGAGTGGATATAACTTCAAATGACGTTGCCTTGATAATATCATCATCTTTATCATAAGGTAAATCCTGTAAAAGAATCAGTGGAAGAATGTAAATGCAGATTTAAGCATTATCACGTCTTCCTCATAGAAAAATATGGTAAATATTGATGAAATCGCAAAGATGTCAGTGTATGTTTTTCTGAGATTAGGAGAAAACAAGTTGAATGAAAGTTACAGCAAAAGACCAAATGTAACGAGAAGAGAACGGATACCTCCAGAAATCATGCAGGTAATCCCCAAGGAAACGGGAAATAAGTGGAACAAAAAAAAAACAAAAAAAGTACAGACCACAACAAATTCGCATGATTGAAAGATAGATATAGCGGCTCTCCTCATGATAAACACCTCGAAAAGCAAAGTGTCACAATAATATCAATCCGCCATTCCTTAAAAGCCATTCATATCAAGCAATTGCATCATATATATTCCGCAAATTTAGAGAAATGCAGGGCGGACAGAAATTAGTAGCATGAGACATCAGATGGCCAGCTTCTATGGTAAGGAAGCCTATATGATGGACTCACATCCAATCTTCAAACAAAGAATAAATTAGAGGAGAATTGCATGCCTTCAGATGATCAACTTTGACAGTAAGGGGTTCCTCGTCAACCTGCGTGATTGTAAATTTGTAAGGAATCAGAACAAAAATTTCATAATACTAATCATGACAAACTCACATGATAATACAGATGTGAACTCACCATCTCAGTTATACGCAACCTACGATGACCAATCAACACAACTTGTTCCCCTTGGATGCTGGTTATCTAATATTTCAAAAATCAATATAATGAAAATAACAGCAGAATATGGATTGTTCGTACCAGTCATATACAAGGCAGAATTCATACCTGTGCCAGTGTACCCACTTCATGAAGACGATTGAATAAATCCTTTCCTTTCAGATCGTAAATACTTTTTTCTGGCTCTGTACTATCTGTGCCAGGTTCGTCTTTAAGAAGAAAAGCCCCTGCATATGGTGCAGATCTTTTACGGTTTTCCACCAGAGCTTGCAACAATTTAGGGTCCTGAAAGAAGAAAAAAATTATAGATGCATAAAGATACAAATCTATTAATAATAGGAGGTAAATGGACGCTTCAATCCCACCACCATTCACAACCAGCGGTTCAAAAGAATGCAAACAATTTGATCATAGTTCATGGCTAAAAAGCATCATATTTTTAAGTTTGACAAAGGAGGCAACAACAATGTAGTGCGTACAAATATGACTGATGATGGTTTCTCGATATAAATATGCTTTTAAGAAAATAAAATTATACCCAACAGTCAGCTCATTGGATTTCTTCCAAAAGCAAGAATGAAAAATCATTCTTTCGTAAAAAAAATATCCTTTTCAATTTAATGCGAGTTATATGTGGTACGCTTAAGAGAACCCATGTGGTTACGAATTTCCTTCCTTCTCCTACCTGAATCCCATTCCCAAAGAGGAGACAGAGAAGATGTGAGAGAAAGAAAGACCCCAGAAGATGTAGGCTGACCCCCTACACTCGCTGGTCGCTCTTCTGACGTGACACCATAAAAATGAATGTTTCAGATCAGTCTACTAAAGATCATTATATACGCAGAACATATGTTTCACTTATCTTTCCCCTCATCCATAAAGCTTCTCTGCACCTTTCAGATCATTATATAATGAAAAGATGAGAAGAATGCAAATGAAAATAACAACTTCATATAATTTCATGTAATAATAGCAATAAAGATACTAAGGTTGAATTTGAGCAGACCAAACTGAAACTGAGTTCAAAAACCATACGTGATAGTTTCCATAGGTAAAATGTCAAAATAAAGTATGGGCTTGGTTACAGTAAGAAGACAAAATGGCCAACAAAGAGCAACACCATCACAAAAAAAATATACATTTCTGAACCCACAGATCATTCTTCTGAGTAGCCAGTGATTAGAGATATGTACAGATGCGAATTATCATACAAATACCGTCTTGTAATGAAGTTTTATACAGTAATGAATTCTTTCGTACTCACAGAGAGAGAGAGAGAGAGAGAGAGAGAGAGAGAGAGATTTTGAATTTTCACTGCAAAGAAAAACATCATACCTTCACATAGATTGGCATGTAGAAACCAGGAAATAATGGTCGATGTGGCAAGGGTAATGCAATAACCTGCATCATACGAACAAGTGGCAAGGACAGTGAGCACAGTGCAACCTGATACAACAGACTGTTTGTATATGTTCAAGATATAAACAAGGGACTCTGCTTTTCTGATCTATCACCTCATATTTGAGTAATAGTCATAGTTAGGGTCGAGCATCGACCTTTACAGGATCTCTATCTACATTTCGCACCAACAACGGACGATAACTCTAGACTAGGGATAATACGGGTTCCAGTTAATTGAATAGTGCAATACAATTCGCTGACGTAGATCAGTTCTCAGGCCTATGAAGAGATGAAAATGAGGGAGCGAGCACCATTTTGTAAGAAAACAAACTCTTGAGTTAAGCATTACGAGCGAGCGACAACTTTATTCCGTGACGAAAGACTACTCACCGACAAATGATCCTCGGGGCGGGGATTCGTGGGAACGATAGCAGACGAGGGTTCTACCGGCTGCTCCGGATCACCACCGGATTCAGAGGAGAAGAACGCCCTACCGCACAGTGAGGAATCCGTGCAGCTGGGTTTGCCAAGCGAACCCAGAATGCGAAGCAAAGGGAATATCTTCTCCCCTCTAAAGCAGAGACTTCCCGATTGCATCGCGGGTAGACCCTGCAGCCGACCCTGTAACCTGCTTGGTGAAAGTGCCCTCAGCATAGTCGCCATTAATTCCTTCGGAGGAAACCCAACTTTTGACTGAATGAGCCTGGTTCTTGCTCAATTCCCGCCCCTTCTTGTCACTCTTTCCATCGTCGTCGTGGAAAACGAATGGCAACTACGAAATGAACTGCAAGCTCCGCCTTCGAAAATGAGATGAGCGGCGGGAAAGTAGCAAGGTAACACCCACGGTACAGGAACCCTGCACGCTAAATAATAGTCAACACCCAAACAAGTCGCTCCATCCACAACAGGAAGGGACGCTTCGGGAATCAGATGATGACGGAGGGAACTACACGGTAGAAAAACCCTTCCTTTATCAACTGAGCTCACTCTGAAGCTTCTTGGACTAGTTTCTTGCATCACAAGTTTCGAACTCTCCCTGACATCCCGTTTGGAACCTCCATCGGTGGGCATTAACAGCCCAGTAGCCCATTAAATCCAGCATTCTAGGCCCATTAGACCCGGACTGTCCCGAATAGATAGGAAGAGGGAGTCAACGTGCTAAGCTGGCTTCGTACGCACGTTGAGTCTAAAGTGAGAGAGAGAGAGAGAGAGAGAGAGAGAGAGAGAGAGAGAGAGAGAGATGAACCAGTGCATTGATGAGAACTAGATATAGTGGGACTATATAGTACACGAGGTAAATACCAGACGGACCAAGTTAACAGACCCTTAGGATATTCATAAATATCAGGAGAATGTTGTCCCCGTCTCTTCCAATGGTGTTGACGTTCGTTGACGCTGACAGCGAGAGTGAACGAAAGCCCCACCCGTCGTCCTACTCTCCGTTCATTACGCTGAGCGGATAAGATGAGATACCGAGCTCCGCCCTCGAAGACAGAGTAAACCAAAGTCAACGATTTGACGATCTCAGTTAAAACCATGCAAGTGGAAGAAGGCGGGAACGATAAGACGAACCGAGTCCCTGCCCATCTCCGACCGCCGCCGCGGGAGAAGATAGGCCTTGCCGAAGGTCAACGTCTAGGATGACTCCCTGGCAACGCGAATTTTTTCCTTAAAAGAATCCCGCCGCCCACGGATTTTGATTCTCCGAATTGAATTGTGGGATGGTGCATCGGACTGGTGGGAGACGAGGAAAATTCCGGCGGCTTCAGCCTCGTCTACGGAAAGAACAGAAGCTTCCAATGGATAAGCTCGCCGGCCATGTCTCACGGATCAAGACTGCAGCTTCCTGCTGCTGCTTTTTGTGACCTTTGATTGACCGAGGGCGGCGGATTATCCTTGGAGGAAATCGAAGTGAGTTTCCTAGCACCTGGATCAGCCTCGGTTTGGTCAAATCTCACGTGCCGCAGATCGTGAGAGACTTTCGGACTTTTGACTCGCAGAAGACCGGCGGCTAATTTTATCACTATAACGCCTCCGGAGAGAGCCCCCCGCAACGTGGAAAGAATGGCCCGCCAACCCCTTCTATCTCTCTCTCTCTCTCACGGCACACCCATTGGAGCCGACAGTTTCTAAGAGAATTCTAGAGAGAGAGGAGAGCGAAGGCCGCAGCTTCTCGCAACCGACTCCCAGCTCTGCCTCCCTCCCTTTCTCTCTCTCGGTTTTCCTTCAGCAAATGCTACACCTGGCCGATTTTCCTTTATGGTTCTAGAGAGGGAGAGAGAAAGAGAGCGGAGAGAGAACTGAAAGGCAGTTTCTCAAAGCTGACCCTCGTTTCTCTCTCTCTCTCGACGCAACCAAACGATCCAGCGGGCGGATTTTCCTTGAAAATTAAAGCGAGAGATACTGGGAGGGGGCCAGAAAACCAGTTTGTCGCCGCCGACGGTCATCTCTCTCTCTCTCTAAAAGATGTTAGGTAGATGGGGGAGTAGCAGTGCAAGACGTCCACTTGCCCCAACAAAGGCAGCGGGCGGTAAGGAGCCCGTTGACTTGACGTCAGACTTCAAGACACAATTTAATATATCAGCTTTTCGTGACGGGATCCGAAGTGCGAGTCCACGCACATGCACCATGAGGCCCCCGCGGAAGCCCATTACCTTAACCCGTGACGGCTGACGTGCAAATGGGCCCACCATTGGGCCAAAGTAAATGCTGCCCCATGCTAGTGGGGCCCACAGCCCTACGAACGACCCACACGGGTGGAGCTTATGAACCCTGCTCCAGCATCGTCATCACGTACGTCATCACGGACGTCGCCATCGAATGCCCAGTCTGGAAGCCGCTCGCGAAATAAACCCTTTGATCGGTCTCTTCCTACGAAACGGGAGAAGCTTCCTTGCTCGAATTGACACTTTTCCTGGACGGAATATGCTTTTATCACCGGAATATCTTTTTAATATTCCCCGTACGACAAAAGAAGGGCGCCCCCCAGCTGTCCGCCCTCCGCCAGCCACCGAGTCGGTCGAGTGGATAAGGAGAGGTAAGCAGAAGCCCATAGGAAAGAGAAGCCCGGGGTTTTCTCCACGTCCTCCATCTATAAATACCCCTCTGCCTCCTCATCCTCGAAACCTCCTCCACTTCTGAACTTGTAGCGCTCTCTACCCCGCCATTCCCTCCCTTTCTTCAGACGCCCGCTCTGGGTCTTCCTCTGCTTCTGCTTCGGTTGATCTTCTGGTTGTTTCTTTCTGCGCGATTTTCGTCCTCGCTTGACGAATCGGAGAAGACGGTCGGCACCCTGTCGATGGAGTTGCCGCGAAATCTCGCCGGAAAAGTCCCCTTCTAGCATATATGAGCTTCTCCACTGTCCGGCGGCGCATCCGCATCCTCCACTCCTTCTCAGTCGTGTTCCTCTACTGGTTCTACGCGATTTCGTGAGCTGACCTGCTCCTCGCGGCTCGTCAACCTCCTCCGCATCCCTTGCTGATCCGGATCCACCAGCTTTGAAACCTAATCAATCTGCTGGAGAAGAGGGATAATCCCATCACTAATAAAAGCCGCCGATAAGTAGTAGACAAGAAGGAAAAGGGTAATGTCTTCTTCCTCGACGGGGAAGCCGACCTCCTCTGGTTCTGAGTCCGATCCGCAGGCGACGGTGGACCAGAGGAAGCGCCGGCGGATGGAGTCGAACCGGGAGTCGGCGAGGCGGTCCCGGATGAGGAAGCAGCAGCACCTGGACGAGCTGATCAAGCAGGCGGCCCAACTCGATGAGGAGAACGCCCGGATCGTCGTGCAGATCGACGCGTACGCGCAGCAGTTCGCCAAGCTCGACTTGGAGAACGCCATCCTCGGCGCGCGGGTGATGGAGCTGACGGAGAGGCTGCAGTCGCTCAACTCGGTGCTCTACATGGTCGAAGAGTTCAGCGGCGTGGCCATGGACATCCCCGAGATTCCCGATCCGCTCCTGAAGCCATGGCAGCTCCCCTGCCCGTCGCAGGCGATCACCGCCTCCGCTGACATTTTACCGTACTGAGAAGCTTAGCTTGGGCTGGCCGCCGGCGTTGATCCTTCCAGAATAGGTGTAGTCTGTCTGCGTCCCCCGTTGGTCTCGTCTCTCTTTCTGGGATCTGTGAATACACCACCTGATTTCTGATTCCTTCCGTCGCGTCGTCCCAATGATTCCACTTCTCCGGTGGATTTGTTATCCGTCTGTTGAATTGAAAGTGTCGAGTAGTCCACATTTCTGTCTCAGATTGTGCTCAAATGATGCCATTCATTCCAACGATAATCTCAGCAAGCATGCTACTGATCGAAGCTTAGAAGAAGACGAAGGTCGTCAAAGCGGGCTACTACCGCTGCTCATATCCCAGAAGCTGACTTCGAGCTCAAGAACTCGCTCGAATGCAGCTTCAGCATTCTTCTGGATACCCGCCTGGGCCATCTCCAAGCGTCTCTCGGCTATTCTCCTAAGGGAGTCACAGTAGCCCCTGAAGCCGGCATTACCCCATCTCTGGCAGGTCTCCATTAGCTCCGGTGGAGTCTTGGAGCCATCCTCGAGGCACAGGGAGAAACTTTCCTGGTACACAGTCTCGATAGCCCACAAGGCCACCATTGTGGTGGTGTAGTCGGCCTCTGGTTCTTCCAGGCTCCGAAGAAACCTGCAATTGGAGGCATGGTATCACAGGGATCATCGTCGGCAATGAATACTGGACATTTCGAGATATTCATTACCTGCAGTAGTCCTGGTTTGCCCTTCGAGGAATGATATCAAGTAAGGGCAGGCCCCATTTGAAAGCTTCCGTTCTGAACCAGGACAGCTCCTCATAAAGAGAAGCCATGCCGCCGAGGATGGTCTCCATGTCCGTCTCGTCATCTGATTCCCTGCTGGCCTTCAACAGAACGCTTGCCACGAAGGGAACAAATCCCCTCACAAAAACGTAGTCTTGTTCCTGTTCTTTGCAGGTGATGTTAGTTTCAGCCTTCGGAGCTTGCTCTCGATAAAAAAGGAAACTTTGACAGATAAAGGACAAAATAACTTGAAGAAGGAAAGGGGTAGCTTACAGATGCACTTCGCTCTCACTTAATGAGGTAAAACCTTACCATTTCGCTCTCTATTATCCCAATTTTAAATGCGACAACTGTGCACTCGAATCAAGGCATGTAGATGAGCTCGCAGTTCTTCTATAAGAATGAAACTAGACAGGGGATACTGGAAACTGAATGGAGACACTGGATGAATAGCTGGTGGTTAGGACAGCATTCAAAAGCTACTTTCCTTTTCTTTTCTTCATATCCAGATCAGAAGCCCACTGGGCAAAGCTTCAAGAATGAGTCTCACATAGGGCCCAGAGTGTGGGCAAACCCAAGCCTAGTTTTGACCAGACACAAGCCATACAAGAGAAATCTTCAAGAAACGTTCGCCATGCAGAAATATTTTTTTGTTAAATGGTCTGCAAAACACCCAATCAACAATCTCTGAATGTCTTTGGCTGGTGATTTAAAGAACCAATAACGTGAGCGATTTCAGCGATGAGGAAGATGGTCAAATAAGCACCAAACCTCAAGCCAGGAACAAAGATATCTCCCAATCAGCAGTCTTCACTTGTTTTGTTTCTTGAGCAACAAATCTATGTCTCTTGTTTTATAAGTAATTAAGTTAATATTTGGCTGCTGTTGTGGTAGCTAAAAAAGAGAAGATAAATCAAACGGCGATGCAGCGAGCACATTACAAAAGAAGTATGAAAACAAGTTCAAAACATTTGTTGGAATCTTTGCTCGGGTAAATGAAAGTATTATTTTATCTGTTAAGGTTTCAACACCGAACATCAATCTTCCCATCCGTCAAAGTGGAGAGAAGAGACCGGCGCAGCTGAAACAATGACAGACCAAAAATAAAAAAAGGGGGGAAAGTAGTATTACTTTGTTAAGCACACGAGTAGACTTTAGGATGACCAACACATATCACACCCCTCGCTAGGAGGCCATAACAGAAGATTGCCCCACAGGCGAGAAACTAATATAGTGAAGAATTCTATAGTCAGGAAGGCTGTCATGCAGACAAAACTCCTAAAAGCCAGATACAGGTCGTCATCCAATAGCCACTGGTGGTTATCTTCAAAGAATGTGCACCTTTGGCGTCATAGAATCTTTCATTTCATTTACTTCCACTTGTTCTGTGAAATGAACACTCTAATCCTATTACACAGAGTTACAAGTAGCCATTGATGCAAAAATAGGGCTTGGTCACGACAACTTCCCAACTCCCAAAAATTGACATAAGGCTAAAAGGAATGTGTAAGAATCTACCTAGCCCTGCGTAGATTTTATTTCAAACCTCGGATTAAAGGAAGAACACAACAACAAAGCAGGAAGGAATTGTGACAATTCTAAAGCTTTACATCTTTTCCTTTTTTTTTTTCTTTTTTTTCTTTTTTTGTACTTTTCGGCTACGCTGATTAAAGGAGAATTCATTAGGTGAATCCTGACTTGTGTTTTCTCTGTTACCCTTTGGGGCCACTTTCATGCGGCTCCGAAGTCTCGACTAGCTTGCACCACCACCAGCTGTAAGGTGCTTATTTTTTAAGGAAAAAGGCGATCGTGTGGCCATTTTCTCCAAACTTAAATATATTTTTTGTAAGCCCCATATCTCTCTGTAATCGATATGCTTGAACTTCGGAGCAATAGTTCACGAAAAAAAAAACAGGAAATTAGGTTCTTATAGATAAGGTTTTGTTCAGTCATCAGCAAATCGACGAAACAAAAATGTATACACACCGCCACTGAGGAGAGCCAGGACACCCACCAGCCATCGTTTAAACGAGGAAAGATCGACTGTCCCCCCGCGAATGCTGAGGACAAATGGGTGCTTAGTCGCACGACGATACATCTCGCGGTGCTTGTCCATCCACCCCGCGATGACCGCCTGGCCGCCGGCAGCTTCCACGGTGCCTTCCCCTACCATTCTCCTCTCGAATTCTCGGCGGCGTCGAACTGCGTTGCCGTATCGACGGCCGAATCTTCGACACTCTTCCTCTTGCGCTAGCGGTGAAGAGATGAGGATCCCCGGTGCCGCAGGACCGTTGCGGCGGCGCCGATCTGGTGATCCTGTTCACATCTCTCCCACGACGAGCTCGGGAGAATATTATATGAAAAACAGGGAAAATTTATTCTACGAAAAGAAAAGAAAAAAAATCACCGAGCGAGATTGGGTGTAGGGATATTTACAGTCTAGACCTCGAGTGGATTCCCTACTGCATTCCCTGGACCTCATTTCCCATAAATAAGCTCTGCTTACACATTGATAATATCCACGTGGAAAATAAAAGTTCTATATATCGAAATATAAATTGAAATCGTTTTGAAATATATTTACAGTTTAAAGAAGAAATATAAGCTGAGTCTGGCGATGATGATGAACGGTTGGGCCGGGAGATCCAATACGAGGCCCATTTTACGCCTGGGCCCATAACAAGGGGCTACGGGCTTGAAGTCTCTAATAGAGGGAGACTGGCAGAAGTTCCCTCGTCGGTATTTATGGATCGACTTGAGCATTAAATAACTACGTGATTTTTTCTCTGATTTTCGATTCAGCTTTTTGGGTCTCTCAAAATCAGTAGACCCTTATTTTTTAAATATATATTATGAATCAAAGCTAACATGAAAATACCATGCACAATTAATAATAATAATAACAAATATATAATACTTTCCTAAAATTTTCGACTTCGAGGCCCAATAAGAGGCCCATTATAAGTATGGGTCCGTCAGAAAGTCCAGTGACTGAAGCTCACTTGTCGGTATTCATGGACCGACCTGAGAATCTAAAAAATCAGTAAAAAAAATAATTCTGATATTCATTTGAGCTAGTTGGAACTCTGAAAATCAGTAGACCTTTATTTTCAAGTTTCGAAATATAATGAATTAAAATTAACATGAAATTACCCTTTACAATTAATAATATTATAATATCCTAAAAATATCCACTGAGAAATAAGGGTATATATCGTGTGTGATGGGGCCGGAGGTGTGGGTTTGTTTCCAAAGGCGAGTTCTTTACACTGCCATTGGCCACAGTGGCGCAACTGGAGAGTCCGACTAGTCAGTCGCGACGGGCTGGCTCCCAATCTAATCGTTGCGTCAGTTGATGAACATAAACGGCTGGTGAAGGATGCTGCTCAGAGTTTCTCACCGCTTTTCGATCCTCCATCCACCTCCCAAATTCTCCTTCTCTTCATCCGCCGTCACGAAGCTCGCCTCTCTCGTCCACAGCAAGGGGTTTCAGCGTCTCCCTCGAGCAAGGCTGCCCAGACCCATGACGGCCCAGGCCTCCGCCCGGCTCGGTAGATTCGCCGCCTTCATTGCTTCCGGCGTCGAGAATGACAGCAGTGGTCCTAACGGTTCCCTCGCGTCCTCCCCCTCTGCCGATGAAGAAGAAGGTCCGCCCTGTTGCAAATTCTCGCTGAGAGTGGATTCGATCTTCTTCTGGGCTGCAATTGGGTGCTACTTCCGGAGAGTGGAAAACCCGTTACACTGTTTTTTGTAGCATTTCTTCTCATTTTGAGATTTTTCAGGTTCCTGTTCCTCTATATTAAAGAACTTCGACGTCACCATGATGACGAAGAGTATCTGAAATTCTGCTTTTTATTGCTCGCAGTCGACCTCTTGCTTGTTTCGCCGGGGTTCCTTGCGAGAGGGGCTTTGTGATTCGTGCATTGAATCCTGAAGGGGATAATCCGGTTTTTCTATTTTTTCAATTAATTTTCTGCCGATGATACAGATATATCACCATCGGCAGGCGGGTACCGCGTTCCGCCCAAGGAAATCAGAGACATTGTCGATGCACCGCCGCTTCCTGCTCTATCATTTTCTCCTCAGAGGGATAAAATTCTATTCCTGAAGCGTAGAGCTATGCCTCCGTTATCTGATCTCGCTAGACCCGAGGAAAAGCTTGCTGGCTTAAGAATAGATGGAAGCTGTCACACGCGGAGTCGCATGTAATCTGCCTAATGATCTTTGCACCCCTATATTTATCAAAATTTGCTGTGATTTTTGGGTTTGAATGCTCCAGCGGCGTCACAATATGTTGTTGACTTCAACCATTTTCATCAGGTCATTCTACACCGGCATAATAATTCACTCACTGGAGGAAGATGGTTCATTAGGTCCTGAGAAGGAAGTGCATGGATTTCCTGAAGGCTCCAAAATAAACTTTGTTAGCTGGTAATCTCTTGACCCACACAATTTTATCAGCAATGCACGAAAGGCCCTACGCTCAACAGTAGCCAAACATCGTATTGAAGAATCTGATTGTTGAATGATGAGGTCATTTAAATCCACAGTAAGGGAGATGACTAAGGATGCTAATGGAATTTTTTGTTTCCCATAGATCCTGGTGATTCCTATTTTTTGCACAAAATGATGAATTTATTTTCTAGGGTAGTAAGTTCCAAGTCCTCATGAATCGCATTAGTATGTTTGCTTATTCTATATCAGGACACTAACCCTCTTATTTTGAAAAAAATAAATTTCATGAAGGTCATGCGATGGTCAGCATTTGTCTTTCAGCATTCGATCTGATGAGGTAATCACTGGTCTGCTCAATGATGAGGATTTTCCAACAGCTTATTTTTATTTTTTTCGTAATATCTCTTTAATTACCAGGAAGGCAATGACAGCAGCAAGCTGAAACTCTGGGTTGCTGATGCTCAAACAGGGAAGGCTAGGCCATTGTTTCCTTCGCCAGATGTATATTTAAATACTATTTTTGACAAGTAAGCCCTTTCCATGCTTTTCCTCATGCCATCTTGCAATTCCTCATATCTTTTTTCATGCGGTACTCCTTTGCTTGTTCTTTGCAGTTATGTCTGGGTTGACAATTCTACGCTGTTGGTGTGCACAATCCCTAATTCTCTTGGGGAACCACCCAAGAAGCCATTGGTTCCATCTGGTCCAAAGGTCCAATCCAACGAGGCGCAGAATGTCATACAAGTCAGAACATTTCAGGATCTTCTGAAGGATGACTATGATGCAGATCTGTTTGACTATTATGCCACCAGTCAACTAATCTTGGTCTCCCTCGATGGTACAGTAAAGCCTATTGGGCCTCCTGCTGTATATACATCAATTGACCCATCTCCTGATCAGAAATTTATTTTGGTTTCTTCACTCCACCGGCCATATTCTTACATTGTCCCATGCGGAAGGTTCCCAAAGAAGGTTGACTTATGGACCACTGATGGAAAATTTGTCAGAGAAATCTGTGACCTGCCTCTTGCAGAGGATATCCCAATTGCTTTCAGTAGTGTCCGGAAGGGAAAGCGTTCAATCAACTGGAGACCAGACAAGCCTTCGACGATCTACTGGTAAAGAAATTTTGGTTTTTTAATGCCTCTTCTTCTTCATTATTAAACTGTCTTATGCATAACGTATCTGAAAATTTTCAATGTAATGTCTCATGTGTTGAATTTCCCTACATTCTGACTTCATTGAAAGCCTTCTTCATTACGTCACCAACTTAAATTCACTCATCAATTCAATTCCATGTAGAACATCCCACCACTACAAGACCATGGTATGCAGGATAAATATTAGACCGAAACTGTGAAGTGTTGCACCCCTTTGAAATGGGTGGATGTACATGACACCTATGGGCAGTTGCCAAAGCTCGAGGCTTGGGAGTATCAACTATCCGTATGGTGCTGTATTTGAGGGGTTCCATCCACAGATTAGTACCTCGCTTTCTGTTGTACGACATTTGAAAAAAAAGGGGGGGGGGGCGCGAACAGTAATTGAGGTTTGTCCTCTGTTGGATGTTCTTGAACCGCAGTTTTCGGGGCAAGACATACCAGAATATCAGGGCCACAAAGGTCATCTGACATAAAAACAGAATCCTACATTTGAAAAATGTTGTTAATAATCTTGACTCCGGATTTTTTGAATTCGAGGTAGTATTTGACCCTTTTAATTTATTAATTCTGAAGTTGTAGATACTGGCAATATTTGTCTCTAGACGGCAATATTGACAAAAGGAAAGCATGTGCAATTTTTATGAAAACCAGAAAAAACTCAATTACACAGAGGAGCCAGCTCTGAAGTATTTCTGCTTAAATGTTACTTTAATTTTCTTGTGCGATATCACAAGATGTGCATGAAAATCTCACAATCGAAGTTCAAGCACATAGGAGGTCTATTTTCAACCATGTAAATTATTCTGTTAACCATAAAAGCCAACATGCACGTGGAAATATCACATATTTATTGTTGGATTCCAAATTGCTTTAGTTTCCGTGGTTTATGAGTCAAAACTATCTTAACCTTTACTATGCTGGTGTCAACTAGGGTTGAAACACAAGATGGAGGAGATGCAAAGATTGAAGTCTCCCCTCGTGATATAATTTACACAGAGCCTGCTGAGTTAGTAGATGATGAGCAGCCAGAGGTTTTACAAAAGCTTGATCTTCGCTATGGGTATGTTTACTATATTTACTGCCTTGTTCTTTGGAATGACCTCGAATCACCAGATTCTTCATCCTGATTGAGTTCCAAATGTTCATGGGTATCACAGAATGTTGCATTTTTTCTTCATTAGAATCACCACTGATTAAATGATATCGACTCTGCAGAGCAGTCTCAAACCATGATATAATCAGGGTCATAAACACTTCTAAGCTATTGAATATGCTACTTATCAGTAAATTTTGCGGTATTCGTCGATCGGCAATGTAGCATGTTTATACAGAGGCCTTTCTCCCTAAATCTGTCACAGGATATTTTGCTTCTCCGTGTTCTTCATCAAAATATCTCATTATATGTGTAGTGTATCCTAGCTAATTGTACATTGATGATTCAAATATCTTGGTTTAATATTTCGACATAATTACCTGTCTATTCTTTCTATTCTCCTTCTGACCTGCATATCATATTTTTTGTTATTTCTTTTCGGAAATAAATATTTTAAACCTTTCTTTTCTTCAGTGGCATCTGTTGGTGTGACGAATCCCTGGCTTTGGTGTACGAATCTTGGTATAAAACAAGGCGTGTAAAAACATGGGTTATATCCCCTGGAAACAAGGATCTGGGACCACGGATACTGTTTGATAGGTCATCTGAAGACGTGTACTCTGACCCAGGGTCCCCCATGCTGAGGAGAACAGCAGAAGGAACCTACGTTATTGCAAAGATGAGAAAGGAGGATGATGATGAAACTTATATCTTGTTAAATGGAACTGGTGCCACTCCTCAAGGGAACATCCCATTTCTTGACTTATTTAACTTGTAGGTTCACTATACCCAGTTTTTAAACTTTGCAAGAACTGTTGATGCTGCATGGGCAACTGAGTTTTCTTTTTCTCTTCCAGTAATACGGGCGCTAAAGAACGAATATGGGAGAGTGACAAGGAGAAGTATTATGAATCTGTTGTCGCATTGATGTCAGACCAGACAAATGGCGATTTACGCCTTGAAGAATTGAAAGTACTGACATCGAAGGAATCTAAGACTGAAAACACTCAGTACCATCTACAGACGTGGCCTGAAAAGAAGTCAGTCCAGATAACACAATTTCCGCATCCATATCCCCAATTGAAATCGCTTCAGAAAGAGTTAATCAAGTACCAAAGAAAGGATGGCGTTCAACTGACAGCAACTCTTTACTTGCCTCCGAATTATGACCCTGAGAGGAATGGACCTCTTCCGTGCTTATTCTGGTCCTATCCTGAAGAATTTAAGAGCAAGGATGCAGCTGGTCAAGTTCGTGGTTCCCCTAATGCGTTTGCTGGGATCGGTCCAACTTCAGCCCTTCTTTGGCTCGCAAGAGGGTAATACTATATAATATTTTGCTTTTACTTTTTTTTCTGGATGATTGCTATGCACTGTAAATTTCTGTTTTGTTTAGTCATCATCAGAAATTATTAGTAATTTTTTGAAGAAATATGATCGGGTATGACTGAACTAGTGAAGTCCATTTAAAGATATGGCCTCTTTTTTTTTGAAAGTGGACTTTACCGTAACATCCGTTGCCTGGAGGATGTGTGGTTGTCTACGCAGTTTTTTTGCACAGTATGCCCATCTGACATGGTTGTTTATTGTTGTATTTAGCTCTTCCTATTTCATTTTGCCGTATAATCTACCTTTCCTTGTCACTTATCGCACTTTAAGTTTTTCTGTGAAGCTTATGAGAAAATGATAAAACTTAGCACCGACTATGGGCTGAATTTATTTTGATTGCACGAATCCTTCTATTTTTTATTTATGAATTTTTGGTTGACATAATGTGTCATGCAGATTTGCAATTTTATCTGGACCAACAGTACCAATCATTGGTGAGGGTGATGAAGAAGCAAACGACAGGTATGTATTATCTTATTAATCCTTGCTTATTGTTGTTTAGGGTATATCTTGAACGTACCTGAGCAGGCTTTAGTTATTTGAAGCTGTTATGGATATTCCTCAGGAGGGGTATTCAGGGTTTATTTTATGATATTTTTTAATCATTTCTCATATGTTGAACAATGCCACTTTAAGTATACTTTGGTTACCATCAGTTTGGTTGACCATGCGAAGTTTCAAATAGGTATGTAGAACAATTGGTCTCAAGCGCAGAGGCTGCTGTTGAGGAAGTCGTACGTAGAGGGGTAAGCCGCCTCCATTTCTTCCCTGAAGGTTAACGATTCTTCTATTATTCATATTCGTTATTATGCATGCTGCCTTGATCATCAGGTTGCTCATCCGAATAAGATTGCTGTTGGAGGTCATTCTTACGGAGCATTCACGACAGCCAACCTCCTCGCACATGCTCCACATCTCTTCTCTTGTGGGGTTGCTCGGTCTGGGGCTTATAACAGAACACTTACTCCTTTTGGTTTTCAGGTAGAGGGATTAATGCAGCTTTGTAGGATAGCGCTTGATGGCTTGTTGGCTGAGATGTTGCTATTGCTTCTCTTTATTTTGGCTGAAAATGCTCAAGCCGATTTCCTGATCAATCGCTTTTGACACTGTTTCATGGATGGCGGTAGAATGAGGACAGAACGCTTTGGGAAGCGACAAATACTTACGCTGAGATGAGTCCGTTCATGTCAGCAAACAAAATAAAGAAGCCCCTCCTGCTTATCCATGGAGAGGAAGACAACAATTCGGGGACACTAACAATGCAGGTGAAAAACCTTGCGATGTATTTGCCTTTGACTTTTTGTAATTTCTATTTTGACTTTCTTAGTTTATATCTCTTATTCTTGGACGTTTTGAATTGTACTGATCATACTTGTTAATCGTTTGAGAACGTTTAATTTAAGAATTATAATTTGGATCTGAAGACAATGAGTTAATTCTCGTAGTGGACCCTGGAAAATGAATTCATATTTGTATTTAACATTTAAATTTGGATTCTTTTTCGAAAATGTAACCTACTAATATTTATTTCTTCCTTTCTCGTCAGAAGCATTTGCAGTAAAAGACCTTTCTTTCATTGTTTCTATCCATTGAACCTAGCAGTTGCACCGAAAAGATATGGACTTGATTTTGATGGTTAAAAACGGTAGAATGTTTAGAAAAACATGAAGTAGGTTGATTTATTAATTCATTAACCATCGCCCTTCAGAAAATGCGTAAGAAGATGACAGCAATAGCCATGGTCTATTTCCAAAAGATGCAGTAAATCTCTGGGTCGTGGCTGTGTTTCCTTAGACTACAGGTTTCACCTTGAGGTTGTTCCTTACGTTCCTTTATTCGTTTTTTTGTCGCCATGCAGTCAGAAAGGTTCTTCAGTGCGCTCAAGGGCCATGGCGCACTCTGCCGTCTGGTAGTTCTTCCGTTTGAATCCCATGGTTATTCTGCAAGAGAGAGCATTCTGCACGTTCTGTGGGAGACTGACAGGTGGCTGCAGAAATACTGTGTAAACAGCAGCGATAAGCCTGGAGATCCCAATGCCCTTAAATCGGATGAAACCGGGATCACGTCAGGTGAGGGTGAAAGTAAGGTCCTTTCAGTCTCAGGAGGCGGTGGTAAGGAAGGCCTTGAGCAAGAGAGTCCCCATTCGACCTGGAGATCGTCGTTGTGATAAGTAGCTCAGTCATCCCGTCCAATTTTCTTATTTGGCGCAATTTCTTATTTGGAAGGTACAGTTTGTCATGTCTTCCCTATGATGCTCTTTTTTAGAGAAAGGGTATGCTTAGAAGAAAAAATGGAGACAGGGGTTGGTGGGTATGGTTTGGAATGATGGAACACGTCTCTTCTGCCACAGCATCTGAGTCCTACTTAAAGCTTGGGAGAGTCCTTGCCTTTTGATGCAGTTCTCTGGCTGGTGGAAGAACACGAAAATGAAAGCAGATGCAGCTGTGCTTGTGGTAGACAAACATGGCAGGTGATACTCGTGCAACGAAGGCATCATCTCCTTGTGCTGTTTTAACATTTTAGCAGTTTGAAAGTACGATTTTTCTGCGCTACCGTTCTAAGTTCGACAAATCGAATCAATGAATAAAGACTCCCATTATCTGTCTTTATAATCTCTCTCTCTCTCTCTCTCTCTCTCTCTCTCTCTCTCTCTCTCTCTCCATCTGTCTGAAGAGGCGATTATGCGTTTCTACTTTTGTACCATGCCAAAAACAACTTTTGCCCGAACCTGAAAGCTGGGCTTGTAGGGCATCATCGTTCATTATCGAAAGTAGTTTCCTTTTCCTTAGTGAAAGAGCAGATTTCTCGCACATTGTATTTTTGCACTTTTTTTTTATACATGCAACGAGAGAGAGAGAGAGGTGTTAACCTTATGAAACAATCAGTGATATGGAAAAATGTTCCTAGGACTTCAAGCTGGACTTCATGTTCATATGACCCTATGAAACGGAAGCCCAAGCTTTTCTCCCTTTGATCCATTAAAAATATCCACGTACCATTATTCTAGTGAGGCTTGTCTCGAAGTCGTGATATTCTGCAAAACAGGACACAGCAGACTCGAAGATCAGTGACGAGATAAATAGCTCGTCAGTCTCAAAATTAACCAGCAACGGGTAGATCACCCCAGTATAATTTCGATTAAAAAAAAAGTTTTCTTATGGAATGTACTAAGCTGACATAAATTTACCCGAGAAAACGTGATCTGTGTGCTGTAGGCAGCACAACCCTTGAGTTCCGATTAAGACGTCTCATCCAAACTCCCTCTGTCGGAGGGCACCCAGGTGTGAACCCAAGGATTCCCCTCCATTAATGAGATAAAATAACGCCGAGGCAGAAGCCGATAAGTGATTTTATATGCTTGAAGGGCCACCACTTCATCATCCCCAGACGGCATTCCTCCCTTTTCTTTCCCCATTATTAGACCTGGTAGAAGACCAGGAGGAAGAAGGCCGGCCTCATGCTTTGCGTATGGGACCCGCTCAAACGTCGGGACAGCTCGGGGAGGATATGATTGGAACGCGGGACTCGAGGGATGACGCGCAGCGGTACGAGATTAGTTAACGTGTCCGTATACTTTCGTTCGTGATGTAAGAAGATAATGACACGTCCCGTCCATATTTACGGGCTTGAACTCGGTCTGGAGGGAGAGCGAGAGAGAGAGAGAGAGCCTATCAACTCCGGCACAGGCTCGATAGGGGTCCGGGCCGGAATCCATTTTGTTGGGTCGTCGACACGTGTAATGGTAGACTTGATTCGCGTATTCTACGTTCCGAACCCCCGTCGAATACGCGGCGATGGTGAAACAACTGTTGTCCACGTCTGTGGTGATAATCCTTTTAATAAAAAATGATCAGTTCATGACGTAAGAATAAGCCCAACGGCTCCCAACCTCTAATAAACAATGACGGCAGCGTAGTTTTACCTCCTCCCTGTTCCTTTTCCTGTTCCTGACCGCAACGGTTGAAGATCCGATTCTTGGATTTATAAATAAAGGTAGTGAGGCGGCATGGATCTTCACCCTATCGGCATTTCTCCCCTCTACGAGTGTCGACATGGCCACACTCTCCCCTCTGTCTCTGTCCTCCCGGCCCAGCAGGCTCAGTGTCGACATGGGAAACGGGGAGGACCTCCCCCTGGTGCAGCAGATCTGGGACTTGTATGAAAGCATCAGCAAACTGCCCTCCTTGAAACCCTCCAGTGAGGTCAACGAGCTCTTCTCCAAACTCGTTCTTACATGCGTCCCCCCGAGCCCGATCGACGTCGCCAGGCTGAGCAGAAATGCCCAGGAGATGAGATGGAAGCTCATCAGGCTGTGCGGGGAGGCGGAGGGCTTCCTGGAGAGCCACTTCTCGGCACTGCTGGGTTCCTTCGACAGTCCCCTCGACCACGTCGAGATCTTCCCCTACTACACCAACTACGTCAAGCTCGCCCACCTCGAGCACGACATCCTCAGCAAGCATACTGCTGGGCCTCCGGCTCGCATCGCCTTCATCGGCTCCGGACCGCTGCCGCTGACGTCCATCGTCCTGGCCCAGCGCCACCTGCGGTCCACCTCCTTCCACAACTACGACATCGACGAGGAGGCTAACGCCAAGGCCCGCCGACTCGTCGCTCCCGATCCCGACCTGTCGGGGAGGATGTTCTTCCACACGTCGGATATCATGGAGGTGACCCACGCCCTGCGGGAGTACGACGTGGTCTTCCTGGCGGCACTGGTGGGAATGACCGCGGAGGCGAAGGAGCGGGTGCTCGAACACTTGGCGAAGTACATGGCGCCCGGCGCTGTGCTGATGCTGCGCAGCGCTCACGGCGCTCGCGCGTTCCTCTACCCCGTGGTCGACCCCAATAGCCTGCGGTGCTTCGAGGTCCTCTCGGTGTTCCACCCAACGGACGACGTCATAAACTCGGTGGTCCTCTCTCGTAAGTTGCCGGGCTGCAGCCATACACTGGATCTTGGGCACGGACCTATGGTGTTCCCTTGCAAGTGCTCCGGCATTCCAGCTTTCAATCCCCTCAACCACGGTAACATGGTGGAGGAGATGGCCCCTTGAGGAGCACCCTATTGTCTGTCCTATATCTCTATCTACATGTATAGACTTCTATATGCAGATGATCTCAAGGAGATTATCTGTTAATCTATGATGTTTGGTTCTTCCATTGTTGAGGCACATGCAAGCCTGGTTCTTACTAGATCTCGTTGATCATGGTTCCTCACCTTCTTACACAACAAATACTGTGGCCAATGTTGAATTGTACCAACTTAAGGTGTGTTTTCTAATATCAATTGTTCCTCACGAGTGTAATTTCCAAGTCTTCATGCGCTACGCCTTTCTTGTTTAGCTTGCCTTTTGTAATTGTTGTTCTTCTAAGAGACCGACTCTCTCTGTCGCTCTCTCTCATTCTGTCTCTCAATGAAGCATGAGCAACGTTCTATCCGATTGTCCTGACAGCATACGAGATGAGCTTCTTGCGGTTTTTCTACACTTGTTTTTCATAATAGTTTGCTGCATCTTGCCATATATGTCAAGACAATCGACACTTGAAATGGATTATCAAAAAATTACTGCATGGTCGTTTTCCTTGGTCATTTTTGTTTCCGTCTCTTTCAGCACTGATATTAATGAAGGTCCTCCAGTCGGGTGACCCTTTTTCAACCAAGAAAAAATGTCAAGATTGGGGATATGCAGAGCCTAAGATCCTGGATCCCTCATAGCTCCACTCCATCCACCTTTCTCCTTCGACACGAGCTGAGATAGCATCTTGAACAATGCCGTCCACAGGATCATCCAGACTCTTAGTTTTAATTGATTTTAATTCGTCCCTGTGATATTTGCAGGAGAACTATTTTATTTACGTCCATTTTTGTTTTAGTAGATGAATTCATTTTTTTTCTAATATATCATTCAAAACTAATTGGTAGTTAAATGGTAGTAAAGTCTGAGTTGGAGTGAAGTTATAATGATTATTTTGGTATGAAGGAAAAAAAGAAAAACTGAGTGATGAGCTATGTCAGTCAAAGACGGACGGTACTCTGCTTGAGAATAGTGATAACCTCCTAGTTCATCCAATGAATCATTCACAGTGTCTATTCTCATTGAACATTACACTTTGAACGTTATGTTATCCTCTGCGTACTTTCAGGTCAAGATTTTTTGTTTGGCGTGCTTTATTTGAAGAATTTGCGACCTTATTAATGAAGTTAGTGTAGTACGAGATGACAAGCTTGATCATCCTCTTATAATTCTTGGTATTTTTAGCTTAATATTTTTGTATGTAGACTCTAGTTGATCCACAAGGCTTCAATTAGTTCACTTTGAATGTTTTCCTCAGAACTGAAAATTGTTATAAAGGGTTATCCACAATCCCAGAACTAGACCCAATGGTTGTTTTAATATTTGATTCTAAGAACTCCATCTATTGGACCCGTTTTGGCAATAGAGAGAAAAACAAGGGAGCGGGGGTACCCAGATTAACCAATGATCGAGAGAGCCCATTGTACAAGACTCCGGAGCTTTTCTTTTTCGAAGTTTCTAATGACCGAGGAGTCAATCCAGGTGATTAGAATATTGATATCTCGTTTGATGGAATCAAACTATCTTTCTCTCTTCTTGAATGATGATGTTCCCTGTCACATCTTTTTGCTTTTTTCAAGAGGAAATCTCAGAAAATCTCAACCCGTGAAAACGGAGAATTTGGCGAATCTCGCTATAATCCCATTCCAGGAAGAGGAGGATCGGTTTCAAAGACTTTGTTTTATTTCCTGGAGGAATTGAATGCTGTTAATCCCCTAAGCCTAAGCAGGCAGACCCTTGGGTTTATATGAAAAGCGTGACAACTTGAGAGTGGAACAATGGTAAGGGGAAACCCTCTCCACAGTGATTCTCAGTGCTAAGACTGAAGCCGAAGTATATAAGACATCAAGCAACATTACGATGTCCCAAAAAGATTAGGAAAGTAATACCCACGGGACTGTCATAGATGAGGAGACTGAAATTTCTCACTTGGCTATCTTTTACTCAAAGAAACACTGACAAGTTCTCACTTGGCTATCTTTTGCTCAGTTTCCATATTAAATACCAGAGATTCCAATTGCTTTAAGAACACTTTGGTTACGTCTTGCCGATTGATCATCCCCTCTTTGTATTACGTACGAAGAACACTTTCTGACATGGGCAACATCTTTGTACTCGTAAGATCCAGATGATAGTTTCTGGAGTCCATTCTTATGCAGCATTCTAGAGTCGTTGCACTTGCTCCCCTTCTCTTCCACTATGGCATTTCTTGATCTCGAGCTTCAACCGAGGCCCCGCTCCTCATTTCAAGTAGACGCATGTCCAGGTACCTGTTTTGCTGTGATGGGATGCTCGTCTTATCTCCCGAGAGGGAGACGAACACTTGGGAATGTCAGCAGTACAAGTGAAGAACCTTTTTCTGTCAATCCTTTAATTTTTATGATGCATTTACATATACTGTTCGTCAGCAGAGAAACTCTCCTAGATTTCATCGTTAGCGGAGAAACCCATGCGAAGAACATGACCACAGCAGCTCTGCATATCACTACATCGATCTTCGTTGCTTGGCTATTGGTTTCCTCTCCACGGTTGCAGGTTTTAAATTGGGCAGGTGCTGGTTGAGCGGCCCTTGACGTCTCCTCATTTAAACTGAACAGCCCCACTTCGTTTCACCTATTTCTCCTTTTATTGAGTAATATCTGCAGGTTCATTTGCGAAAATGCAGTGTGTGCTTCAGATTTTAAGCGAATATCTGAAGCACACTCAGATGCGAAGATCCCTTCGACCATTGGTCAGTGCCGATTAGATTATCATGTATCTGCTCCTTATGTTTATATATTCATTGCCGAAGTCCTCGATCTTTTTAACCGTAATGAAATGAAGACCTCATTTTAGCATAAACTTATGATTCAATGTTGTATGCGAAAGCCGGATCAGTTGGAAGACCTAATAATGATCCTCAGTTGATTTGCATTCATGAGAAGACGATGTGGGTTACGTCAGGCTGGCCTACTTTTTCCTTTAGAAAGGCATGTTGGGATATAATATATTAATTCAGCACTTCAACGGCAGCCAAGTCGATTGATTAGGACTGTATCATACTTCAATGTGGTTCATTTCTTGTTGAGGCATTTAGCTGGATGGCGGCGGTCTGCCCGTGGAGCCTTGAGGTGAAGGCCTGGGGATCGACTGCTCGTTTCTAAGCGCACAGGCTCCCGTCTTCAATTCAAAAACTTGACACCGACCGTAAATCTCTCCAAAGATTTATTTCTTCTCTTCGTCCTCTTTCCATCCGCTTGAATAGCCGACCCCCAGCCTCGGGATGGTTACGATTTTCCGTCTATTTCCGCTTTGTATGCTTCTTATACGTTGGTCTGCAAGGATCAGTCAACATTCTTCTCCCCACTGCATGATTCCCTAAGCTTGCTTTGTATAGAGATGGCACTTATATAATAGTTTCGTATCGGTTCCGATCATGGAAGTCACGTACGGCCATGAAGATTGACATCCTCCCCCTATCTGGAAGGTTTGCCGGATCTCCTTTCTTGTGGAAATAGGTCACTTTGACGGCTTCATCATCCATCTCCAGAAGGCGTTGCATCTTCGAAGTCCGACGACCACATAAAATCTTCATTTTTCATCGTTGGAGCGCGCAAGTGTGAACACAAAGGATTCCGATCATTTAATATAGGAAGAATCATTCAATCATGACAACGAAATAAATTCTTATTTTGTAAATTCTCAAGTCACGTCTACCGGCCAATACTTCGCACCGTTATCCGGTTTTACCAAGTATAGAAAAGTCCCACTGCCCCTTACATTTTTCAGACAAGTAAAAATACCTGAAAACTGACCTTCGGATCAGATTACAATCAAACCCGGTCCGAAATGGATAGATCACAGGAAGAGAGAGAGAGATGGTCTTTGGACCTTCGGGAGTCGTAAGGGGGGTCAAATCCTATCAAAACTAACTCTAAGTGAAATGTTTTCGAGAAAATTTAGAAGCTCAACTCAAGAAAAAATGACTCCAATCCCCTCTCTGTCTCGCGCGTTGAAATCCTAGTCATAACTCAATTTCCATATGACTTTCCTCGCTACTATCATGTCATTCCATATCAGGAAAGCTACATGGGACCTTGACGTCAACGAAAGCGGGCAGCGCAGGAAGATAAGTCGGTACCCTCGGGTTGAATTCATGATCGGCACGCAAACATGTGGTGTCGACGTGCGTGCAGGGGAGGCAGCACAATAATCAACTTATTCATTCGTTGACATCTCCCCCGTGTTTTGTTTACTGCACGGCGACTAAGCTGTAGGACCGATGATATTCCGGATGAATCAGAGATAATTCCAGCCGCAAATTTGCGGCGCGTGTTTATATCCGATATCGAAGGTGCCTACTAGTCTTCAATCCTCCGCCGTAAGCCAGACGTTTCACTATCTCATGGCGTGTGGTTTCGGGAGATTGTCCGAGGGATCACGTATCGCCGAGCGTCGTCTATTCCAAGCTTCACCTCTCTGAGAACGACGTAAAATCTCGTTGGTTTTCTGAAAATCTCATGGGATAACGGAAGATGATAAATCTTCTGCCCGAATAATCGAATACTGTTTATGTTAATCTGTAAGCTGGATTATAAAGTTCTTACTTTAGACCATGGAATGTAAACCATTGTTTCGACGACGTGGAGACAGATGACAGAGGAGAATACTTCACTGAAAATTTTAGAAAGAATCCTCCCCTCTTATAGGCATAAATATGTATATCTCTTTATCTCTCTACATTCTTGGTAAATTACATTTTTCGTGACGTAAGAAACCGTGCGAGATAGCCAATGTATATTAAAATATGGCAACGGCACGCTCCACGCTGCTGCCCTTGAAGTTCCCACCACAATCCGACTAATAAAGTGGTATAAAGGGACGGGCTCTCTCCTCATCATTTCGTGCCTCTTTCTCCAGAGTGTCGTCATTTCCTTCTCCATCCTAAGGGCTCGGTTTGATATCCATTTTTATCTCTCATCGTTCGCCCCTAGGAGTGTCGACATGGCCACACTCTCCCCTCTGTCTCTGTCCTCTCGGCCCAGCAGGCTCAGTGTCGACATGGGAAACGGGGAGGACCTCCCCCTGGTGCAGCAGATCTGGGACTTGTATGAAAGCATCAGCAAACTGCCCTCCTTGAAACCCTCCAGTGACGTCAACGACCTCTTCTCCAAGCTCGTTCTTACATGCGTCCCGCCGAGCCCGATCGAAGTCGCCAGGCTGAGCAGAAATGCCCAGGAGATGAGATGGAAGCTCATCAGGCTGTGCGGGGAGGCGGAGGGCTTCCTGGAGAGCCACTTCTCGGCACTGCTGGGCTCCTTCGACAGGCCTCTCGACCACGTCGAGATCTTCCCCTACTACACCAACTACGTCAAGCTCGCCCACCTCGAGCACGACATCCTCAGCAAGCATACTGCTGGGCCTCCGGCTCGCATCGCCTTCATCGGCTCCGGACCGCTGCCGCTGACGTCCATCGTCCTGGCCCAGCGCCACCTGCGGTCCACCTCCTTCCACAACTACGACATCGACGAGGAGGCTAACGCCAAGGCCCGCCGACTCGTCGCTCCCGATCCCGACCTGTCGGGGAGGATGTTCTTCCACACGTCGGATATAATGGAGGTGACCCACGCCCTGCGGGAGTACGACGTGGTCTTCCTGGCGGCGCTGGTGGGAATGACCGCGGAGGCGAAGGAGCGGGTGCTCGAACACTTGGCGAAGTACATGGCGCCCGGCGCTGTGCTGATGCTGCGCAGCGCTCACGGCGCTCGCGCGTTCCTCTACCCCGTGGTCGACCCCAATAGCCTGCGGTGCTTCGAGGTCCTCTCGGTGTTCCACCCAACGGACGACGTCATAAACTCGGTGGTCCTCTCTCGCAAGTTGCCGGGCTGCAGCCTTCCGGTGGATCTTGGGCACGGCCCCATCCTGTTCCCTTGCAAGTGCTCCGGTGTTCCCGTCTTCAACCCTATTAACCACGGATACATGATGGAGGAGATGACAGCACTTGAGGAACAGGCCTCTTGAATTTAAGAAGCTTCTCTCTGACACCTCTCTCGCTACGCATCTATCACAGTGAGTGCTCTGTCTGCATAGTGCAGGTCTGAATGCTTTCCCACTCTTCTACAAAGGCTGGCCGATGCTTGTTGCATGAAATAAAGCTGGCCCGACCCTATTCGGATGGTTTTTGTTCCCCATTAAAGAAATTGCTGGGTCTTTCAATGCCCAAGGTTTCCACACGAGCTTTGATCCTGCCGTTGTGCCGGGTTGCGCAGAAGCATCCGTTTAACCTGATTTCTGTTTTAGCTACCCTTTTAAATTTGATATGATCAAATCTCGTGGAATTTTTTTCGTTTTCCATTGCCCTATCCACGAAAGCACATCAAGAAGAGGTGGGTGAATGGGTAGTTATTCACGTAGATGTTGAGAATTATCGATATGTCAACGCCAAAAGATAATTAGAAAAATGAAATGATAGCCATATAACTAATTGGTGTACTTGTCAATCTATGTATGTAGGGCGAGATTGTGAAAGCGAAATTGAGAAAATAGGGGAGCCCTAATTTTTTACTCGATTTAGAAAAAAAACTGGCTGAAAATCTACATATATATATTGCGCCGTATATCATTGAAAAAATGAGTTCAAAGAAAAATCTACAGTTTCCTAGTCTTCGTAATTGTTCAGTATGCGGCTGAGAAGAGGGCCTATAGACGACTCCATAATATTATCGGAGAAATTCAACCCCAAGGGTCATATAATGATCGATTAATTGGACCAATAAACGGTCTTTTATTGATATGAGGACAGCGTTTATAAGTTAGGGCCATCTTAGAAAGACCAATATGTTCTTTTCTTGTGAGAAAAACCGGAGAGGATATTATTGTATCTGCACGACATCGACGCAGCATTCATGAACAGCCCATCTAACCAGTTTACATCGAAAATAACGTGGATGTGAAGATTTTATTTAAAACCCCCAGAAACCTTGGATCACATGAACTAATTGCATCCAAATTATGATTATTATTTTTTATTTCAATGTGAACGAAGAAATCTGCGCTTCATGCGGGTATGACCGAGTCATAAGGAGACGTCTTCACTCTCTGAAATCTCTTCACTCTTCTATGTCATATTTTAGAATTCTATATTTGATGGCTACAATTATGGTTATTTCGTTATTTATTTATTTCTGGGCCGCGGACGGCGTCTCCTCGGAAGTTATGCCTGTTGCTCGACTTCAAAGGTTGTGGAATCTCGAGGGCGACGACAAATTTGTTTAATTGGCGACAAGGGAGCGCACGGCTCCGATCGGACTCACAAGGGCCTCCTCTTGAAGACACCCAATGAGAATCTTGGCGTGTGTGTCTCTCCCGATGATTTCTGGCCAAACGGTATCCAGAGACTCGTGGGAAACAACTTCTAGGGCAGCATCCCAACCGTTTCGTTCAATCCCTATCTCATGTACGTCGGGTGTCGATGCCCCGTGGCCCCAGCCTTATCAAACCCATCTCGGGTTCTTTTCAGAGAGAAGCCCAAAAAATGAGCTTCAGCCTGGAACCTTCGAAATCCATGAGACTTATTTGACGAGAAGAAGGATATTCCTTTCACGTGGATCAAAGTCTACTCGTTTTCTAACGTGCGATTCTCCTCAAATCGTCCGTCATTTTCTCTTTAAATCTATCGACTGTGATTTTCCTGTTCTTAAGTGAAGATGAATTGCCAGGATAGTCCAGGAAGTCAGTGGACGGGGTTTCGTGGATAGCGATTGCAACTTTGCAGCACGCAGGAAGATAAAGACGGCTTATATCGTTCTGAATTCCGAGTGTGAGAACCCTTTCAATAGGAATAATAGGGAGAAAGCAAAAGGCAGAGATGGGGGGATAACTCTGAGAGGTTCTAGAAGCTATGGCCACAATCCGGTGATTATCAGTGAGGTCATGTACAGTAGAGAGTTTGGAGGAGAGCAGGGGGGGGGGGGGGAAGGGTTGAAGATGAGGGAGAGAGGATAATTGAAAGCGTCGTCAAACCCACAAAGGGGTATCCTTGCCCCCCCCACGTATATCCAATGTCGCTCACGTGGTACACAGGGTAGCAGAAGCACTTTTTCACGTTAAGATTAGTTGGGGGGGGGGAGGGGGAATAGTAGAGAGATGAGGAGCCCAGGTCAAGGATCGATGGTTCTGGTATCTAAGTACAGAACGGCATTGCCCCCGGAACCCCCGGCGACCCCCTCCAAGAGTGCAGACCGCATATCCTCCGACGGCTTCCAGTGCCTCTTCCTCTGGTTGATGAACCAGTTGTTGATCTGCTTCTGATCCAGCCCGGTAACCTCCGCGAGCATTGCCTTCTCCTCTTCCTGGGTCGAGGAGACGCAGCCACCGATAAACGTTAATGGAGGAGGAGAGTAAGCAATGAAAGACGTGCATTCTGGGGGACGTCTCCCACCGTGGGATAAGGCCATCTGTAATGTGTCTTCCACCAAGCCATCAGCTCCATTCTCGCATCCTTCGGAAGCTTCCCTTTCTTCCTCTTCTTGAGAAACTCCTTCTTCAGGCTGCTCAGGTAGGCACTGTATTTCCTCAGCAGCATCTCCTTGAGCTCTTGATCGCCCATTCGCGGGCCGCTCTCCTGGCTTTCTGTCGCGTCCGGCTCCTCGGTGCTGAGCTCCTCCTCTTCAACGGACCCACCGCCTTCCCCTGATCACCATAGTAAGCTTAGTGCACCGTAGAATGGGGCCAATGTCCACATGCAACGAGAGTTCCATCATATAACTTATGGAGAAGAATAATAGAAACAGAGTGAACGAACATTCAACTCGTCAACCCAGACATACCAGGACGAAGAAATTATTAAAAATATTTTTTCTCAAGAAATAAGTAATAACCGAAACAAATAAATCGTAGCGGTGATCACTTTAAAAAAGTAAAACATCTACCAGTCACTCGCTGACTTAAATAAAGTGGTAAGCTAAACCCAGAACACCAGTAGATATGTTCACATCTGACGATAAATCGCTAGGAATCAGAAGGCATCGTAAGTGAAGACCACCAGAGAACTACGTTAAACAATGTGCATCTCCCATGTGTGAATCACACTCACAATTCCAGGTTTTAACGTATAAGAAAGAAGATGCACAATCATTTGAGATGCCTTTTGGTTTTAACCGGCACCAGAACTGAGGGGGAGAGTGAGTGAGTCGGTGCCTTCTGGTCTCTTCAACCATCAACACCCAATGTAGCACAGAGCCAAACAAGCCAAGCTCTGGGCACACAAAAATATTAGCGGTTTCTCATGAGACCCACATGTTTGGTCGTTCCTAAGTCAACGCCCGGTTTGGCGTGGAGGGAAAATTGATGTTTTCGACCCAAGAGTCGACATACGAGAAGAGAATGAGTTCACAGTTTATCACGGGAAAAAAAATGCCCTTTCTAACCACGATAGCCAAACAGGTCATGGAAGCCAGGGAGAAAATGGAACGAGTCACATTGTTCGCACTATTTCGGTTTTATGATTGGGCACCCGGCTTACACAATGCCATGATCCATCCTTCTCCATCTCCTTGGCAAAGATTCACAAGTCTCTCTTGGATCCACATTTCAACAGCCACCTGAACGAATGAGCGACCGAGCTCAGCAGTGCCAGAACAAGTAGAGAACGGTGCTTCAATGATGGTATGTGTTGGACGATAAGTTACTCCAAGAAGGTAAATGCATCATTGAGATAGTCATGATACCGCCACCCAACAGGCACCTAACTCAGGATCCCGCATCACGTATGCGGCCACTGATCTGTGACCATAAAAACTCCCTATTATCTTTTTCAATACGACGATCCACACTTCTTTGAGGAACTTCTATAAGGGATCTAACATTGGACGTATTCACAGAAGGCTTACAACTTTTTAATGATCTAACTTGCTCATAAGACTGAAATCAAACCTCAAGGGAACCCATGGCAAATGAATAACTGAACATCGAGGCCATTCGGGTATTTCCCGAGTGTTTTGAGGTCAAACATTCTGTCACCAACTCCTCTCCCGGCGAGCCATGCCGACTTTTCCTTGCAAGAGCGCTGACTCCATGCGTTCAGAGCATGCGTTTCAGAAACTAATCAATCCATCCTTGTCACGTCGAATCGATAAAATTGTCAGAGAGAGAGTGAGAGAGAGAGAGAGAGAGCCCAGGTAAGGCAGGCCTGGAGGCTCACGGAAATGACTGCACAGTTCTTCTCCCAAAGGAGCAGGCCTTCTTTCAAGTGACTCTTTTTTTCTCCTATCTGCGGAAAGCGTTCTCTCTTGTCCCCATAGATGGTGATGTGAATGAAACCCTAAAGCTTCGTCCTCAGCGACCTGCCGTCAGGCTTTCACCCCTTTTGCATGGACGCGATTTGACCCGTCGATAACCCACCCTCCCCAACCTACACGAGCGATCAGCCCCGCTCGCGTCGGACTCGGCTCTCCACAATGGAGGATCGCCCACTGTAAGCAGCTAAATAAAACGATAACGGAATCATAAATGACGACAGATTCAATTTTAATTATATTTTGCCATCGAATGGATTAGTTTGTGGCAGTCATCATTATTACCGGGGGAGGTCGCGGTGGCAGTCGTTGTGGTGGATTGAGAGGCGGCGGCTGGGGCGGGGGCCGTGATCCTGCAGAGGTCACTAAGCTGCATCTCGATGCTGCTGAGGAAGGATGCGGCCTCGTCGAATGGCTCGGAGAGATCCTCCTTGAAACGGTGTAGCACCTGGCAGTATGATTCCTGGAGAAGAATGAAATAAAACAATCTCCCGGGGATGAGGGAAACAACGAGGCCTGTCGACTTAAAAGACCCGTCAATTCCTCGAAGATTTTCCAATGAATGCCATCGTCATCGTCATCAAGGTTACCATGAACTCGTCGAGCTCCGGGTCGGCCCCGACCTCGCTGCATGCCGCGATAGGGTAGTTATCCCGTCTAATCTCCTCCAGGAGCGAGGCCACCTCTGGCGGCGCACCCACCTGTTTCCAAGAAGAGAAACGGCAGCGTAGACAGGTATAACAGTAGCCCAGGGGGGAGATGCGCAAGCCAGCGGCAGTACTATACTCTTCGCAAATAACGAAGCTCTGTACTTCACCTTGCGGCAGTCTATGTAGGCTGAGACGAGGGCGGGGAAGCGGGGGTGGCTGGAGATCTGCGCCTTGAGGACATCCGACAAATCGGAGACGGAGGAAGTGGACGCTCCCAGGAGTTCGCGAGGCACTCGCTCGCTCCCATGGACTTTACGGTGCAAGGCCGCCGCCGAGGGGGCGTCCGCGTGGAACGGCCTGCTATCTGAGTGGGACGGCTGCGACATGGTCCCTACGGCTGCGGAGTCCGACCGGGCAATGCCCGGATGTATGCTGTACAAGTCCTCCATTGCTAGAGAGACGGAGATTGCAGGGCAACCTTCTCAGGCTAAGATTCAAAACCTAGGGAAAGATAAGAATCATCCGATGATAGAAACTGAGAGAGACGATGTGGAAGAAACGAAGGAAACGAGATCCACTGAACGATCGATCGGCAGCGAACGAAAATGGGCGTTTAGGGTTCCCGATGTCGACGACAGCTCCCAAATGCGAGGGAGAGCCAGGAAGAACACTTTTCAATCTTCCCCCTACTAGTGGTGGTGAATGAATAGCCGCATATCGGCTGCTCTGCGCCTTCTACTGAGGCTGGCGGTTCTGCGCCTCACCTGAACCTGCACCACCGCCAGCTACTGGCCTTTCCCCGCACATCTACGACGAGCACAATTTCAGAACAGTGAAATTGACGGAAGAGATGTTTTCGTTTGGCAAGCAACTAGATTTCTTAAAGAGGAAATAATTAGATAAACAGTAAAATAGGTTATCCACTGAAATCACAATACTCAGATAGACAACTAGAACTCAAAGCCGTCTGGAAGGACGAACGCCAATGACAGCGTCTCTCTCGCTCTCTTTTCTCGCTCTGAGTGTTCGGATTCGGATGAGGTACATAACTACGGTCAAACCTGGCCATTAAAAGTGGCTTCAGAAAACGTCGTAGGTGGAGACCCAGTCGCTGGTAGTGGGACCCCATAATTACTGTCTGCAGCTCCTGCTGATCGTGCTCGCCGGCATGGGCCTTAGCGAGCAAGCCGGGCGACCCGCTCACAGTCTCGTCGTACGCTTCCTCGCCTGCGTCTCGTTATTTTTATTCATATTGGCTCTCTCTCACTTCTTCTCTCCTCTCTTATTCATAGACTGACTACACATGCAGTAACGTCGGAGTTACCCTACGCTTCCGCGAGCGTTCTCCCAAGTAGATGTTCCGCGGGTGCATTGGAAAGCTGCGCAATAACTGGGTCTCCTGCCACACAGAGAGCAGCTGGAGTGATTGCAGGCCAAGATCTTTAGGGAATTTGGAGGAAGACGGCAAGGCACCCGGGTTTTAAGCGAAACAACGTATCAGTTTCACTGGCCGCTGGGTTCTGCTGCTTAGGTCTCTCTTTCAGGTTTCGCGGATTTTAAGCGAGGGAACCCATTCATTTCGCTGGCCGCAAGACGCTGCTGCTATGGGATTTCTCCCTCTTTCAGGTATCGCGGATTTTAGGCGACGGAACCCTTCAGGTTTGTCCGCCGCCAGAATTTGCTGCTGGTCTCTCTCTCTCTCACTACTCTCGGACTTCAAGCGAGGGAATTCATTAGTCTCACCGGCTGGCAGGCACTGCTTCTGCTAATCCCGCGCTCCCTTCCTCTCTCTCTCTCTTCCCCTCTCTCTCTCTCTTCTTCTCTTCTCCTCCCCTCTCTCTCTCTTCCTTCCTCTTCCTATCTCCACAGTTTTAGCCCCTTCTTTACGAAGTGGCAGAGTAGGGGAAGTCCAGCAGGTCTCTGAAATCCCCTGCCGTACGCTTTTCTACCGTGATGTGATCCCTCAGTTGCCTATTTATCTCGAGGATGCCCGCCAGCCCTCCTCAGCCAAGCCACGCGTGAAAGGAATCTCTCCGCCGACTCGAGAGCAGTAGAACACCATGCCGCCACATCGAGAGCTTCCATAGTCTGTTCTTTTTCTTCGCTTGAATTGGAGGGGTCGGTTCCTTCCGGCCATCTGGTTCTGTTGATTATAGGAGGCGACCCAGAGAGCAAGCGCAACGTTCGGGCGAGATCGAGTATTCTGCTGGTGTTAATCGGGGGCTTTGAAGTGAAATCAAGTCAATCGGGGTGGTTTGACCGGGACAGTGTCAGGTGAAGTAATGGAATCCGATTCGCACCGAAGTGCCGGCCCCCTTTCACTTCTCAGGTCCCACCTCTGAGACCCTCTTCGTCTCCCATTAGCTGGAAACCGACGATGTTTGATCTGACGGAGACTGAAATATTCATCTTCACTCAGGAGGGAGATATACCCATAGATATATAGATGGATAGATAGACAGAGCGAAGGAGAGGAGGGGGAGGGAGAGAGAGAGAGAGAGAGGTGAGGATGGAGGAGAAGAAGCCGCATGTGCGGTGGATGGACACCAGTGTCCGTATTCGCTCGAGTTACACATGCACACGCTCACGAGACGGCGCACAGCGTCCTGGACATGACCGTCCCATGTGAGAACAAAAGGGGCGGCGCCGCCCAGATGGGACCATGGCGCTGCTCTGGATTCCCCCATTCCTCTCCACATGTCCATGACGAAAAGACGTCTCCCTCCTGCCGCCACGTCAAGCAGCGGAACAACCGTTGCAGGAGCCAGGTACCAGAGTAGCTGTAGCGTGAGCCTCCACACGCAAGCGCCAGACGATCCCCCCCCTGGTCGACACAGCTTAATCCCCCAGCTCCCCACTCTCCCCCCCCCAATTGCCCCAGGACTAGTTAGTCGGACGTGTCATCGCCGCCGCGTCACCTGCGTGCTGCGGAGAGGGCACTCGTCTAAGAGTGCCTCCACCACATGGAAATGCCCCCCCCTTAGAGAACAAGTAGCTGCCCGCTCCCTCCGCCTGAGCTTCAGGAAATGGGTAGGCCAGGAAACTTGGAACCGCCGCCCATGCAGTGCTTGAAGACCCTCCCATGACGATGATCGTCAAGGTCACCATCCTGTTCTTCTTGTTCATCGTCGCCCCGGTTGCCTTCGGAAGGCGTCGTCAGATGGGCGAGATGTCGGTGACCTACTTATCCACGAAGAGAGCCGGAAGTTCTTCCTCCTCGCTGGCGCGACGTGTGAGCAACTGCAGATTTCTCCGAGAAACGGGAGCTTCGCACAAGAGATGACGGCGGAGAGGAGGAGATTACAGACTGCGCCGTCCTCCCCATTCTGACCGACGGTGAGGTAGCCATTATATAGGATGGCCCTTCAGAACTCGAGCCACTCGTTCCTCGTTTTGAGAGAGAAAACGCCTTCTTGACATGAACACCAAGCAACTGCTCCGATCTCCTCTAACATTTATCCAATCTTCGCTCACTCAACCACCACTCAGCTGACATTTATTTTCAATCACTAATCAGTTGTCAAAAAGCAAGGAAAGAAAAAGAGAGTAAAGCCCGGAAATGACGTCTCCACCGACAGCCACAGACTTCATTTATTGACATTAATATACATATATATATATATATATATATATAGAGAGAGAGAGAGAGAGAAAGAGAGATTGTGCAGTTAAGTTCCTTGCCTATCTTCACTTCTGTTAATGAATTTACAAGGCGTTTTCTCTCGTAAATACAAAAACTGCGATGTGACTGAAAATATTTCTTCCAAGAAACCCGTGCATTTTTCATCCCTGTGATCTTGACTTCCATCTGTCTGACTGATCAACAAGGAGCCCTTCAATAATGGCGAGCATTCATCAATTTTCTTAGATCGCTTCTTGTCTAAATCCCTCGGTTAACTACTGAATGCATGTGGTCAAGTTGACCAAAAACACAGATAAAATGAGAACACAAAAAGGACAGGGAAAAACGAAAAAAAATTCACAACCCAAAGTGCCCATGATGGCATATTACATCAATGTTCAAAATTAGGGATGCCAATGAGCTAAGTATGTCTGTGTCTAGCTTTCTCTCAACACATAGCTGCCTCAGTACCCCTCTCTCTCTCTCTCTCACACACACACACACACAAACACACACACACACACACAGAGATGTGCATCCAGAGAGGGTCAGGTCTGGGCTCGGGATGAGCATGGAAAGGCCAGAACTTGGTCACCCGGACTTCGAATGAGAGTATCACGACGGCAACAGCCACCTGAGCCAAGGACTAGTGTCCATGCTTCGACTGGAAAAGATCCTGAAATTGCAGCAGAGCCACAGAGAAACAAGGCAGAACGGCTTGCTGGAGAACTAAAAATTTCCAGTATCTATTCTCAATAATGGCACAACAAATTCAGTGGGGGGAAGGTGGTTTCTTGAAGATGGAAAATTTTCAGGGCCATATATTGACTCTTCTCATGTAATCACAGCTTTCCTGGAGAAAGGAAAGAAAGAATCATATGATCAGCCGGAGTTTCTGCCTAATCAATAGCAGATCAAACCGATTATTTTCTACCAGATTTTGCTGTCAGTGTGAGTAGGCTTAATGATCAGTGGTCAGCGATGAGTCCTAACAACTATGTTATCAATGAGCATGAATCTCTGAGGTATAATAATCCATCCAAGACAGCAATAAAAAATAAGTAATGCCAAAAGGCAGAAATTTGGATCCATATAGAACAGTAACCTAGTGTCGTACCTCAAAAGCTCCCAAAACGTTTGGTCGGACCAGAATGAGATAGTCTGGTTACGAATATATGATGTGGTCGTAGGGTTTGTGGCCACCACACTGCATGCAACAAAGATAGTGATTAATTACGGGTTGACAAAATGCATGCCAAGAAATTTCAGTCACGCTGTTTATGTCAGAGCAGGATCGAAGGACGTTCAGATGAAGACCTTCGCTAGAGGGGATAGATATTACATGTTCATCGAATAGTATATAACTTGGCATAATTATACTCAGTTCTAAGCCTTTTTCTTTCTGATGACTCCATGCTAAAGAAGAAGAAGAAATCGTCTGCGCCACAGGAAGAATGGGAATGATCGCGTTTGACACCAAAAGCACGAAGAATGGGAATGATCGCATTGTTCTTGTATCTACTCTACCTCGTACTGTGTTCGATACTGTTCATCAGCATTGCTCAAAGGGGTGTATCACCATATTATTCGAAAGAAAAATTTCGCATATTTTTTTATCATTCTTCCAGAGTGAGGATGACAGTCTAGGACAAAGAGTATCCGTCAAAAATTATGTGATTCCTTGAATTTTGTTCTGCGGCTAGGCATTGGATGAATCGTATCCACTGGGTCAATATCAATACTATTCCAAAAATATGGCCGAATATTGAGGACAAAAGTGAATATTGAATATTCAATTTAATTAAATTGGAGGAGCGCATCAAGAGCATACCTGTGGTCTCCGCATCATAATGATTTTGGGCCCGGGCTCCTCCAAAGGGCATCATAGGTTGGCAGATAAACTTCCAAATGAACGTGACGAAGAACATGAAGCAAAATCATCCAATGCCATCAAAGGGTATGGTACATGCTGAAACATGGAATAGCCACCCCCCGATCACCAGTAATCTCCACACGAGCAAGTTCCATGGCTGAAATGATGGAACCTGTTCGTGTCCCTAACAACAATCTCCCTGTTCACGGCTTTTGAAACCAGCTTGAATGCAGAGTGGCAATCGCCGCAAACTCGTATGTTCTTCTTGATGTGGATCGGTGCGCTTGGGGGAGTGTTGAGAAGCGCAAAGGCCAGAGCAATCCTCTCGCTATGATTCTGCAGCTTTATTTCTCTCTCCTGTTCATCCATGAACAGAAGCACATGATCTGCATTGGGGACGTACCCCAATTCCTTGACTTTCTCATTCACCTCCTCCCACATGCGGTGGATCTCTTCCCTCTGCGGATGGGAATCGTCGTCTGCAACGAACACATGAACCGAATTCTCCACCTCTACCCAGCTACACGCAGGCTCCTTCTTCACACCGAACTCTTTCATCTTCTTCCTCACATTTGCTACATCATCCCATCTTCCAGTCGAAGCATACAAGTTGCACAGAAGCATATGAGGGCCGGGATCATGAGGATCGAGTTCGAAGGTACGTTCGGCGGCGTACTTACCCAGCTCCACATTCCTGTGCATTCTACAGGCTCCAAGGAGAGCCCCCCAGACAGCAGCTGTCGGTGCGATCGGCATCTCCCTTATCAAGCATTCGGCTCTCTCGAGAAGCCCGGCTCTGCCGAGAAGGTCGACCATCGTCGCATAGTGCTCGACCTGGGGTGTGATCCCATACTCCTCCATCAGCCGGAAATAATGCTGCCCTTCGTTCAACAGCCCACTACGACTGCAGGCGGTGAGGACGCAGAGAAAAGTGATCTCATTAGGCCGGATTCCATTCCTGATCATGTCCTCTAGCCGGCAAACGGCTTCTCTCCCGAGCCCATGTTGGGCGCAGCCGGCGAGCATCGAGTTCCAGGAGACGACGTCTCTCCTCTGCAGCCGCTCGAAGATCTTCTTCGCATCATCGATGGAGCCCGACTTCGCGTACATGTCGAGCAGGGTGTTCCCGAGGAAGGCCGTGAGCTTGCAGCCAGACTTCACCAAGTGGGCGTGGACCCACTTCCCTTGCTCCAGCGACCCAATCCGGGCGCAGGCGCTGAACATGCTGGAGTATGTGTAATGGGAAGCTTCAAGGTCAACCCTCTGCATCTCCCGGAAGCTCTCGAGGGCACCCTCCGGGTCTCCCTTCCTCGCGAAACCTGCGATGAGGGCATTCCAGGAGACCTCATTTTTCGAAGGCAGAGATTCGAACACCATGCGCGCCTCCTCCGTGATCCCATGCCGCGCGTACATGTCCAGCAGGGAGCTTCCCACGTAGACGCTCGAGTCGCAGCCGCACTTGATGCAGAACGCATGGATCAGGCGGCCGAGAACGTTCTCCGGAAAGGCTCCGGCGGCCTTCAGGAGGCTCGCGCAGGTGAACTGGTTTGGCTTCAGTCCCGCGGAGAGCATCTTCGGGAACAGGGCGATGGCCTTCTCGGGCCCGTCATTCTGGGCATAGCCGGTGATGAGAGCCGTCCAGGTGACCATGTCCCTCAGGGGCATTGCATCGAACACCCGCCGTGCGTCGTCCATGCCGCCGCACTTGCAGAACATGTTGACGATCGAGTTACCGAAGAAGAGGTCGGGAGCGAAGTTGCTGCGCAGGAAATGGGCGTGGACGAGCCTGGCCTCGTCTAGCCGCTTGGAATGGGTGCAGAGGCGAACAAGATCGGAGTAGGTGCTGAGGTCGGGGACGACGGCGCCGCCGTCGATGAGGTCGAGGATGCGGAGGCCTTTCGCGCTGCGGCGGAGGAGGTCCCTGTCCTGGACGATGAGGGAAGAAGAATCAACCTCCTCCTTTAGTGACGCGTCGGCGACCTCCGTCGCCGGGGGCGAGAAACGGCAGCAGACAAGAGTGGAGATCGGCGGGATTCCGGTGGCGGAACCAAGACGAGAGTGGAGACGACGGGCCGCGCCGCTCATCATTCCTCTCAGATCTACCCGGTCCGTTCGCTGAAATGGTCACGCAATACAATCATCATTCATAGAAATATCCATTATTCGATACATATATGCATATACAGATAGCTTTGGCGACTTCTCCGGTATCTCTTCTACAAAACTCGATCAGGCGATTTTCTGAGCTCGCCCATGGGAGACAGAGGAGTCGTCCCTCTTCGAGCCCTCGGGCTTCCTGGCCCACGCAGGTGCTTGATCAGGGCCGTAGCGATAGTCGTAGAAGAGCTCCTCTCCGACCTCGATGCGCTCCTTGGCGAAGATCCCGACCCGGTGGTCACCAGCGACGAGCATCACCTGTGGTGGAGAGCCACCTCTCGGATTGAATGACCGAACCAAATCACATCGACCGCCTCGATTGACCAGACGTACCTTTGCGTAGCAATTAGGGTTCGAGGAATGGTTCGCAAACTTCAGCTTGTCCCCCTTTCGATAGGCGTCGAGGACGTACTGCACGGGGTGCAAGCCCAGTCAGAAGACTATCTAATGGGAGGTGAGGTTGATCACCTTAAAACCCTAATTACCTGATCATTTAGATCGAAGAGGAAGGATGAATTCGCACGGTCGTAGATCTTCCCGCGTTTGTCAGCCTCTCTGTGGGAGATCAATTCGCCGGTGTATTCCCCGAGATAATCGTTCTTGTTCACAGGATTCTGTTGTCGGATTGAACACCTCTGAGTGCCGAGATCCTGCGATAGACTGAGAAATATGCGCCGTGTGATGAAGATTTCTCACCTTTATGAAGGCCCCCCATCCTGCAACATCGGACTTCGACAAGAGGATCTGACAGAGTTCATACAAATTAGTTCCGCGAGCATCAGTCTCTATATATGAGACACTGGGAGGCAGCCCATGGAGTAGGCATTTACCCTCTGCTTCTTCTTCAGGAGGAGGTTCATGTTGCCGCATTCGTAGCCGTCGCCTCGCGCCGGCGGCCCGCCTAATGAGCCGCCCCCGCAGCTGCAGGATGCATGAAGGATGGGATCAGGGACGAACATCCATGAGCAATCAATGTGACAGTAAACAACCAAACATTTCATGCTAAAAATAGATCAAGACCTTGAAATAATCGATCTCAAAGAGTAGTAAAAACTGACAAAATGAGAAGTAGCGCTAATTTTTTTATGTGGATGAAGAGATTTTCCTGAGAATGAGCCGAAAGGATCAGTAGCAATGGCGAGAAGAGTTACCTGACCCAACAATTTCGGCAGACATCTGGGTCACATTCACGCCCCCCGGCAAAGCAAGGGCACTGCCGACTCCTGCACTGGCTCTTCGCACAATGGCAACCCCTGAAGCGGTTCTTGCAGCATTTTGAGCATCTGGAGAGAGAATTTGAGTAGATCGCTTCACGTGATCCAAAACGGTCCGCAAAACGAGCATTTAAATGGGTTTGCGCGCCAGAAAAAGGGTATCTGAGGGTTTTTAATTTGGATTATCAAGCAGAGCGGCGATGAACAAGAATCATCGGATGAGAAGAAATCCATGATCTGGGGTGTGAGGGCAGATCCACAGTATGGAAACGTAAATGATTCTAGATGAGTTTGTTCTATAAAAATATACTAAACAAGTACTTCTGATGATGCAGAGGTTAGCCCATACGCGCAGTACTTTTCGCAGCACGTTCCATTGAGAAGACAAGGGCATTGCTTCCCGCAGGTTGGCTGGCACCCACATGGTGTGTATTGCTTACATGACTGACTTTTGCCGTCGATCAAACGCTTTCGGCTGGATGGGTGCCCGGCAGATTTCCACGTATATTTCAGCTTACGCGATCGACGATTTCGGTGCCAGATGCGCGTTCTTGCTGGTATTTCCTGCTCCTGCCACATAAATTAGATAGGAAGTTCGATCAAAGATTAAAAATATCAGATGACTAATATTCGAAATATTTTTGTTACCCTTCATTGGAAGCTCTGATGGCTTACCGATTGTTGATCCTGTTGTTGTTTATTTTCTATTTAATGCAGTAAAAGTAAAGGAAAACAAGCTAGTTCAAGAGAATAAATGACTCTATTTTTTTCAATTTTCCAAAAGTGTTTGAAACATCGCTAGTGAGGGTTGCGAGGCAGACCATATAATCAGGATCAGCTCCGCTATCTTCGCCGCCTGAATTCATCATAACAGGTTTGATCGGGGTGGCAGCACCATCACTGAGCATGTAAGTTGACACTTCCTCACAAGTCTTCAGGCCAGGCAGCAAGTTCCTAGCAATGAGGCAGCTGGACAGCGTATAGAACTCAATATTAAAACATTGAATTCAAGTAGACAAATGCTCAAGGTGACGGCCAAGAGCTGACAAGTATCAGCAGATAACATGTATTTGCGTCATCATCACGAAGCTTTGACCCATTCCATCTCTTTCTGATCCTTGATTCTTAACCATGAGTCAGTTGTCTCAGTGAAACGATGAGACAACAAGCCCATGCATCCAGTCTCCAAACAGCATTTTATTATAAGCTAATAAGTTCCAAAATGCCAGCTTCCTAAATTCTTCATTTACACGAAGTGTGTGATGACTCATGACATACGTTTATGTTGTTTTTCTTAGATCAGGTTTTTCAATAATGATCAACACGGATGCACTCTGTGAAAATTTTTGTGAAGATTTTCCAACTTCAAGCCAAGAACAAGGCATCTATTCACTCCTTCCAGTCGTGTTTTTATCTTCTATCTTCCTTAGCTAGTAGTAGTTTAAAATCTCTAACAGCACTTCCAAAGGATGAGGAGTTTTGTTGAACACATTGGGCGTGAGTGTGGTTTCAAACATGTCAATAAAGTCGATGTATTGCAGTGAATGATAATAGCGAAATATGAGTATTCCTCTGTTTGGGATCAACTAATCGGAGCGGCAAGGGGAACTATTAAGAGTAAGTCAAGGATTGCATGATCTCTGAGATACGCGTTCCAAAATTCAAGTTTTATGAGCCTATATGCATGAAAAAAATGGCTTTTAGCAAATGAAATGGGAGACATCAGGAAAAAAAAAAATTCAATTTTCATATGTAACTTCCAAGGATGAGAATTTTTGTTGAACAAAACTAGGAATATAATAGAAAGTATTCATGATGCTTCAGGAATAGGGCACATGATCCGAATTTTTTTTAGCTTGGATTATAAACAGGAAAGACAACTACCTGTTCTTTCCAAATATTTCTATGCCTTTTAAATATAGATCTTTCTCCATGGAATTCCAGTTCTGGGAACTTCCCTCTTTGATGCTCGACTTCAATGGAGGAGCTTCACTGATATTGCTTGCTCCATGTTCCATCATATGTCTCTGTCTAGAGTCGCATGACTTCACTGAAGAACGTTCATCGGTATCTCTTACTGCATCTTCCAATGTGTCCATGTTATCGTCGTTTTCTTCGCTGTTTCCGTCAAATTTGTCCTTTGTTTGGGCATTTCCAGCCATCTCACTGGAAGATCTGTCTCGTAACCGAAATTCTTGAAGAGAACCTCCTTCTTTGTGCGGATCGTTGCTATCAGCAAGATTTCTATTTTGCACATCTTCACCAACCAAAGAAACTATATCCGAAACTGGAACATTCTTTTGTTTCTTTTCAGAATATCCCGGACTATTTCTCGGCGGACTTTCGGTGGACCTCGTTGTGAATTCACCTCCGACCTTACGTTTGCCTAGGCTTTTCAACGATGCTTCGGAATCCACTGGAGTTTCAGGAGTTGACACCTTTCCTGGACGAACATGAAGAGAAATACAGGTTTACCAAAACAAGCGGAACTTCGTATAAGAACTTGAAGGCGTTCCCTTCTGTTTTGTGAAGTCAGTTTCAGGGGGTTTAACAAATTCACCTATAGAACCCAAAGATCTGACGTCACTTACAGAAACAGTCTGATACTCTTTTGCATATTTTCTCTGCAACATAACTGAAATCAAGTTATCCATGGTGTTATTCACTATGAAGTGTGTAAAAAAACCGATTGGAAAAAATGAATAATTCTGATCAGAGATAATGATGACAACGATAGTATTAGGCCGGCCGTATACCCCAGATCAAAATTTATGAGAACACCTTTGCAAATTGAAGATACACATGTAACTCGCACATGTTCCTATCAAGATGTCATCTCTTGATAAGAATATGGGAGAGATAAAAATATAATATCAAGAATTCAAAAGTCATATCGCAGGCGTTTATGTTGCCTGGCTCCTGTGCTTCCCAGTTCAAGTTTCTCATGCTAGGGGCATGAAAGAATAAATAATGTCCCTTAAAAAAACAAACTCTTAGTACTATGATTTCTGTATACTTTTCCAGAAATGGAATAAATAATGGGAGTATAGAAAATTACTGCGGAAAATAAGTATGGCTTTTGTCCCAATAAAATTTACCAAAGAACGAGAAAATAAAAGATATGAGCAATAATATATTAAAACTACACAAAAGTTCCATAGAATACCTTCATATAACATTGATCCCCGCATGGGTTCACATTTTCATCAGGTTTTGAGAAAGATAGCTTCTCACTCTATCGACCAATAAAAATTCCTCATTAGAAGAACAGTTGTGTTTAGTCCGAGGAGGAAAAATGATCTCAGATCTAAAAGCTTACCGGGATAAATGGAGTTTGTGAACATCCATGGAGACGGCAGTCAAAGATCTGTATTACAGGAGATGCAAAGGAGTAATTAGTGACGACTTGGAGCTGCATATGACGAATCAATAAAAACTAATATCTTCCCTTCCAAAGATGATTTCAATATGGACCTGGAAATAAAATACCTACCAGGCAACGGCGACAGAATATATTGTCAAAAGAATCCAAGGCTGCACTAAGCGTCTTGTATAAGAACGGTTTTATCTCAGGTTCAGCTACTCCAGAAGATTCTGATTTTTCATCCCCGTCATTGTATTTGTCCAATAAATTTTCGTATCTTTCCTGTAAAAAAAAGTGAAAAAAATCTGAAAATGGATTAATTTAAATAAACTATTACTAAAATTGAAAGATTAGATCTTTCTCATACCATATGATCCGTTCGAAATTTTTAACAAAAACACTACAAAGTATAAAATGCATAATTATCTGAAACTATGAACACGTAAAAAGATTAAAAAACATCCCGATATTTCATAGTAACTTATAATACCTGAATTTCGGTGGAATTGGCATCTATAAACTGACCTAGTTGGCTCAGAACTTCCTCATTTAAACCGTGCTGCTGAATCGCCTTCCTGCAAAACAAGGGCATGGCGCATGTACAGTAAAACTGATGTTTTATCTAAACAAAGGAATACAAGGTATTAGACAAATCTGACTGTTGGCCATTGACTTTTGCAAAATACCTAAAACTAGAGTTCAAAAGGGACGCCAGGGTAACTATGCACGTCTAATCAATGAGAACACGACTAGCAAGTTGACATATTGTCATGATCTTTCGAATCTACCGAAGTACATGTTTTTGCTTCTGTGCATCTTTAGTCACGTGGATTATTCTCAACAAACGCCATAGTTTGTGTAATTGTTTAAGCCTTTTCTCAATTGTCTAAAAAAAGAGAGAATAAATGTGTATCATTGATGGAGCTGAAACTTAAGAGAGACAAGAAAGCATTTTAACCTGAAGGCCCCAAATTCCTCGGCTGCTTCCAAGGTTTAACATGAAAAATGGCAACAAAAATTATAAATATTAACAAAAAGACAGCGACTCTCAATTCCAGTCTCCATGTATTATCTGTTTACTGATATCATTTTTTTTTCTAAATGACCTCTCAACGTCCTAAAAAATATTTAATAAGAACATTTTTTAATATTAATTTTAAACGTTTAACCTCTTTGAAATCATGTAACCAGGATTGTATCCGGTGTCCAGAATGGCCGGATGTCAATGTTTGCTGATTTGGAGATCAGATGAATTGATCCACGGGAAGAGTATGATTCCGCTAAAAAAGGAAAGAGAATTTATAATTATGAATATTGATATAGAGATTTTGATTTTTACTTAAAAAGGGTGATCAAATCCATTAAATTTTAGCCGGGCACATTATACCATAGTCATCTCTTGGGCCACTTATCACTTCAACGAAATATAGAAAGAACATAGAGAGCGAACAAACTGACAGTAACAATTTCCACTCTATATTGGAATATATAAACAAGAAGTCACTGGAGTTAGGTTATTCGTTCTTTGAGAGCGAGTAGGTCTAACAAGTCTTACCATACTCACCACAGCATATGATCTTCACCTTTTGAGAAATCGTGCTTTTCTCCATCAGTTTCCGCAATGTCTTCCTCACTATCACTGCATATCAATGTTTCACTGCCACATGGATCATAGTAGATCTGCCTTCTACCAACAACCGACTGGTCTTCAGCCATTCTTTGATTTCTGTGTTGTATAAGGCGAGCTTCAGAAAGAGCGAAAGAAATTCTCGTGTAATTCAAGAGGCAAGGAAAACAGTGTGGTCATTTAAATAGTTTGAATCGTCTAACAGCATGTTCCCTCTGCCTCTTTAGGCAGGAGTCGACGATGCATAATGCCACCAATCTGTGTAACATAAAATCAGCACAGTGGATAAAATCTGTAGCTTTCATATTTTAAAGGTTATAAAAATAAAGTTACGTGAGAGTTTTTCACTTGAATAACTGGTTTACATTGCTTTAAATTTTTGAGAAATTTCATCGGGATAATAAATTTTGTCTAGAAGTTATGGCACAAACAGTTTGGCTGCTCCTGTTCCCCCACTGGGCATCCGGATGCACACCCGGAAATTCACAACACTTCTTTTTCCTTGACATGATAAGATGGTAACGTCAAAAAGATTGACGTAAAATTTTTGATTCATACGAATCACAAAATATGAGTCAGCTAGTAACTAATGAGGATCCGGAATTTTTTTTTCTGGAGTTGGCCTTACGCATGGAAATTCCGCCCCTATTAATCAGATCCAACCATGGGCTTGGAAGTCCACAACTAATTCTGACTCATTAGTTGGACCAAGTTCTCAAACCAGTAACAACACAACCAATGTTTTTGCAATTGAAGCATTAATAAAATAAAAATGATAGTTTTTCAAATTTATCCTAGTTCAGTTAAAATAGGTTATCCAAGATAAGGCACACTAACACGTCTGTACGCTGCTACCAAAATTCGAGTGCATATTAAAATTATCTAGCCTTCATTAAAATCAAAAATACAATGCGAGGTACTATAAGGTACAAAATTCGAGTGCATATTAAAATTATCTAGCCGTCATTAAAATCAAAAATACATTGCGACATGGGATTTCCAGTATTCGACATGGGTTATATCCTTTCGCACCTTTAAAGAGCTAACCGGACTTGTTTTCTAGTGCTTAATATGGTATTGCCTTCTCTCTGATGAGTGCAGAACCTCGGAAAATAAAATATTTGGAACTCAGATAAATGAACCCAAACAGGTTAAAGGATGGTTTATCTCCGACTGTTTCATAATGGCTCTAAAAAGGTACTATTGTTCCACGTTTCAAGATTCAAGAGAATTAAACAAATCTTTAAATGAGGTAAATTATCTATGCACTCCCAGCTGGTATATCTAGGTTCAGGGAATAAATGGGGGTTTGAATACATGAATGTCGTTTGGGAAACATGATATACGATACAACGTCCTTTGGGATTTAAACCTCAGAGAATAGAAGAGAATTTACTGGATGATGACTACAGTGATGCCTCTTCATAAAGGCTTCCTCATGATGGCCGACACAGATAAAGTGACAGAGATGCTCCCTACGTTGAAAAATAACACTGCACTTGAAAGAATGGCCATAGAGTGTAGGGGAAACGAAGATTATAGATAAAATATTTTACTTTGATAGAGGGAAGGGTATAAGATTAATAATACGACATTTATGCCCCCTGAAAAACGTGTCTGGGGTAAGGTCATAGATAGAGGAAGCACCCTGATCGTACGTCTGAATAGAAAATGAGTGGAACTTAGGGGAGAAAATATCAGAATATGCAGACAAGAATTATAAAGCATATTCCACGATGAAACTAGTCGTAATAGTTTAAGATATATCATCAGATTCCTGAGTTACTGTTGTGGAGATCATCAACCGGGATTTGAGTTTTATAAAGAAAAATAATTTTGAGAATGGATTTCCCTTTCGTGATGATAAGAGGTCAGTTATTTTTTGGTGTAACTTTCAATTTTCCCAGGATAGGTATCTGCTGAAATATCTATAGTCACAATTTTTTTTTCATCCCACTGGATTTTTGTTAAAATAATTTGGCTGAAAAATTCTTTGTAATTTCTAACAACGAGAAATAAGGTGATACATGAGGATCAAGAAATAGATGCAAAATTAATAGATGCAAAATTAACAGGTGCCGCCTGAACACTTTTTGCCTTTAGTCACTTGAGATGTTGTCTGTATATCCTATCTGCCTCTCAATATCAACCAAATTAATCTTAAAAATAAGATGATTTTTTCAATAAGCACTATTCAATAAAATAGTAATCAACCTCGTAAAAACAGAGAATGAAAATAACGTTGAATTTCATCAAATCGTCAGCAGACCTGTCCAAGAAAATCCATGTCGTATACGGTGGTATTTTTTCTATAAAGGGAAGCTTGATAAGCGTGATAAGGCTCTTTCCATTTTTGCTGTTCCCAAACACAATTCCTGAGGATAGGATTTCTTCCTGAGAATTGACAATATCTTTCTCCATGAAACCAGAGTCTGACCCATCAAACATACAAATTCCACTTCCGAAATTAAATGTGATCACGCTCTTGTCCTTGATCTGATCCATACTACAAGGATCACTTTTCGATTTAGCCAGCCCATACAGGTGATAAGTCTGACCTTCCAAAGCTCTCCCATTTTTTTCAAGTCTTTCCTGTAAAAGCACCGTGAAACAAGTCAAACCAGATACTAAGGATTCAACACAATATTACAAACATAAACATATATTTAACAGTGTTTTCTTTTGGTTCCTTCAGTAAGAAAAATGTAAACACTATCAAAATGCGTTGTAGAATTCTAAAATTTCATCAGCGTGTAGATAAGTAATTGACAAGTAATTGTCTCCTGGCAAATTTTGAGGTGAAACGTATCCCATTCTTGACCAACGGCTTCAGAGTTTGGGTCACTAGCATTTCCTGCCAACAAACCGTAGTCTACAGGTACCATACAGAGGAGGAACATCACACTGGGTGCCCAAACGACTCAGAATACATGAGATAGGTATATTAAAAATGCAAAAACTAATTCCTGTCGTAAATAAAAAACTCTTGGGTCAACTAAACCTGATTGCTCCTGAATTCCCTCTTTGATAGACAAAAAACCTAAAGGGGTCATTTCTTCGTGTGTTGGATTGAAATCCCAAAGCTTATTTTGTGTTTCCCTCATTTCAAACATTTTTCAATCAGCTTATGTGAAATAACCTAGCACCTTGCAAAAAAAAAATTAGCACACGCAAGTTTTCTAGTAACAGTAGAAATAAGCAAGAGCCTGAAACTGAAACTTTTTAGCTGTCAGCTAGGTCGGGTACTTGATTGTTCATCCTGGAATGGTCAACAATTTCTCATTCTTGGATTACGATTTATTTTTATCGTTCCATTTTAACTTAAAAATTCTACAAGTTATTATCAAAATCTGGGTGAAAGTTACATTTGAATAATATATCCGGCTGAAAGCTAAAACGAACCAGTTGGTTTGCAACGAGAAATGGTGCATGCAGCAAAAATTAGATTGAAACATTGTCTCTGAACTGCCTTCATCAAGAACATAATTTATCCACTTCCAAAAAAGAAAAACAGCAACATAACTAATGCAGTGAGAGAGATAGAGAGAGAGATGTGATATAAATTTTCATTCCATGATTAAATATCAAGCTGGTTTATGTATTTTAAGAAAATAGAGAACATTTACTTTGGCACGGGACATTCCTGTTAAAATTCTAAATTTCCTTGATAAATGAGAAAACGGATGATTCATTAAAATATTATTCAGATCAAAAGATGGAATTTCATGCTGGAAACAGGATCAACTAAGATCAAAACAATCTGGAGCTGGCACAACTTCCCTATTTTCCTCGTTTGTAACAACCAAAGTTTCAAGAATAAACTATAGAACTCTCTGCAAGTGCATAAGGGACTTGTGGATAAACAACACCAGGTTTTCCGACTCCGTGGCACTCTGTCAAACTTGGATGAGTCGGATGTATTTTTTAATATTTCTGATCCTCAGTAGACATTACCATTAGCTAAGTCATAGAGGAAGCAGAGAAACCTTCACTCACAATAAAAAACAATGCAAAATGGAAAGTACTTTCCATAATCAATGAGGAAAGCACCAAAGTAGAAATTCACTCGGCATAAAGTTACCAGGTGTCAATTAAACATATTTCTCCAACCTAAAGATGCCAGTAATGACTTCACAGCCTACCTCGATCCAACCAAATTATGTATGTCATCTTCTGCAGCTACCTCGTGCAGACAACAGTTCTAGGCACAAAATATGATACAACGGCTCGGTAGGATGTTGGGATCATATTATGTCAACACATCAGATAACCCTCAGCTACAATGTCACAAATTGAATTCACCATCTAAGAAACCCACACGGGTGAACATCCTTCTGCACGATTAACATGGAATTTGTCTAGAAACCAGAATCGACTAAATTATTCTATGCCTCGGGAACCGCTCACTTTGATCGATGCGAATCTCGAAGCTTCGATCTGCTTCTTCAGCTCCGTCAGCTCAGATGCCGGGGCGTTAATCCCCTCCGACTGCCGGCCCTCCGACATCTGCAAGAAGCACATAACATGCTATTTGACATTATACGCGACGGAAAAATAACCACGCCATCCACGAATTTCAATTTAATTCGCCCCCCACTAACTGCCCGAAAAAAATTCCAGAGAAACGGGGGCAACCAGACCGTCATTCGGAGAGAAGAATCGACAGATCCCTTCTTCTCAACGCAACAAAGAGAGACCTGGATCACGCCCGGACAAGTCAGAGTCACCAGCCTTTTACCAGGAGCAACGGGGATTCCTTCCCCCGCCGTCTCTTCTCCCAACCTTCTACTTCCACCACCCCACGTCGATCGGAGCCGTCCGATCTTCCTCGAGATGGAAAGTTTTATACCGCGAACAGCACCTAACCTCGCCCGAACCGCTCCGTGATCCGGAAAACCCGACCGGCTCGTCCCTCCGCCTTAATCGACCGTCAAGTGAACCGGACCCTTTTCGGTCCATAAAAATGGGTCGCAAAAGAAACAACCGTCCCGGCCCATTAGCCAGCCTCCTCTCTCTCTCTCTCTCATGCAGAGACTCAACACTGAAAGCCGTTGTAGTGTAATAAAACCGAAGAACTCGACGAGGAAGAGGGCTGGAAAATCAGAGCTCTTCTCCGTTCCTCTCAGTCGATGGCGATGATGAGAAATCCGACGGAGATATACATGAGGAAGACTGGGTAGAGGGCCAGGGCCTTCCGCCTCGGCCCGACGGCGGCGCTGATGAACGGGTAGGCGGCCCAGGAGCTCCACACCAGCGTTATCGACACGACGACGAGCTTGATGATGGCGTTGTTCTTGAGCATGCAGATAACGGCGCCCGCGTCCAGAGGGAAAAGGCAGTAGCCGAGGAGACTGAGGCTCTGGAAGAAGATAATGTGCCCCCCCTGCGGGACCAGATCGTTCAGGTTCCCCAATGGGGAAGAAATGATGATCGAAGCTCGAGGGGGTGGGAGCAGAGCGGCTTACCAGGAGTAGCACATTTAGGGTGAGAATCACGGCGCCGGCGGCGAGGACCGCGAAGGCGACTGCAAACACTTCGGACTGGGAGGCCCAGGAAGATCGAGTGAGAAACGATGCGAGCAAATTCAGAAATTACATCACTAAATAACTGGATTTCTAGCGGACATTCGGACGAATTAGGCGTCTCGGGATTCAATTCGGAGCGACGCAACAAGAAAGTGGAAGGAATTCTTCAGCATAGACATCCAAAATCGAAGGTCTAATTTTTTGTTTTTACTTTCTGTTTACTTCGAGTAATTGTTGCCTTCGGGGAATCAAACCATCCTTAGAATCTGTCGATTCTATGAACTTCGCTACTGAAAATGGGTCGCTGCGGTGCCAGGAGAAGATGATTCACCAGCTTGGTTGATCACATCAGGCTGTTCTTCGAAGGGGATAAGAAAAAGATGAGAGGAAAAAAAAATGGATAGAATGACCGAGCAGGCTGGAAGATTTCGCCACTTGCAGGGGGGAAAATGCGGGATCGGCATTGTTTCTAGAGGGGGCATTGAATTCGATCATACTACGGTTGATAAATGTTTCCGGATTTCGTTCAGCTGTTTGAATGCTAAGGTTTCTTAGTTTGAAAAACTAAGCGCCAGATCAGGTGTGATTCGAAGAGTCAGCAAGGGAGACGAGAACTGAACAGGAAGCAGCGGGAACAATCCAGAGAAAAACATCGCCATGTCTGCCTAAGATGATGGTTACAAAAACCACAATGCGCGGTAGAGAAGGAAATCCGACCTTCTTCACGGACGCCGACCACGACAGAGTCAGCCCGAGGAAGATGATGAAGAAGAAGGGCCCCCAGAGGTCCCAGTCCCTCAGCGCCTTCCCGGGGTCCTCTCTGTTAGGGTTGGGGAAGACCACCAGCTTCAGGTTGCTGATGATCCTCGACAGGTCCCTCTTCACCGTGTCCCACACAGGCTCCGTCAACGTGTTGGGCGACGCTCCGAACCCCACGCCGCCGCCCACATTCTGCCGGTGAGCGGCGGACGCCGGTGGAGGAACCCCCGGAGGAACGAGAGGTGGCTTCTGGTACGCCTGCGGCGAGATCTCCGAGGCGACGAACGGCGAGGAGACCGGAATGGAGGCGCGCGGCGGGCTGAGAGGCCTCGTCGGGTGGACGGTGGCCGGCCCAGACTGGATGCTCGCATTGATCAGATTCTCGATCTCGTCGATGTCCGACTGTGAGGAAGCATGGAGGGGGATGGTGTCCCCGTAAGGCATCTCTCTCCCTCCGTCAGATCCGCCACAGGCGATCGCCGGAAAGACCTGCAACTATTCAGAAAGAGAGATGCAGGAGGATCCTTCTTGGGAGGAGGCCCTTTGTGGCAGTAACGGGATGATGGGGAAACGAGAACAAGGCATGTCATGTCGGTGCCGATGCCCTCTCACCAGCGGGCCCCCGGCTACCGTTTAATGGGCCGGCCCATGTCATGAGGGCCTAATATTCTGCACGCGCTCCGCCAATTTATAAACCATAGTCATATAATATTAACATAATCTCTACCCGCATCAGAAATAAAAACAGGGAGCTGAAGTTTCCAAGTCATAAGATCTCCGGAACACTCGGAGCTCTGCAAGTCGACTACCCTATTGACGAACCAGCCAGGTTAGAGAGAAGATCCGCTGTCACGAAAGTCTTCTACTACAGCACATACCAAGGATGCAGCCCCACCCTTAGAAACGCGCCGCCTTCCAGAAGTTGTCGAACGGGCTCGCCGGCGGCAGATGCAGAGCCAAGCATGGCTCCGCGCGGGGGAACCCATCTTCATCGAGGTCCAGGCCGAGGCCCCTCCTCTGCGCAGGAGGGGGAAAGGGGAAGGCATCGCCGGCGTTACTCGCTGGGCAATGAAAGCCAACGGTGGGTAGAGAGAGAAAGCGGCGCGGTGGTACCTCTTTCCCGAGAGACAGTTGACTGAAGCCGCCGAGGGCGGGGAGTGGCAGGTCAGACTCCAGCTCGTCGCTGCTGCCGAGCCAGTAAGAGAACTTCTTCCTGGTTCCGATGCCTAGGGCCTCGCACTGGCTGGCCATGGTCCCGTAGGGGAGAGGAGAGGTCGAGACGCAGGTCCCGGCGACCTGGCCGGCAACCTGGAGCGCCTGGTTAAGTCAGTTCATGTCAGTACAGGAGAGAGAGAATCGCCGGTGCAAAGGCCCAAGGTCTTAGTTTTATAGAGAGAGCAGGGAGGAAAAAGCAGTACCGACTCCAGAAGCTGCCCCACACTGATGACTTGGGGCAAGGATGGGAGGCCGTTTTTCTTGGGAAAGAAGTGCGGATGGTCAACGGCGGGCGACTCACTGGTGACCTCACCACCGACAGACGAGGTCCGGGAACATTCCTGAGAAAAAACCAACGGAAGCTTCTATTATTGTCCAAGGTCAACGGCCGTAAGCTAGAGGGCAGTCGCCCCCGGTTTTAGTGCGTCCCGAACCTACCTCGTCGAAGGAGAGAGATTCTTCAGAGTGGGCGACCTCCGGAGTGCGGACCCAGTCGAAGACAGATTTCGGGCCGAAAAGTAGCTCATCGTCGGGGGTGAAGGTTTCAGACAGCAGTCTGTCCAAATCATCCGCGGCCAGCTGGCAAGGTAGACAAAAGTCAACTAGGATAATGTGGATTATTATTTAATGAAGGAATAAAGACAGACTGGATCTCATACATCGGTTAGTCTGCAGAGACCCCGAACCAAGATGGGCTGCAAAGATCCTCCACATTCAGCCGCAGAGTTCCTCAGAAGAGAGAGAGAAGCAGCGGCAGCCTTCTTGTCTGCTTCCGAGTTGTACTCTCGAATGTCCGATGGCAGCTTCACATGGATCTGGAACTCGTCACTGACAGACAGATACGGGTCGTCCTGAAAGAGAAGCAACCACAAAGGTATCAAGAATATGGTTGAGGCAAAGACACCGATATGAGATCTAAATGTCACGTGAATATCCTATTAATAGCATATAGATCTAATAATATCATGGTTAGAAGAGCATAATTTTTTAAAGTAAAGTTGAGATGACGCAAAGAGACAGCTTACGTAAGCGAATTTCAGGGACTTAAGAGAGTCGGTCAACTCAGGAATGTGATAAATTTTTCCTGCAAATCCTAGCATGGCCGTTGACAAACTGAAAATCGATCGTTGGTGTGCCGGAGAAGATGCTCCTGCTAAAACCCCATGACAGAAACATCACTCGTAGAAAATCATTAGAAAAAAATGGAAAATATCCAAATCAGGTAATTTTATCACACCCACCATTAGAATCAAGGGAAAGATTTCTGAGAGATAAAAGGAGCTGGAAGAAGTTGGCGAGGATACTTTGATTTAAGCTCTGCAAATCAAAAATAAAAAGCAAAGACGAGTAATTAGGCTCCAGAAAGATAAATAGAAGCGTTCTAGGCACCCGGGATCTCAATGCCCCTGATAAAATAACATTACTAGCAAGAGTTCACCCAAGAGAAGGACGATCTTCAAGCAATAAATTATGAGAAAATATCTTCTAATTTCGGCCATAGACTAATAAAATATTCATGAGTGCCAAAATGATTATACTATTTTCATGGAATATTGACCACTTAGACCAAAGACAACAACAGTATATGAAGTGATCAAAGTCAACTGATTACTTAAAGTGCTGGATAGAGTCGACTGACGTCATATTTATTTATCTTCTCTTAAGTAAAAAAAAATAGCAATTAATAACCCGAAGCGTGGATAGACCCAGACAATATAAAGGGTGATATTAACAAGGAAACCATGCTAACATTCAGTTTCTTTAATAATCAATGCTTCAGGGTGACAAGCTTTCGAAAGCATTAATTTCTTACTCATCCCCCAAGGGATAGCAGGCATCTCCTATCTCACCTTCAAACGAGAGGACAAAATTGTTAAGCTAAATGAATGGGCTATCGCTTCAAAGTTGTAGGGCAAATTATCTTGCTGATTTGCCTGCATCCAGAAAGCAGAGAGTAGCTGGCTTGTTTGATCCTCATTTAACATAGTAATACTTGTTTCCTGCACGAGTCCATGAACAAGCAATAACATAGTCAGAAGCTAGTAAAACGTGCTGATGATGCCAAGAAAGATAGATAGAGAAAATAAAATCATATTATCATCAATAAAATCGGATGCCATGCTGATGATCTTGAAGGAATAAGCATAAAATGTTTAGCATTCTGCTCACAGAAGTGAAAATGGTTGCATTTTGAGATGACGGGCACTTACTGGCTCTACAGGGCTGGAGGAACTGGGAGTCCTGTCGATAATAGAGCAACTGATTTTACAAAAATTCGGAGAGCTCTTTCGATTGAAACCATGCTTACGATCTTCATCAATTATTTCTTTTTCCTTGATACCATCGCGATCTTCACTTGGATGCTTATCGGCGTTCAGACATTCCTTTTCTCGGCGAAGTTTCTCCAGCAGAGCAGTGGCTGAAGCAAATGCCGAAGCAGTTTTTGACTGCCATTTCCTTGCCTCGTAGACGCCATTATGTTTTTGATGGCTGGGACTCCGAACAAGGAGAATTGAAAATATCTGATGGGCTCCTACACGAGTCTCAGCATCTGGATGCATCATGACCTTCAGCAGTTGAAGCAAGAGAGCTTCCGGAAAGACCTGCTAATCACCCGGGATTAGAACTAACCAAGATTGGAAAATTAAGGATCCAAAACGGTATGATTTTGGAGGAAATAAGGTGGGTAGCATTGAAAAATAGAAATCAGATCATCCCACCATCTGCGAATTTGAGTGGACTGTTATAGAAATAATGTGCGCAAGTATGAGTAAAGATCCGATCGTCGCCCTAGAGACAATCGCAACAGGGGGGAGCTCCTCCAATGTTATGGCCATCATGTCAAACAGCGGGTGCGCATCATCAATCTGGTAAATGGAAAACCAGGTGTCCATAAGAGGCAAAAATGGATGAAAAATTAATTTTCTTGCTAACTAGCAGCTGGGAGAAATAAAAACGATGGTAGAAAAATAAGCAAGAGAAAAATATTGGTCGTACCCCTTTGACAATCTCTAGCAAGCAGTTTTGGATGGAACTCTGGAGCGAGGTATTCCAGCCAGATTCTTCAGGTCCAACTACGTCAACTGTCGCTTGAAGGCTCTTCCTCAGATGCCTACAGAGGTCGCTGATCACTCCAATTTCAGGAACGACATTTTGGGTTCTTAACTGCCGAATCAAGCCCGCAGAAATCTGAATTATATCAGATTTAACTTTCGGATCATGAACAACATTTTTGTGGTCCAAGTGCCGGATGACAGCAGCTATGAGTCCTAGCTCATTACCTGCCAGAAGTCCGAAGAAGCAGAAACCGAAGATCAGCAGGTTCTCTAAAGAAACTATATATCAAAGAAGGTGGCAATGTGATAAGCATATGAATCACGCCGAGAAGCATACAACATGGTGAGCAAGAAGAGTACACAAGAGCAGCAGAAGTAGATAAACAGATCAGAAACTTAGAGGCAAGTCCACACATTATCAGCTTCTCTAAGATGCTCACACATTAAAGGGAAGCTCCTAAATCCACTACCGCTCGCGTCAAAGATTGTGATAATATTCTAGCATAGTGCAACACATATAATAATTGATTTGAGCTTGGGATTCACGGAAGATTGCATGGTTTAAGTGACAGTCATGAAAAAGAAGAGAACCACAAAGATTCAGGGAACGGTTCAGGGAATGAAAAAAAGAAAGAAGGAAATATGTAACAGCGTTTTGATGACAAGTAGAACTGTCCTGTCTAAGATTGTAAATGCACCATTTATCAGGACCCTGCAGTGAAAGCAGTTAAACAGAACAAGAAACTAAAAATAAAAATAAAAATAAAATAAAAGTAAGTAAGCTTAAGCACCTGAGCCCTTCACCCAGTAAGAAATGTCAGAGAGAACCAGCATTGACAGGCCCTGATCAGGAATCCAATGTTTCCTGGTATCGAAGTAGATAAGCATAGGTTCCAATATACGTCTCATTGTTGAACTTCCTTTAGCCATTTCAACAATTTTCTGGATACATATCTGTGCCCAAATCTCTGGCGTTTCAATCTCCTCCCTGAGACAAATGTAAATTAGTTATAAAAAAAAAGAAAAATAACTCAAAAACTCCAGAAATTGAATGTGTTTCCAGCACTAAAATTGTATTTAAACTTGGATTGATATCTTTAAAACTTCTTCTGGATTCTCACTTTTCGTGTTATCCACCCAAGCAAACTTTGGTGGAAAACAAAATGACGTAAAAATTACTTAATAAAATTACAACACAAACAACTACACTTCATTTCAGTACGTTCATCTTCTCATTAGAATTCTGCCAGCATAAGTTGTCCGATATAATTCACTGTGAGTAATATCATCATAAAAGGCAAACCTTGTCAGTAAAGAAGTATCTCTTATCTCAGGCCTTGGCCTGCCCAAGATGTTTGAGTTAATATCAGTTCCAAGCCCAGTGAGACCTCTTGCTTCACATCTAACAACTTCATTAACCCAATTATGGCGTGACTCCTGTCTTGCACCACCGTCTTCAGTGGATTGACTTGAGTCATAATTGTCTAAAGCAACAACCGCAATCTGCATTACAGCACCCATGTGGTGGAAAAACTCAAAATTCAGAAAAAATGGTTCCAGTATGCCCAACACTCACTTTTAAGTGATACCAAGCGTATAAGAACATATACCTCATCAAAACCAGAAAAAAAGTGAGAAAACTCTCGCATGAACCACACCTGAAATAGAAAATAACAGTTAAATTTACTTCAACAATTTTTTTAATAAAATAAGGCCAATCTTTGATATGTGTGAGAATGCCCAACTTTTCAATTATATATATATATATATATATATATATAGCATCATAAGATGTTAACTTATTGGGCCTCAAACAATGGAGATGGAGACTCAGAAAGAAACGAACCAACACCTATGGCCGACATACATGGGTATGCGCCCCATCGTACCATACATCATTGCCATGATCCTAACCAACAAGTAAGACAGGCCAAAACAACTAGGGAACATGTAAATTAACCTGAACTTCGGGCAACTCGTATATGATGAAGAAAGTATCAAAACAAGGAAACAAGAAATCAATAAATCAAGATAAGATGTTGGTGATTAACTAAATGCAAGATTTTCACTCATAGCATGAAGACAATATCCTATGATCCTCAAGGTAAACATTACCAATGGTGAATTCTATTGTTTGCAAAAAAAAAAAAAAAAAAAAAAAACGATCCCGCAGTTCATAAAAATGATTAGAAGAATGAAAATAACCATTGCTGAGAGGCACTGCAGGCTTGTAGCCCTCAAACGGCGTGCAGCATCCTCTTCACCTCCTTCTTTGGCAAGCATACATACTCTATGAACTAAATGCTCAATGTTGTGCGCGTACATGCCGTCCGCCTGTTCAAGAATTTCAGGTTCAGAAAAAATCATTGTATAAAAGAATAATATACGTTTAACCAAAGATCAGGATAGAAAAATTATTCGCGTAGAAAGCAGGCAAAAGAAGACAAACAAAAAAGTACGAGAATCAACCACTAATAATGCCATAAACCTAAGTGCTAAAAACTGGTGAACTTTATTCACGTAGAAATCAGCCAAAGAAGATGAACAAACTCGTACAAAAACCAAAATCTGATAACGGCATAAATCTGATTCCCCGAAACCATTTCAACTGTGTCAAACCCACTGCTAACTCAGCAGCTGTCCATCTGCCGATGTACCCAATTGCATGTAAACCCAGTTGGCAGGTAGATGTACAAAGAAAAGAAGAAACATTAACCTATTGGCTCAAAATAAGCACAGTAATGACCCAAGCTTATATTCTGGCAAGAAGTAACTCACTTGACTGTAAATGAACGTTGTCAGAGTCTGGCATCCAAGGATGTGCACAGTTTCTGCTCGTTTGTTGTCCAAAAGCTCAACAATCACGTTCAGTAGACTAACAGCAAAGTAAGCCCTGTTTGAACAAGTATTGAATTAAAAAATAAACAAAGGTGACAATGGTATGAGATGTAGTAATGAGATATACAGGTATCAGTTAAACCCACAACATATCACACACCTAAATACCGACAGATATCCATCCAGAGATCAAATTATGTCACACAATATCGGCCAATAATTTTAAAAGGAAAAAAAGACTGCCACATCTACGCCACCCGATGGCATAGATAAAGACTGTGACCGGCACAAAGTGTTGTTCCCATAGCTCGCCCTTTAGATATCTTTCATCTCCGAGGCATGCTGCCACCAAAAAGTAATGACAAAGCAGCCAGAAATAATAGCCCAGTGGCGAATGAATCGAAGACTAGTGACGTCGAGCAATGAAAAGAACAAAGACCGGACTTCCCAATTTCCCAGCACAAATCTGAAGCAACGATCTATGCTATCTAATTATAGCTTCTCTCTAAAATGGTCCTCCCACAACATCGAGTTTTTTAATTACTACAAAAAGGTGGTGACCAGTCTCTTTCATCCTGGAAAAGTCCTGAGTAGTGCTACCATTGCAGCTGCCTAAATAAAATGAGATAAGATGGAGGCAACAATAAGGCAACATGACTTACATCTGCTCTTTGCATATGCAGAGCAATTTACAGTAGGTTTCTGTGATGATGTTGATGAAGTTGATGTGCTCACACCGCAATTCTTTGTAGCTCCTTTGCTCAAGAAACTTTGCAATCTTCACAAAAAGTAATGACTTCCAGTGAGTCTTACTTTTCTTATTTTCTGGAGCGTCGGATAACTAAAGACCATAATAGTAAGAAGAGATTCATCAAAGAAGTTTCACCTTTGGTAGGCGTAGCGGATTCCGAGCAGCATATTCGCAGAGCTTGAGGATCTTCCGATCATTTGGGGGACCATCCTAAATAGATGAACCAGGAAAGCAAATAAGAGCGTGGCCGGAAAATGCCAGTCCGAAAACACAGGATGCACTGGATCACTGCATCTTTTCCTAGAAAACTGGAATGAACTTGTTCATTACCCGTGCCGTCCGGATCGACTGTACTGATTGATGCAAGGTGCTATGAGAGTACGGAGAAAAGTTTGAGCACATTAGAGGGAAAGGGAAAAGGGGATCTCTGTGCTGGAGCTACTCACGAGGTTCTTGGGGAAGATCTGAGCGAGGAGCTTCTTGTACCGCTTCACGGGCTGCCGGGAGCTCGGCCTTAGCGCTGGGCAGCAGACGCACATGTTCCCGCATGCGGGGAGAACCCTCCTTGAGATGAAGCCCATCACCTCCGGAGAAAACCCAGAAACCAAGCTACTCTCAGCTTCGTAACAGCAAAACCTCCAGCGGTCAACCCCACGAAGAAACCCACCTTAAACCTGAGAAGAATTGAGAATGCGTCGAAGAAAATGAGTCACCTGACGGAGGGAGAGAGAGACATGGAAGGGTGGTTGGAGGGAAGACAACCGCGCTAAACCTAGCGCGGAGAGAGCAAGGAGAGAAGCGTCGAGAAGAGAGACCCAATGTACTCACTGTCGAGACGAATCGGGAGGAGGGAGGCTAGAGAGGAGACCTCAGCTGACTGCTACTCCCACCCAAGAGAGGAGAACCCCGAGGAGTCCACAGAAGAGCAGTGAGGAGGAGCAGATACTTTAACCATCATAGAACATTGTCCTCCGTCAAGCTGTGATGTTGAAAAAGAGATCCTGAATCCGCGGACTTCACTCGCACTCAAAACGATTCTGCTCGTGAAATGTATTTTTTATTGCATCACTCGATAACAAATTACTAAAGAACATCATTTGAGGCGTAAAAACTTTCCGCTCCGCAAAGTAATCCCTTTTTTGATCCAATTTGAGCGACCCACTTGTCGCGACATCAGTTTAGAGGAAGGAGAGAGAGTGTGGAGCGTAGCAAGGGGAAGAGGGAGCCACGTGAAGCGAGGCTGGCATTAACTCGCGGGCAGAGACAGGCCATGGTAGGGTCAAGACCTCCCCGGTCCCTACCGGACTCCGCGGCCTGACAGGAGAAGGGAACTGGGCAGAGAGGGGAACGAGAAGCCGACAAAGGGACGGAGACCTGCCCTGGAGGAGAGGGAAGACTGCAAGAACCCCGCTCCCTCTCTTTCCCCTGATCCTCGGAAAGTCGTTTTACTCTTCCGATTGAGCTTCACCACCCCTACCTCTTGTGATGAAGACAGTTATACCATTCCCCTCGATCTCGTTCATCCCTTCTTCGCAGCCGCCAGTTGGGTCTTCGAAGTCAGGGAGGGGGATGGCAGTGGATGCCATTATAACGGGTGATGATCCCTTCCAGAAAAGAAGGATCGATTGTCCCCGTTGACCTTGCAGTGAATGCGCCTCACCAGCTTGCCCTCGTCGCCAGTTGCCGAGACAAGATTCAGGATTAACTGCGCGGAGAGCTCGAGGAAAGGATTGGAGAGGGTTGGGAAAGAACGCCCCCACCCTGTATGAGAAACAATGATTGGATGAATACCGATCCAACCCCTGAAATGATTTCACAGAAGCAGGCTATTGATCGTGCCCAATAATTCACAGGATATTATAGTCAAGATACACAATCTCCACGGAGAAATTTCTTGGGAGTTGACTTAGAACTGGCAGAGAACCTAATTCCCATCCGCCACCCACCCAACTACCCGGATGGAGTTCCTTCCTCTGTTAGGCGGAAAGCAGGAGAGACTTCGGCAGCAGCATCGAGGCCAGCTCAAAACAGCCATTTAACCAGAATACAATCCCCACCATGTTCGTAATGAAGAAAAAAAAAAGTCTGAGAACCCAAACAACATGTGGTAGCACAGTAGTCCGGAGACAGACCAGACAATCGCTTGAGGATGATGGGTCGTCTAGGGTTCCGGCGTTCCAGACTAATGGAGGGCAGAAGAACACATCACATTACGTGTACCCACTGGATCATGGGGGAAGAGTATAATGTTTGTTACGGGTCTTCGCCATGAATGGCAACTGTACACGCTCTCCCCTCCCCCGCTCAAGACTGGACGCTTGTCTGACATTACTGACAGAGGATTCAACTGTTTACTCTCTCTCAGTAAAGCCTGAGACGAACAGGTCTCCGCCATCAGTAGGATAACCCAGCGGTCAAAACCCTAAAAGAAGATGCACAAAAACCTTCTGTTTCACAGACATGTAAACCGAGCCCGTTAAGAACCACACCTTCGACGCTTTTTTTTATTATTTTTACAGCTTTATTGGTTTGCGCAGAAAAGAAAGGATGCCGGTAGGCCAGTAGCCTGCATGCTAAAAAAGCTCGCTTTTTTTCTGCGGCAGCCATCGTTGTTACTCCCCATTTACAGCGATGTGGACCTCCCAGGACTATGACTATAAATAGCTGAGACTCGGGAAAAAAAAAACCCCAACTACAGCGCCCGTCTCGTACTTTTCTCACGATCTGACGATCGTCCGCGGGCTTCCTTCCTCCTCCCTCCATCTCCCGCATGTTCTTCAAGCTCCGAGCGTCGAAGGGCATGAGCAGTGGGTGTTCAAACCCCGGTGCAGTACCGGCGTCGTAGCCGAGCAAACGCCTCGGCGTGTTCATAGGGGGCGGCGTCGCCGGAGAAGACTTCATCCCATATCCTGCGGAGATCTGATCGAACAAGGACGAGTCTCAGTAGCTACAGCCATTCGTCAGCTATTAATGAACATCATTTACAGGAGGAAAAAGTATTAAAAAGGCTGGAAGTTGTCCGATCCACAGTTCTTCCCATTCCAGGGACGAGGAACCACAGGAAACGGGAGTGTTGGGTCCCCATGGACAAGAACAGCAAAGCTGAGGCGTGGGCTTAATCTGGGTTTTTTTACTAATTAAAAAATTAAACGACGCTGTGTGACAGATTTCAATGCGCAATTAAAAGGATTTAAAGGAGGTACCAGCTCGATCTGGTGCAGAGAGACACATTATGATCATGTCAAATCTTGGGACCTTGGTTAGATTATCTAAAATACTGACGGCCAGCTCCATCTCCTCCCTGCAACAGCTATGACTCAGAAACAGACGGTGATCACATGCGGAGCCAAGCAAGGAGACAGAGGGCACACTTGAAGAATGTCGAGGTTGTCCTGATGATCTCAATCAGCATCCGAGCAGAGAGCGCATTCTTAAACAGTTGAGGTAAAGAACCGGGGGGGATGCTCTGGCCCAGAGGAGAATATAAAATAAGACCATGGAAAGATAAAATTATAAGATTCGGGCAAGGGAGAAATATTTTAAAAAGATAACCTTTAATAACTTCGTCTGCTTCTGAGAGTCGCCAGAGAGAAGCCTCCAGGAGACCTCAAGTTCATAGGCTGTTCTTGGGGTAGTGATTCTCGTAGGAATAGCACTTGTGGCGAGGGAGGCAGCACGAGAGGCAAGCTCGTGTGCGAGTGGCTTCTGCCCCTGCTTCTTGACAATTTTTCTCTGCTTGAGATCAACAAAGTCAACAAAAATTCTTCAGACTCTGTGGTTAACAGGTCTATTGTTAGAGGGTTGAGAAATGATCATGCCCCAGGCTAATAAAGCGTGTGCTCCTCTCTTAGCATTCCCATGCCAAGAAGAGAAATAGGTGCCGTGGCATCACCAGAGAATAAAAGACGAGATACCTCGAGATTGAAGATGACTCGATCTTGTTATTTTTCGGAAACAAAATTGATATTGAAACTACAGAAACTTTTGTGAGGATAATATGCTTCCCAAAAAAGTCAGTAAATTCCACAAGTTAACTGAATTTCACACGAGATCTAACGGGGAAAAATCCAATGTTACCTGTCCAGAATAACCATGAAAGACATCAAGTGATAACCTTTCCATAAATACTAGACAATGCTTAAGAAAGATGGGATGGAAAAAGGATGGATGGCCCTTGCAACAAAAAAAATCCCCAATATACAGATTCTAAAGCCTGTTTTGAGTAATTCTCATCCAATAGCATGCAGGATAGACAACATCTCCCATCGACCATCAGGTCGAGTTGCTACAAGATTTACGATACCTGGCAAGATTCTACAAATGTAGCATGCCTTCGAGAAGAGAAGTAAACTAAAAGGACCAAAACTTATGGAAATCGGTGTTCAAGGATTGGAGATACCTCATTGTTGGAAAGATCAGCAGTTGGTGTAATCTTCTGTGAGTTACTTGGGATGTAGTCGACAGCAGCAGCACTTCCATTTCCAATCTCCGAAATCCTGTCCTCTAGAATTCGTTTACTGGTGCTTTTCACTGCACCAGATACCTTTTTGGCAACTTCCTGTGTTAAATTCATACGATAATTACATATAAATCTTTCTAGTAGAATAAGGTTTGAAGAGGCAATGACCCAGTTGACACACGAAGAATCCAAAATAAAGAGACTGAAGAAGTAGCAGTCATTCGTACTTAAAGATAGTAAAATACAAGAGAACGCATACACGCACAGTGTCAGTCTCTTAAATGAAATCAAAGGACAGCGGCCTTATCTCGGCAATAGCTATCATTAGCTTTAAGCCACAACTGTAATCTATGTTTAAGAACAGCTAACCACTGAATCAGAAACCATGAAGCATCAACATGTCCGCACACGAATCAGAAACCATGATTCACCTCATCATAGAGTGCTTTTGTCTCAGTATACAGTTTCCTGAGCTCTTGATTGTTGGGCTCGAGCCTCAATGCAAACTCAGAATCTGCAATTTACAAGTCGTCAACAAAAGCTTGATACAACAGCGAAATTTGTTAAATTATGATTAAAAGTAGGATGCCCGAATGATCATATGCACAACCTTCAAGGGATGATTTAAGTTTCCCAAGTTCTTTCCTGGCTGTCGCTCGCCTAGAGTATGCTTTGACGTATCTATCATCTAGATTTAAGGCTTCTGTGCAGTCAACCTCAGCTTCTTCGTATCTAGCAGCAAGAAAATCAATTCAAAAGCAATCACAGAGTGAAAAACAAAAATACCTGGAAGCGTCCCAGAAAAGGAAACAGAAAAAGATCATTCTTAACATAATGTTCAACCATCTTCAGCAAATAAGCAAAAGCAAGTTGCTTGTGTAAACAAAATATGGACTCTAGTCACAAAAAAATGAAATACCATATCTTCTCATGGCGTTATTGCAAGAGGGCACAAAAAATGATTTAATGGCAACTATCTGAAATCTCATGCTGACTTTTTGCTGTCTTAGAAACTGAATAAAAGTAAAATTGGTCATAATTATTACTGGCACTTAGAAAACTATGATTCTTTCAATGCATCGGAGAAAAATGTGAAGCCTTTTAGAAGGCTGTTTTCTTGGAGCAGTGTTCCATTACATTCATACAAATATTAATATGATGTGGATACGAAATAAACCATATATAATTGCACCGTATTTGTGCTACTAACATGGAGAAAATAATCTACTTGCATACAATGACTTTGGCTAAACAGGGAACTGACGGCTCTGCAGGGACACACAATTCTACCAACAGTGTAATCCATTCATGCTGAACAGAAATAGCTGAAGGAACGGCAACAGTTGAAAAGGCCAAAAATTAGTGTCTGGGAGTAATAAATGTAGAAGACAAACTATCATCACAGCAGCACTGGGAATTCTAGATGATTGCACAAAACAGGGCTCAAGCAGCAGAACGCAGTGCCAGAAATTACCCCCCGCAGCTAGAGTTTGGCTGGGGTGAGTTCTTTTTCCCTCCTCTTATTAACATGGAGCTCGGTCTGTTTCCTGTGTCTACGGTGTCTCGGAGTGGGTGTGCTTCAAAGAGATGTGTATGTAGTTGGGGCATGAATCATAGAGATGTTATAGGAAGAAGAAGAGGCATAAGGATGGCTGATACTGAGAAGAGCGGAGAGACAGAGCACAACAGTTTAAGGAAATGAGTAAGATGAAAACGGAAAATTATGAAAGATAAGAAGGTACGTGAAGTTTGGATTCACACAATGAAAAAACAAGCATCACACTTCAATCCTCGAGTTTTTCTTTTTTCATAACACTGCCACGGGACAAATTTACACAACTCGTGCAATCTGAATCAAATTCTAGGAAAGATTTTCAGTTGAACACTAGGTGAGCCCCGATAAGCTAATTGATGAGAATACCCCCCCTGGAAGAAACAGAACAGCCTCATTATTCGCCACGTGGCAAGCAGTGTCATTCTCTCTAATACATCAAAGAATGTTGGGACATTTATTTGTTCACATGAATTCGATCCAGGCATTCGAACCATTCATTACTTTTATTAGTGCTAGCCCCAAATCATCAAGTCCAAAGGCTTTTCTCATGCAAGATAATAATTGAATGAATTGTAGAAACAGTTATAAATAATACTCACCTTTTCAATTTGAGATATGACATTGCTCTATTTGCAAATGCTACTGAACTTGGTGACAGCGCGATACTTCTGGAGTAGCATTCAATTGCCTTAGAAAAATTTCTCTGCTTGAAGTGTTCATTTCCCTGGAAAGGAAATAAAAGGGGAAAAATATGTTTATTTCCAAACCCTTAGACCAGCAGAGCATATTCCCAACTGTCCATTGTAAATAACAAGAGAAGAATGGAAACCCTACTAGCTCCTTTTCTGAAGCTGCTGTTGGGAAAGATTCCTCATATAACAAGTGAGAAGATATGTATTCTGTTGCATCAGAACTGCTGAAATTTCTGTAAGCTTCGTGAATGCCTTTGGGAGAAATTTCTGAGACCCGGGGAGTCTGCTTCTTGACTTCAGTTGGAGAAACTTTTCTTTGCGCTCTGACTTCCTTTCCTGAATTTGGAGAGATAACCTATGAAATATGCAAACAAGGGTTCAAATCAAGACCCATTACCCAATCGCTCATTTCACCATAAAAGCATATCTATGCATGGATAAAACAACATAGGATGGAGAATTTTTACATATTCAGTGGTTAATAAAAAAGACAGATCATGCGGCTCCACAGAAACTACCATCATCCACGCAGGCTAGAGGCTTTCAATCTCATATGTGTCATACCAAATCCCGTAAATTAAATCACTTTTTCCGATAAATAAAAGACATCTAAGTCGTACAAGTAAAGAAGGGTACTCAGAATATACCGTCAAGTTCTCTTTGTCCTCCAAAAAGGCAATGATCTTCCAACCATCAGAAGGCAAGCCTTCGTCCTTTACAACCAAAGAAAGCCCTCTTCTTAATACGGAGTACAAGAATTGGACCAAAATTGCCACTGGATGCATTGCTTATTTTTGTTTACTTTGCCTCTGGTGAACCTTCTTCTTTTTTTTCTAAAATTTACGGTGAAACTTTTCGTACAAGCAAGTATTATTACAACAGCTGACCTAATCTCATTGGAACTCCTTCTAAGGGGGCTACAACACATGGCATGTGTGGTAAGAGAGAAAAATAGTGACAGAGCCCATGTCCTTGAAGACATAGTTATTCATTTTACAAAATCAAAATGAATAAATAAATCTTTGAAACCACTTTTCACAACAATAGTTACATGAATACCTTGAACGGGTTGTCAGAGTCATATGCTGCGCGGGACCCACTAAAAGCCTGTGCTATCATGGTTTTATTGTTTTGTCCAGACAAATCTCGAGATGAATAAGATACAAGTTTATCATATATCTAAAAAAGACAAATTTCTGACTAGAAATATGATTAGAAAACGAATTTGAAATTAGAGGTCCTACTAGAAATCAACTCTTGAATCCTTTCCTAACTCGTGGTGCGCTGATGCCTGAACTGCTGTTAGCAGAATCCCATAAGAGGCCTGATGCATATAGTGAGATCAGTGTTTCAACTGTAACCTAGCAATCGTCCCAGCCTAGTCACATGAAACCTAAGAAAAAATGCCCCTCTGGTAAATGTATGATAGTAAATCATAACATATGCCCGTCTTTCCTTCTTTTTTTTGTCCTTTTCTAAGTTTATTACATTTCTCAGTATAAGAGAAGAGACAACATCATTCAACCCTTGAAATCAATAATGTATGATGTAATAAATTCATCGCAATACATTGGTTCTGAGAGCATGCATGGTTGCGGCTTAAAATGACGAACGGATTTCAGGTTGAAACAAGTTTTTTAGATTCTGACATGAAACAACCAACAAACGAAATGGGATGTATACCTATCACAGGCAACAATTACTTCAAGAAATTTTAAAGACATTTACTTACTCCTTGCTTGTATATTTTAGCGGTCTTTGACGCGCCGTCTCCAACCTTAAGGGCATCCCAATCTTGTAGGTTATTCAAGAATCCGTCAAAATCCTGACGCATTACAGCAGAGTTTTTAAAGCCAAGAAATACGTTCGTTAAGTTGAAGAATGAGCTAAAACCATTTCATGGAGAATGAGCTAAACCATTTTAACGCGCACACGAAATACTATTTCATGAAATGCTGAGATCCCCCATTCGGAACAGCAGCGGTGACACGTACATTTTTGGAGAATGAACGCTCAAAACAATTCTTCCCTTGACAATAAACGAACGTCGTTTTAAAGCGCAATAAAACCAGTAGACCTTCTCCGGTCCTCAGCCAATAGGAGCTAAAACCATGCGAGTTCGTAATACAATTCACCCGGCATCTTACAAAAACACAACGAACTGTATCGAGAAGCAAAACGTGTTCGCCCACCAAAGGGAACAGAACTAGCAGTACATAGAAAAACCGTGCAGAAAACGGAATAAAAATTATACGTCTTCTAGGTATAGGGAATCAGCTCAGCAGTCTCCCGGCTTCAAGGTAGAGTAAATGGAGCCCCAGCCTCGACATCGAAGTACCTTTCCGGAGCATCCACTCACTACCACTGCGACGGCTGTGGTTGCCGTCTGTTATGAAAATCAGAATGATAAGAAAGAAAGCAGAGAAATGGTTACCAGTGTTCTTTCTCGATCCCTAGTTCTACTGTTAACTCCGGCCATGGATTCTCCGGGAAGGGACCTTCTACGAGGGAAGTATTGGCGATACAGTCGAAATGCTCAAGAAACAGGCTAAGAATTTTTTATCTCACATTTTTTCTCATCCGGGCATTTGGTCTAGTGGTATGATTCTCGCTTTGGGTGCGAGAGGTCCCGAGTTCGATTCTCGGAATGCCCCGACTAACGCCGTATCCTTTTTTTTTTATACCTCCCGTTTAACTTTCCCCGCTCACCACTCTCTTGCCACGGCCGACGGACGTTCGAGCGAGAGAGAGAGAGAGAGAGAGCAGCGTTGACTAGTTGGCAAAAGAAGATAATAGATTTTTACTTCTAAACAGCGACCCCGCAAGAATCTCTCCCTAAGAAGAGCTAATCCACCCTATCCCCCGATGTCCGATCCTCTTCCTCACCGCCGGCTTCCCTGAGTCGTACGATCTCCGTCCGTCCTCCTCCCGCTTCAGAGCCCCAGCAGGATGTAGTAAACCAGCGTTATGGGCAGCGCTATCAGCATCCCGAAGATGACCCTGCGAGGATGGAAGAACAAACTTTGGTTAGGTCATCTCCCCGGCGAGCAGGGGGCGCTTGCCGGAGGCGGCAATGGCGGAGCTACTCGACGAACCCGGTGCTGAGGATGTCCGGGTGCACGTTGTACTCCTTGGCGAAGACGAAGGGGACGATCCCCTGCGGGAGCGCCGCCTGCACGATGGCGATGTGCAGGAGAACACCGCGCAGCCCCACGGCGATGGAGGCGGCGGCCATCACCGCCGGCCCGGTGACGAACCTCACGGCCATGGCAAAGGCCGCGACGGAGTTCCCGCAGGCGATGATGCGGGGCTGCAGCGCCATGAACAGGCCTGAGGAGGAAGAAGACGGAGTTAACTCACTTTCGCTGCCTGTAATGGCGAGAGAGCGAGAGAGAGTAAGGATTTACCGAGACTGAACATCGCCATGCCCAGCCCTGCGTCGGAAAGAATGGAGATCGAGCGGGCGATAATGGCGGGCATCTCGATTCCCCACCTGCTCGATTGAGATCACTGGTTAGAAGATATATCTCATGAAGAACGCCGCCGATGTGACTGTATGGGAAGGTTTTGGACCAACCTGAAGGAAACCAGAGACCAGATGAGGCCGATGAGGCTGGAGTAGGTGTTCGGATTCCTGATAAGCTTCCGCCAGACCATGATCAGGATGAGCCTCGTCATCACGCTCGCCGGGGGCGTCGACGACGCCCCCACCGCCGCCGCGGGCTTCGCGAGGTTGTTGCACTCGTCTTTCTCCCTCTGCAGAGCCTCTGCAAAAAACATTCCCAAAATCATGAAGGTCAGCTGCAGCAGCGCATGGAGAACTAACGCGCCTGGGAAGAGAGCGACTCTCTCACCGTTACAGTGGTCGTCATTCCCGAGCTCCGCCCCCCTGGAGAGTTGACCGCCGACTTCCGACACGGGAGACGCGCTGGAGCTCCACACGAACATGTGCAGCTCCTTGCCGCCATCGCCGCCGCCGCCGTTCCCCTTCCTCCGTGCCCCCACCGCCGCTCCGTTGGGTCTCAGCAGCTTACCGCCGCCGGTCTCCTCGTCGAAGCCCGTGTTGCCGAAGTTGGAGCTCCGTGGGCTCAGACCAGGCATGTTCCGACTACCCGCCGCCGCCGTGTAGAAATCAGCGTGGTTGAAGCTCGACCCCCTCGGCGTGGGGTTCCTGGACGACTGGAGTGAGTAGATCTCCGCGTTGCTGAGGTTCGACGGCCGCGGGGTCATGGCCGCCGCCGCTGCCGGCCCGTGAGAATGCCTTGAGAAGACGTCGGAGCGGGAGGCGGAGGATTTCCTCACGGTGACACGGAGTTTTCCGTCGTCGCCGATCTCCGCTTCGGTCTGCAACGGCTCCTTGCCGTCGAGGGAGATGACGTCGGAGTCGACCCGGAAGGAGATGATGGAGCCGGCGGTGTCGGGGAACTGCTCGGCGATGAGCAGACGCGCCCCACGGTACTCGAACAGGAAGAGCATGAGGGTATACCAGATGATGCACTGGAGGACGACGATCTGCACCATGAGAGTTCCAGTGGCGGTGCCGTACATGCCCTTCAGCAGGGGGATGCCCATCACCAGCGTGTTGGGGAGGGTGGAGAGGGAGAAGAGGGTGATGCTCCACTCGAGGCAGCCGCGGGAGCTGACGTTGGTCCACACGGCGAGCACAGCGAGGATAATAAGCTTCTGCAGCGTGTCGGCGGCGATGAAGCGGTAGTTCATGGCATAGGGGTCATTGGTGGAGATGAAGTGGAAAGAAAGCAAGGGAACGGCGAAGAGGGCGACGAAGCGGTTGATGCCGGAGCACTGGTCGGGGGAGAAGATCTTCCACCATTTCACCGAGCCGTAGGCGAGGATCATGGCCACGTACAGCGGCACCACTGCCGTGAGGACGTGGTAGAGGTCCGAGGCGGTGATCATATCGTCTGGTTCGAGGGGAGGAGGGGTTAGGGCAGACGGAGGAGCGGATTAGGGCAGACGGAGGCCTCTGCGCGGGGAATGTGGATGTGGGTTCTTCACAGCGGGTCTTCCGCTTTCAGGAGGAAACAGAGGAGCAGTAGCCGCAGGTTCTTCCGGAAGGAGAAGGACCGGGCGATGGTGAGGAGAGGACTTATGGTTGCCGGCGGAGGCAGACTTTCCCCAAACAACAACTCTGCTAGTCGGCGGCTACCAGCTCCTGCATATTAAAGGGAGGGAAGGCCGTGGAAACCATTCGGCGCTCGAAGATGACTGCCGGAGAAATCGAGCACATTACCATAAATACGACGGCGGAATGACAAGGGAACAGCAGTGGCAGCGAACAAGGCAGAGGAAAGAGATAGTGTGCAGAGAGAGAGAGAGAGAGAGAGAAGGAACAAGGAGAGCTAGTGGGCAGAGAGAGAGGGAGGGGGGGTGCGGAGTTATGGTGGAGGTGATATTATATTAGTTACGCCTCTCTCTGGTAGAGTATAAAGCAGCGCCTTCCCTGAGATGTTTCGGAAAGAGGAGGCAGAGAGAGAGAGAGAGAGAGCGGAGAACCCGCCGTCTGCTCAGCGGAGGCTCCCGTCTCCTTCGGCGGGTTCCGACCGCCGCCGCCTACCCAGGAACGGGCTACATGTTAAACAGCTCGCATAAGCTCACTCGTACCAGTTTCGTCTCCTGAGTTCAACAGAGCTGATCAGTGCAGGTGGAGCATCGCCGCCCCCTTCGATTCTTCCTCGTTTCGATCGGAGGGAGACGCGCATGCGGATTGTCGGGTTCAGACGATCCACGAAATCCCCGACATCCCATCATCAAAAGCCGGCCGGCGACGAGGACGGCGACCCCCCCGGTATGATTGCTACCGCCGGGAATGACCCGTAAACAAGAATAAATTTTGAAACTAGGAAGATGACGACGAGGGCGGGGGCATACTCTGCAGCAACCATTGGGTGCAATTGGGCCTAGTCGCCGGAGACCATGGGGTGGGTCCCACCAACGGTCTCCGAGCAGCCAGGCGCCGCCGCGCTCTCTGCCCGGCGCCGGCGGTCAAAAGACGCTTTGCATCATTCGCTGGACTCTGCAAAATCTGCCCTTTGCGGCGTTTCTTCGGATTAGAGAAGGGCGGAGGGAGGGAGGGAAGGGGGTTCCTTGAGCAGACTGTGTAGACATGAAAAATATGGGGAGATGGGTGTCCAAACGGATCCATGTACTACGGCGAGCAGGCCTCGATGATAGCGAGAGAGAGAGAGAGAGAGAGAGAGAGAGAGAGAGAGAGAGAGTGAGAGAGCACTAGGCGGAGCTGAGCTCCAGGGAAAGGAGATAAAAGAGGGATAAAAAAAGGGCTTTCGAGGGAAGACGGCGAGGGTTTTGGAGGAAAGAAAGAAGACGCGTTTTCTCTTGTTAATGTCAATTCTTCCATTTAAACAGAGGACGAAGTCGATTTGTATCATCCAACTCGGAATATAAAATTCCGATTTAGCTATCCGTCTTCATTTGTCAACATTCTACGCCGTAGAATAATCGACAATATTTTTTTTGCTTTATTGGGAAAAAATGAGCAAGAAAAGGTATCCTCTTTGGTGATGTTCTCTCTCTCTCTCTCTCTCTCTCCCTCCCATACAAGAGAAGCCGGCCCTTTCTTAACGTTCGTGACTAACCCGAGGCGTTGGGCTTCCCGATTGCGAGTGGGCTTCAATGGTCGGTTGATGTTCGTGGAAATTAGAGAGCGGTATAGTTAGAGAGAGAGAGACGTAAGTGAACGACGAACATAAAACTAGACTGAGCAAGGAAGTACTCGAGAGATGGGTAAACAAACTCGTCACCTGACGCTCGCACGAGTCACTTCTCTCTCCCCCCGAGGCTCACCTGATCGACGTCTCGTTTCCGTGGCTCTGAACCACCACGCTGGTTGCGGCGGCGGCGGTGGCGGCTCCGTGCGCCACCCTGCTTCGGCCCGCAGGCAGTGTCCGCTGCGATTAGACGCGCAGCAGGTAGCTGCTACGGCAGCCGGAGCCTGGCGTCGGAGGCTCGCCGGAGGCGATCCCGGAGAAGAAGGGATACGGTCGGAGGATACGACGGCGGCCGACAGAACGCCGACGGCGAGTGACGTCGCCTTTGCACATGCTATTTGGCAAGCTACCTACGTGCACGAGACTCCTCCATTACCTGATAACTGCTCGCTGTAATAGTCAACGCGTAGGATCCTTATGGACCTACTTATCGGCTCTTAGTGACGTATTTAATTAACGTTATGACGTAATCCTTCGTATCTTGCAGTATTAGATGTTTCAGTGATCTAAATACCTTGCTTAATGTATAGAAATGGAACGACATGGAAAAGTGGTTGACTTCATTTTCCGTTGACTTTATTGCGCGGAGAGGTGAGGATGTTGAACGAACCCAACCCAAAGGCGTGTCGTATCACCTGCCTTTGGGCTTCACTCCTGAGACTTCGGAGGAAGAGAGGGAGAGGCTGAAAAAGTGAGACGGGATGTGGGCCATTTAATGCAAAAGATGGGCCGACAAACGGGCTGTGGGCTTCACGGAGAGAGGGAGAGAGAAAGAGAGCGACATCTCTGAAAAGCGTCCATCTGGAGTCATCTGTGTGTGGTAAACAGTTAGTTCATACTCGACTTCCTTTTGGCAACACCCGCCATTCTCTCTCTCTCCTCCACCCCCCACCACATCATCTTCTCTCTCTCTCTCTTCATGTGCCGGCCCCAGAGTGATGTCCAATCAAGGTCTCTACGCAAGCTGCAGTGCGTTCATGGCGGCATCTCGCCTTCTGAAATATTCTGCGACCCGGCGGCCTCATTTCGTCGACGAGCTCCGATGCCGTTCGTCATATCACGCCCTCCTTCTCGCCCTCCCCCCCCCCCCCCTCGGATCGCTCATCCATTCGAGAAGGAAGAAGAGGAAGAGTAAGAAGTCAATGATGTTATTGTCCGGTGAAGCTGATCTGCGACAGCCGCCCGTGGTTACACAGAAAAACCTGGAACTGGCAGAGACAGGCCAGCGGAGGAGGAGGCTGCATCATCGGTGGTGCAGCGGGTTCGGCCCAGTACAGACTTCCCTCTTCTCGTCGACGACGGCCCGCCCGTCGTCCTTCGCCGCGCTGCCAAGACCCCCAGCGCCGCCTGGACGTGCCGGAAGTGTCGCCGGACGGGCATAAGGCCGGGCTCTCCTTCCACGTACCTCATCTACCGACCCCAACAGCGCCAGCAGGATGACACACCACGCGACGCCCCTCCCTGCCGCCATCATCTCCCTCCGGCAGCGCCGCCTCCTGCACGAGGGCTCCCTCCTTCCGGGGCCTCCGAGACGGATAAGCAAGCAGAGCCTCGCCCGCCTAACCATTCACCTGGGCCGCGGCGGAGTCGACATTTAATATGAGAAGCGGCTGTGCTCTCCTGTACAGACGGAGCCGCCGGCGTGAGCTCGTGCCGAGACGGACGGCGAGAGCTCCCCGACAGGCGTCGTGGGCTCCATTCACCTGGGAATTTCACGTGGCCGCCGGGCGCCCGGCCGACGGCCTGTCATTTCCGACAGCCAGTCCGAACCAGCAGCACCTCCTCTTAAAGGCGACCGCCAGACTAACTATTCAACCTGATTCAGACTCATGAAGCAGGGGGGGGGGAGGTCATTAAACAGCAGTACGTGAGGAAAATGAGCGTTCTGCCAAGCAATGGCGACCTCGTCAACGAGTCGAGTGAGAGAGAACAGAGAGGGCGGCACTGTTCAACTACAGAATTCAAGCCCCCCTCAGGCTGCAGGGGAAAATGACCTCCGGCGCTGACGTCGCTACTCATGAAGCGTTCCCAGGACGTCGTCTTCTCTGAAAAGATGGTACCTGAGAGAGTTCACCCCCCAAAATAAGATTGCTAAGTTAGATTTTATCTTAAGTCATAAGGTCAGAATATAGTTAGTAATCATTAAGCTACCTTTGGGTTAGCGTGATACTAGAACGAAAGTATATCTTTATTTTATTCCTAGAGCAAAAAAAAAAAAACTTGCCTTCGGTAATACATGATTTTGGTTAACCAAAACACGTTAATATTTTGGGTTCCAGTTTCCCTAGAACCCAATTTTTTTATTTAAAAAAAGTCAAAACATATCTTTACCAATGTGATAATGGTTGATTATAAAAAAATAAATTTATCCCGCGACTTTGATCAACTAGACAAAACATTGTTTTTATCTTTTGATATCCCCGAAATGATGAATCTCGTGTTCAGGGGGTTCTGTGGGTGGAGAGCCGGAATTTCTCACTTCCGATTCCGAAGATCAAAAGAAGGCGAAAACAACTGAAAAAAAAAATAAAAAAAAATAGGATCTGATAGAACATAAATGTATGAATTATGAGGATGGAGGGGACTCGCTACGAATCCGGGTATTTCTGGCTTGTAATTCTTGGCAGCAATTCGGCTCTCAATTCGGTGAAAAAAAAATTTGGGAAAAAGAAACTCCCTTCGGTAATAGTAATATTAAATGATTTTGTCACCAATCTAAAAAGACAATTCCGAAGATGTTTTTCTTGGAAGTATGACGCCACCACCCAATTAAGTAATTGAGGAAGAGCAAGAAGACAGAGATATGAATCTAAGGTAGTGGAGAGCATACTCTTTGTCGCCCAGTTTTACTTCTGTACCCCCGTACTCAGGCAGAAGGACATGGTCCCCTTCCTTGAATGCCACAGGGATGAGATTTCCATTTCTATCACGGGCGCCAGGACCCACCGCTACGATTTTTCCAGAGTTCAGCTATTACAGACAGACAAAAGTAAGAGAATTTAGTTCATATGAAATTTGGGCAATCAGAAGGAAATATATTTAGCATCTAGATTTATCGTTACGAAAGAAAGCTTAAAAAAGCGGGAGAAATATCAGAAGGAAAAAAGCGACCAAGCATCTGAGATATCGGGGGGGGGGGGATGAGGAAAGATAAGAAATTAAAGACATACGCTACTGATACAAGAGAACAAACAAGAAAGTTTTAGAGGCAACAGATCCTGCATATCCTAACCGTGTTGCCTACTTACATCCATATATATCCACCAAGCCACCATAAAGCTTTTCTTTTTACCTAAGCACTGTCATCTCACCACACACTTGCTACAAATCTATCTTCATAGATCCCTCTTATTCTCCCAAGGAACATTCATCTGCTAAACGTGTTGCCAAAAAATATTGCCCTTATCTCCGGTTGGCGTTTTGACCATATTTCTTCATTTCATTCAATGGAAGGACCTCTGGAATTTTTCACCTCCCCCAAATGTTCGACCCTCAATATCTCAAGCACGAGGTCCTCATTGCCACCACCACATCGTCCATCTTGTTAGTCAACTACTCCAACCACCGGTAATCACTCTAGATCCCATCTATCTGACCCTCCTGATTGGTGGTCCTATTCCTTTATTGTGGCCTTCACAGAGGTCACAACAGCATCATAAGCATCTTCCACCATCTTCCACCCAAGCTCAAATTCCCCTTCTCCTCAGCCAACACTTTCACAGTAGACCCGTTCCTTTAAGGTTGTAGATTTGTCGTTTTTGAAGACCTTACAAATACCAAGACAATAGCTCATAGTAACTGTATACAGGCGAAAGATGCAGCACGGCGTGGTCTCCCAGAAAAACATTGCAACTCTGCAGATTAAATGAGGTAAATGTGTACAAATCGTTTCTAGACTGTCATCCTGGGAGCTGCCAACATCAACCGAAAAAAATAAACTGCCCTTCTAACGCCACTTCCATTGAGACTTTAAATTGAAATGAGCATCCTGACACAATCTCCAATGCACCCCTCGAAACCTGTGCCAAATGCATCCGCTCCAATCCACCAGAGACATCACCATAGGAATGAGCAGAGGAGAATTCATGACAGCTAAGGATTTCTTGCTAACAGTTGTTTAATTCATTATCTTGATCCACAAGGCATTAAAAAGCACCATGCCATTACCATAAGACGATATATTGTCAAAAAGGAATGCATATGAGGCCACTTCAGACCACTAGAAGCTTATTCAAGTCATGTTGCGATCAACCGAATCAAAGTACGATCATTTTGATTGCAATTAACAAGCTTATTCAAGTCTTTCGGTTGCAATTCACAAGTATTTGAAAATAACTCACAAGAAATTTTGGTAGAAAACCAGTAGGGACAAGTTTATCACCTCAGCCACTCATCCCCATCGCCAACCTAGAATGCTTTTTCAAACTTCAACGCTTGAAAGTAAACAAGATACAACGATAATTATAAATCATTTGGTATCAGGCCTTTACAGCGAAATGTTTGTTGCCAGCACACAACCCCTTTCGCAGTCTGTATTTGCCTATGGATTAAAGAACTGGTACAGCATGTCCCCTGTTGACACCCTTCCAGCAAGTTGACAGACGCACTTCGATTGCAGATGTTAATCTACACAACATTAGTTGGTTGATACAGATTGCACTTGACCGATCGTATACCCCATACAGCACTGCAACAGGAAGAAAATCCACCACGAGTTCGAGCGTTCTAATAATTTCAAAACCTAAAACTCAATGCTTTTCTCTCTGATGTCGATCAGGGCCCAAGTTTTTAATGGTCTCTTGAGACACTAGCACTCCAACGAAGACGCGCTTGTCAATCGAACAATCGACCTATCCACCAGATAAAAGACCTTAGATTGTCTAGATGTAATGACATTGGATTTCTGCCTCCGATGGTCCCAATTCCTTGGTATTAAACAGATGGAAAAAGTGACCAAGATAATAATGAAGAAAAAGATGTTCTCCTGGCAAATGGCAGCCATAATGCAACAGTCACGGAGGAAGAAAATACAGAAAAAAATAAATCCACGTTCAAATGTGCTCTAAGATATGAAACACCGATATCAACTGAAGAGCAAAAGCTTACGAATGCAATACTAGACGAGTAGGAACAAAGGCTCACAGGCATTCACAGAAAGAAACAGAAAACGATGGCTACACAAGTAAAATACAAAGTACCCAGAGGAAAAATCTGATGCTAAAAGCCTCAACTATCATCATCATCTTACGTAAAGCAAAGACGTGTCTCCCTTAGCTGTAAGAGAGTTAGCTAGAGATGAAGATACCTTGGTGGTCTTCTCCGGCAGCAGGATACCAGTGTTGGTCTTGGCGGGTGGCACGATCTTCTCCACCAGCACGCGGTTCAACGACGGGACCAGTCGCTTCAGAGCGGCCATGGCAGCAGACTGAAATGGGAGTGCCGACACCAACGAATGACAGGACTCTCAACGAGTGTAGGGTTTAAGACCCACCCTCCACGACTCTCCGGAATGTTCCAGAGCTGTATACACGCGTGAGTCACGTGTCATCTACTCAAGGGATTCGACCTGTGTGACACAAAAGATACACACGTGCCGCCGTCCTCCGCCTTCCCCCGGTTGAAAGTTACCTCTCTCTCTCTCTCCTTCTGCTGGTAAATTTATTGCAGTGGAGATGGAATCACTTAGCGCCGCTGCCGCAACCTATTCCGTCTTCTTCACCATGAGAAGACGGTAGGGGCAGTTGGAGAAGACCGAAGCCACCTTCCCTCTCTCTCTCTCTCTCTCTCTCTCTCTCTCTCTACCTTTCTCTCTCTTCCGCGTCCTGATCCTGCGGGGGATAATCGGATGAGAGATAAATCTCAGCGATCTCGGTTGGCAGGGACGTCTCCTCCTGGAAAATTGCCCCTTTCTGTTTCTGGAGGGACCGCTGATAAGTCACCTCATCGCCTCTGTGTGTTCCCCCCGCCGTTTGTCAACCGGGTTTCCGCTTTCACCTTCCCCGCTTCTTCTCTTGGACTCCGGAAGAGACATCGGCGGATGGATGGATAACAGCTTCTTCCCTGGGCGGTGGCCCTAAGGCGGAAAATTCGGATTCTTCGGATTTTCGGACCAAGAAAAAGGAAAGAAAACGAATTAAAGAGGAGGAACGGATTTCCGTCGTCCGAAGTCGTGGCATTTATTTGGAATTTGAAGCCATAACTGTTGAAAGTCTGATCTCGCAGTTGTTCCTGATTTGGACCTCGCAATTCGGAGCCCGGACCGATCGATCCCCCTCTGAACGGACCTCCTTCACCATCTCATTCTGTTGGTATCGCGTTTGTTGCTGATTTGGTTCCTCTAGAGCGTGAATCAGACGCCGAGCTTCCCTGATTCCGCCAGCATGATGGCGGATTTTGGAGAGCTGGACTACTGGAGGAAGCACTTCCGGAGTGCCGATTCCGATATCTTCATCGTGATCGAGCACGCGATCCTCATCGCCGCATCGGATTATCCGGCGGAGTTTCGCAACCGGAGGGATCAGATCACCGAGAGACTCTTCTCTTGCCAGTTGCCCAGGTGCTTCGGGTGCGATCGAATCAAGGAGCAGGCGTTCGAGGTTGAAGGGGAAGAGTTCAGCGGAGGAACCGGCGTCCTTGCCACTGGCTGCGGCGAGAAGGAGAGCAAGGTCAATTGCGGCACCGATGAACGACAGGAGGATGAAGATTTGAAGTGGGTCTCGAGCAATTACAGTTTCGATGAAGCTGAGGCATTAACGGAAGAGATCGAGGAAGAGAACCAGATCATCGGGGAGGTGCTGAGGATCAAGGAAATTATCGTCAACAAGGACTACGAGGTCTACCGCTGAACTTTCTGGTTTCATTTTCTTCCTCATCCTCGAATCAGGATTCGTAGAATTCTGTGTCTTCAATCTCCCAATTTCATCGCATGGGTTCCTTCCCAATCTCTTTGATGAATTTTGACGCCCCAAATTTCTTCTTGTGAGCTACGACTCGACAGGGAAATATGTTCTCCAATATTTTGACTTCGTTCCCCTTGGTGTTGATTGCTTTCAGTCTGATTCTCGGCTGTTTGAGTCCCTCAGGAGGCTTCAACTCATGGCTCTTTCTGTGGAAGTTCTCAAGGTTGTGATGGGATTTTCTTCGTACTTGGAAGTGAAATGCTTCCCAGTAAGCCTGCAGTTCCCACATTCATTTGATTTATTCTCTGTTCATCGATACAGGCGACGGAGATCGGAAAAGCTCTGAATGGGCTCCGGAGACACAGCTCAAGACAAATTTCTCAGCTGGTATCCTCTCTGATCGGGTAAGTTTGGCCTGATAATCGCAGAATAAGCTTCACTTATGAAGTGAAAATTAGCCGGCATTCTCTGTTTTGACTTTGTGATGATTACCGACCAAATTCAGGAGGATTATTTGGTCAGGCTCATCTTCCCCATCTCCCCACCCCCAAACGCTATCATAGCTTGTCTATTTAAATAGATGCGGAAATTCCTCAGAATCGATTGCTCTTATTACTATGATTTCTCCTGAGCTTGCTCATTGAGAACCTGAGGTTCGGCTTCCCTGTGCTTTCATGTGGGTGGAGGTATCTTGAAGACCAATCAGCGTTTATTGCTGTTTTCTGATCATGGTAACAGAGAAATCTTTCCGGGCCTGCATGTGCAGATCATCGTTTTCTTTCTGTTTATGCATTCATGTCGATGGGCAACGAACGTACATGGTGGTGTCTCTGTGGAGAAAGACTAGACTTCCTCAGCTTTTGCCATGGAGTTTCAATCACGCATACTCTCTCTCTCTATCGTATGTAGTCGTCACTGCATGAATCATCATCTTCGTTCTCCATGATCCTTGAGCATGGCCGTACTTCTCTCTCTATTCTTGGCCTGCATCAACATAGTCGACAGATCAATGTGAAATTATTTATTTTTATCTATGGATCTTTGATCGATCCACAGGGCCTGGAAGATTCTGGTGGATGAATGGATGGATGCTACTGCTGCTCTTACGGGTGATTCTAGTGACTCTCTTGGGTTTTTATTTATTTCTGGGCGGCCGCTGTTCTCACTCTTCGTTTCAAACGGCAGAAGGCACCCCTGAGTCTAAAGCTCCTTCGGTTGTGGAAGACGAGGAAGAGGAAGGAGGACTCCCCTCCCCTCCCATGGATGAAGGGGCCCTGTTCACCACTCCAGGCGCGATGGAGCTTTCCCAGGTGAGCCACTGATCCACAGCTAGGCCTTTACCCTTTCCTAAGACTAATCACATTACCTGAGCATCTTAGTTGGGTATGCTGCAAGTCTAAGCATCTTCTCGTCTCTGAAGACAACGACACTTTAGCTGCCACTTTTGGCAATCTTTTCGTCACTGACGAGTGAGACTGACTGGTTCTTTAATCCTGTCTTCCCCGTGGCGATCTTGCTGCGCGGTGAAGTTCTTCGACGGAATGAGCGACGACGGATGTAAGTGGGGAGTACCTTCATCTTCTTCCTCCAAAATCTTCCATGAACACATCCAATGATTCTTTTTTCCCCCCTGAATTTTCATTCAGGTGCCCAGAAGGACGATGGATCCGGCAAACGCGCAGAGGACCGGATGAAGAAACCATCCGCGCAAAATCAGAAACGATCGATGAGGAAGCATCAGCCGTCGAATAAGCAGGAAGAGAGCCCGCAAGAGCCCGTCGCCGAGCGGTGCAGGCCGCAAGCGGAGGTCCCCCTAGCGCAGAGGAAACTATCGAGCTCCAGCGTTGCCTCCGGGCCTGGAAGACCTCAGAAGGCATGCGTGGCCAAGGTCAACGGTAGCTTCCAGAAGAGGCAGGGATCTTCTGGGACAGGAAAGAAGACATCTTCTAGCTCCCACAATGTGAGTAATAGTGAAGGTAATCCACCCGCAATGTGAAGGTAATCGTCTATCTGATGTATTTCTCTGGTCCTCCCTGGTTGAAGCTTCACGAAGAGATCCCAGTTTGCGCCAAGCTTGAAGCCGCCAAGAGGAAGCTCCATGAAGGCTACCAGCAAGCCGAGAATGGTGACGTTGACTTCACTTCTTCACGAATATCACGTGGATGTGGTTTGACTTACTTCCCCGTTCTGTGGGCGAGGATGATGACGTAGATTTCTGCTCTACCCTAATGCAGCGAAGAAGCAACGGACAATTCAGGTCATGGAGCTGCATGATCTGCCTAAGCGAGGGCTCAGCCGCAGACAGCCCTTCATCAAGCAGGGATCCCGCAGCCAGCATCGGACGAATCTATGCCGCTAGTCCATCTAACCCGGCGGCGCCGCCAATCTTTGTGAATAGTCAACGAAGCCCACGGCGGGGATGGGTTGGCAGCCGTTCCTGATCTTAATTTCCAATTTTCACTGTCAATGATGGGGAGCTTCGGCACATCATTCACATATATTTGAAAATTATTCGGCCCAATTCACCGGAATGTTTTGATAATATTAATATTGCATATATTTTGGGCCTCGGTCCATTTAGTCCGTCTTGGCTCAGTGCTGCTCTATCGGATCCTCTTTGGTCCTCTCTCCAGGAAGCCTCTCCTCGTTATTTGGAGATGTATTCTGGTATACTTGCATAAGTAAAGCTTTTTAGGGTTTCAAATAAAAATAACAAAATAGTAAAGAAATAGTGGCCGGTGTCGTATGGAATTTAAGACGAGGGACTTACAGTATTTAGGCCACGCCGATTTGAGGACCACCCGAGTCGACGAGTGAAGAATCGGGGGAGGGGGGGGGGGTGTTGAGAGGAAGCCTCTGCCGTAGGGAGGGGCCAACGGCTATGAATTCTGATTCCGTTCGTGTGGCCGTTGGATTCGGTGAGATCGGACCGTTGAGATTTGAAAACAAGCCGACCGTTGAATCCACCACCCTGCCGAAAAGAGGAAGCGCAGTTCCCCTTCCGAGAGCCTGAACCTAATCCGCCCATATTTAACTGTGTCGCTCGTCGGTAGCACGGAGTGTGAAGAAGAGAGAGAGGGGGAAACGGAAACAGGAGCAAAGGGGTCCGAGACCCTCGTCGCCGGTAGGGTTCTACAGAGGAGGAGGAGAAGGAAAAGAGATGGCGACTAGGCATCGGGTCCCGGTCTCCGAGCAGCAGAGGGGTATTGCTATGGAAATTTCGGCTTGTTCTACTGATCTCTGAAATCTCATCGATAATCAGAAAACGTTTCCCGCTTCGATCTTTCTTCCCCCGTCTGTCGATGGGTGTTTTGATTCCGTTTGATCCCCTTTCTCTTTCTCTCTTCCTCACTGTCACTCCTGGATCTTGTTTTGTTTGTATCTTCGAAATGTTCTTGCGCAGCGGTCCATTGTTCCTCCTTATTTTGGGTTTATTCTGCGATGAACATTCCAGTCATCGACTCCGCTCCGATTCGCCTCGATTTTATGATTCCTTTTTAGTGATGCAGTCGTAATGCTCTAGCTGACTTCTTCCGATCGAAGGGCAGTCGGGTTTGGACGAACTGAAGAGTTTGCTGTGAATCCACTCTATTTTCTCTGATTTGGGTATTCGGTTCTTGTTTCGAATAATTTCTTGGATTCCTCTTCTGATGGGAGGACTCATTCAGATGGAAGGCTTCTTGGCGATCTATCATCGTAGACTTCTGAGGATCTATTTTCTGGTTCTCACGTCCCTCAGGATCAATGGCTGCAGGGGTTGCAGGAGTCCCCACGGGCAAGCAGCAGAAAGCTCCCGCCGGGGCCAACCGGCGGGCTCTTGGGGATATCGGGAATCTGGTCAACGGCGCCAAAGGTCGACCAGAGGAAGGGTATGATCCGTCTCTCGTCTCCATCTTCCACCAGCTTTTGTTTCAGGGTTTCTCCAATCCAACAATATATATCCTTCCTCGACGAGCAGGAAGCCGCAGCAACAGATCTCCCGCCCCGTGACGAGGAGCTTCGGAGCCCTACTTCTCAAGAATGCACAAGCAGCTGCCGAAGCCGCCGCTGCCGCCAAGGTTACCGCCGGCATCATCTTCTTTCCTTCCATCGTCGTCTCCATCTTGACGGCATTGCTTACTGATGATCTCCTGCCCATGACAGCAGAATACACAGAAGCCTGTAAAACTGGACGCAGAAGGGGGAGGGAAGGTTCCACCGAAGCAGCCCAAAGTGAACGCCGCTGCGAGGCCGAAGATTGAGAAGGCCCCACCCGAGACGAATGCCGTCGAGATCGTCCCAACAGTTACTGCAGCGGAGTCTTCTTTGGGGAAGAAAAGGTCCTCGAGGAAGAAGGTTCACACCTTCTCCTCGGTGCTCTCTGCACGAAGCAAGGTGAAGTTCGTTGTTTGATCTCCAGCGTCCAACCCAGTAGCTTCGATTCATCGATTTCCCCTGATTCGTCTTCCTTCTCAGGTTGCGTGTGGAATTGCCCTCAAGCCCGCTGAGACTGTTCCTGACATTGATGCTGCCGACGTCGGTGATCAGTTGGCGGTGGCAGATTACGTAGAGGACATCTACAAATTCTATAAGCTCTCTGAGGTTTGATCAGATTTCCTCCCCCGTCCCTCCTTAGTCATCGTCTTCAGCTGATTTACCTTGTCTGTTGTTTCAGAGCTCCTTCCGACCTCGCGACTACATGGGTTCTCAGATCGAGATAAACGCGAAGATGAGGGCAATCCTCGTCGACTGGCTGATCGAAGTTCACTACAAGTTCGAACTCATGCCGGAGACGCTGTACCTGACAGTCTACATCATCGATCGGTACCTCTCACTCGAGTCGGTCCTCCGGAGGGAGCTGCAGCTCGTGGGCATCACTGCCATGCTCATCGCCTGCAAATACGAAGAGATTTGGGCTCCAGAGGTATTCAAATCTCCATCAGAGGAATTATCGGTTGAAGAGAGCTCTCAGCTCCTGACGCGTTTGTTTGATTGTTGTGTGTTTCTTCTTATTAGATCAACGATTTCATCTGCATATCGGATAATGCGTATGGTAGAGAGCAGATTCTGGGCACGGAGAAGGCGATTCTCGACAAGCTGGAGTGGAATCTAACTGTTCCTACCCCTTACGTGTTTCTCGTGCGATTCCTCAAGGCAGCGGCCATGTCGGAGGTTCCAGAGGTGAATCCTTCTCTCCATCTGTTTTCTTCTTCCATCTGAATGAATCCATATCCTAACTAATCGGATGATGCCTTTCCCTCCCGACCCAGATGGAGAACTTGACCTTCTTCTTCGCCGAGCTGGGTTTGATGCAGTACTCGTCGACAATCCCCTACTGTCCGTCGATGGTGGCCGCCGCCGCGGTTTACGCAGCTCGGTGCACGATCAAGAAAGCAACCCCAATCTGGAGCGAGACGCTCAGGAGGCACGCCGGCTTCTCCGAAGCAGAGCTCCGAGAATGCGCGCGGCTGCTGGTGGAGCTCCACTCGTCGGCCCCGGAGAGCAAGCTGAAGGCCGTGTACAAGAAATACTCGAGCCCTCGGCTCGGCGAAGTCGCCCTCCACTCCCCTGCGATGAAGCTACTCGAAGAAGTGCCCTCGTCATCCTCGTCCTCAGCAATCTGAGAGAGAGAGAGAGAGAAAGAGAGAGAGGAGCAGAGCGCTGATCTGCTCGTTGTGTGTGTAGCTGAATTCATTAATTTCATTGGACGGATAACTCTTTCCGATCAATTTGAATGCCTTCCTTTGTCATGGTTTGGTAACAAATAAGCACAGCCATGATCGACGGTGTTGACCTGCCGTCGAAACTTATTTACTATTTATGGTCAAACACAGGCCCTTAGTCCACGGAATGGGATATCTGTCGCAGTAGTTTTGCGTGGGATTCGAACAGGGTGACGACGACGTCAACCCCACCGTCTCCCTCCCTGAGGGGAATGAATACGATGACGCCTTCTGCGGGTATCCACGACGGCGCGAACGCGCACACGCCACCCTCGCCGCCGCCGAACTCCATGTCACTAAAGCGGAAGCCTAGCCAGCTGTTGACCTCCAGATCTGGGTACAGCACCATCTCCTTCCAGTCGTTGAGAAGTTCCTGCTCCTTATGAATCTCCCAGAAGTCCACGAAGGACCGGAAGTACTCCTCCCCCGTCCGGCGAACGGCGGCCCGGATCAGCGCCGCCGCCCCCTCGAGGCCCCCTCCCAGCAGCTCCTTCGCTCCGGCCCGGGGGTAAGCGTTGAGGACCATGTTCCCGGTGAACTCCGCCGGCACCGGCGGAGTCAACCGCCGCCTGCCGTCGACCGCGACCCTTACTTGGGTGAACTCCTCCCCGTTGAGTCCCCTGGCCATTGTTATCTTCCTCCACAGGTGGGCTAACAGGATCTCGAATGTGGTGTACTTCTCCATCGTCTGTTCTTTCAGGGCCTTCGCTATAAATTCGCCGGAGTAGTGGAGGGACAAGTTGTGGACGTCCTCGTCACCGGCCGGCGGCGGTGGAAGAGAACCGTCCTTCTGGGCCTGTCCCGGGGGTATGAACTCGCTTCTGGGAAGGCGGCGAGGTTGCAGCCACCGCCGGCAGTCGTAAACAGGGAGAGGGTGGACGGCGAGTCCCCTCACTGCTCGTCCCCAAGCGGCGTAGAAAGTGCTCATGGACTGCCCGTCGGCGACTCGGTGGTGGCACGTCACTCCGATCACCAGCCCGCCGCAGCGGAAGCGGTTCAGCTGGACTTGGAGCGCGTGGACAGCTCCCTCCGTCTGTCGGTGCAACTTCTGAAGTTCTGGCGAGGGCTTCAGCGGGATTTGCTCCGCCAGCTCCGACTCCACCGCCGCCTCCACCAGCAGAGCCCCGTTGCCGGCGCCGCCGGCGAGGATACACGGGCGGCGGAGCTCGTCGGTCCCAAGCCGCCCGGCGAAGGTGTAGAAGTGCGCCAGCGTCTTCGCGAGGCCGTCCTTGATCTGCGCGTTCGTCGCCGTAGGGGCGGCGAAGGCGAAGAGCACGGCTACGTGCATGTCGGCGGCGACCTTGTCGAAGGCGCTGAGCGGGGTGGCGGAGGGCCCGCCGCCGTCGACGGTGGTAGAGCTCAGCAATCGGACCTCCATGTCTTCCCCCCCAGCGGCAGCCACGTCTCTGGGAAGACGGAGAGACGCCGGAATTTATAACTCCCCCGAGAAGGACGGAGGCGAAGAAGCCGCTAGAAGGCATCCCCGATGGCGGCGCCACCTGACAAATGATCGGTCAGATCGAGATAGCTTCGAGCAGACGTGCGCGTCACCGTCAGCGGCGTACACCGCGACCTAATGCTCAAGCAGATCCACGGGGGATATCTCAAGAGCCGACAGGTATGCAGATAGGCGGAAGAGCTTAACCTATGGTAGCGTCATGATAAGGCATCGGATGATCACCACCGCCGATACGCCCACTTTGGGCCCAATATACATATAACGGCCCATTTGACCCAATAATAGGTGCACGAGGCAAGAACACGTGGCATTGCACTAAGTTACATTTTCCTCGTCCGAAATCTGGCTTAAAACTTGTCGCGGCCTATGTTGACTTCTCCACGCGGCAGAGGAGGGAGAATGTGACGTCATCGTGGACCTTGTTGGACCGTCCAGGGCGGCGCGCAGGAGCGCGAATCTGACCGCTCACCATGCCGCAGTTACTGCTCGTGTTCCGTCACGTTGTCTTTATGGACTCCCACAAGAGAAAGAGAGAGAGAGAAAGAAAGAGACGCCGCTGGTTAGCTGGACTGGAGATATCACTGATCGACATCTAGAGAGAGAGAACAGTCACTACGGAGGTCATCCGATGATCGCCCTGCTTATCCTTCCTGTTCATAGCTTCTTCCGGCGAGGGAGAAATATGCAACTCGCGTCGGCAGACGACAAGCGAAAGATTCTCTCTCTCTCTCCCTCTCCCCCCTTCTCTCAGAGGGGCCAAAGAGAGTCCTAGCTGCTCGCGCTGCTAGGAGCTTGCTTGCGGGACTCTCCTCCTGACGGCGCATGTGCCCCACTCTCTCTCTCTCTCTTTATCTCTCTGTTTGTGTGCGTCCGTTGGAGGGGGAGAAAGCGGATGTGATTCAGAGTTGGATTCCTCAAGAAGGAAGTCGTGCCCGTACTCATCCATCCGCTGCAAGCTGTCGGAATCCAGACACGTGGCAGGGGGATTATTTTAACCAATGTTTATTACGCGAAAACTTGGTGGCGGCGTCGGGGTAGCAGCAGCAGCAGCCCAATCCGGGCACGATCTCGCGGGATTATTATCCCGCGGACCGATTAAGTTTTTAATTGGTATTATAACCCGGCCGGCGGGGAATCGCAGCCGTTCGAAGTGGATCGGACGGCGTGGGGGGCAGCCAATCATTGACTTGCTCCGTCGCCCGCAGTTCCTCCGCTGTGTCGTCATCACGGTACCCTCCGGGGCGGGTTGTCCGGAGGGTAGACGACAAAAAATTGCCCGGCGAGGGGGCCGGGGAGATCTCACGGCGGCCACGAGGCGGCGGAGGAGGACGGCGGGGAGGAGGTGGGGAGAGTCCGAATCTGTAATTATGCCCACTCGATGCGTAGCAGATCAGTGAACTGCGATCTGCCTCGGAAAAGTCCACCAGCTTCCCAAACAGCGGGGAGGCCGCTGTGAGGAGGACGACGATGAGGGGCAAAAAAATTTCTCTCTCTCTCTCTCTCTAGCTCTGCGTGTCTCAGGGGGAAGCAGAGAGCCATCTTAAAGGGCAATTTTTTGCTGGAGTTCTTTATTGATCCGCTAATGGGAATCGCATGACCACAATTGGTGCAGGTGCACGCGTGGGAGAGGAGAAGAGGAGAGGAGGGGGAGGGGGGGGGGCAGGGGAGAAAAAGATAGAGAGAGAAGGGACGAAAGAAGGGGATCCACCTCGAACCCCTCTCCGCCTCCGGCAAAAAGAGAAACCCAGATGCCTACTGCGGCAGCTTCCACCATCGTCCTGCTGAAGCTCACCTGCTCTTCTTCTTCTTCTTCTGTGGCCAGCCCTTGTTCCACCGGCTTCTTGCACAAAAGGAGCGCCGCCCACTAGCTCCAGTAGTTTCTTGGGGGGGTCGAGGAAGGATCAGGGCCGATCGAGTGTGAGGGAGGGAGAGAGAGGGTCGAGGGTGGGGAATGAGGGAGGAGGAGTCCAATTGGTTTGCCCGATGGGAGGAGGAGCTCCCCACCCCGGAGGAGCTCATGCCGATCTCTCAATCCCTAATTACCCCGGACCTTGCCCAGGCATTCGACATCTCCACCACACCCACCAGCCCCTCTAGTCCCACAGCCCTCGCCGACAACCCTAACCAGGCCTCACATCACCACCCGCAGCAGCCGTCGACATCTCCCCACCTCCTATCCGCCCTCCACCTTCACCAGGAGACTCAATCCCTGCAGCCCTCCGCTCACCAGCCGCCGCCGGACTTCGACTCGCAGGAGATGGGCGGCGCCGGAGCCGGCAGCGGCGGCATGAACCCGGGGGAGGAGCCGGCTCGCACTCTGAAGAGGCCGCGGCTGGTGTGGACGCCGCAGCTGCACAAGCGGTTCGTCGACGCCGTCGCTCATCTGGGGATCAAGAATGCCGTCCCCAAGACCATAATGCAGCTGATGAACGTGGAGGGCCTCACCAGGGAGAACGTCGCCAGCCACCTCCAGAAGTATCGACTCTACCTCAAGCGGATGCAGAGCCTCTCCTCCCCCGGCGGCGCCACCGGGCCTGGCAGCCACGTCTCGGCCGTCGACGCTGCCACGGACCGCCTCTTCGCCAGCGCCCCCGTGCCGCGCCACTTCCTTAGCCGCGCTCCGCCCGCCGGCGTGATGGTGCCTGGGGGAGGAGTCTGTGCCCCCGACCACCAGCTCATGCCATTTGTGCCCGTTTCGGCCCTGCAGCACCACCAGCAGATGGCCGCCGTCGCCGCCGCCGCCGCCGCCGCTCACCAGCAGCAGCAGTACTACCATCAGAGGCACATGGGCCACCTGGGTTCTCCCCGCGGCGGAGGCTTCGAGCACGGCTACCTCTCGCGGCCGCCGCAGCCTCCTGGAGTCCCCCAGATGATAGTTGCTCCCGGGGGAGCCTCGATCGCGCCTTCTCCTCGGGGGACATCATACGCAGAGGGCTCCGATTCCGGGGCAGCTTCAGGAGGGGGAGGGAGGAGGATGCTGACGCTTTTTCCAACTGGTGATGATTGATTGACCTTAGAGCACGCCAACCCCCCCCCTCCCCGGCATGTTGTTGATTTCCGCGTCCGGGGAGGACGCCGTGGTGGGGATTAACAAAGAAGGGCTTAATTACTTCGTCGGGATTCTGGCCGGGGTCTCCATTAGCGTTTTCTTTTTGTTTGTAGAGGATGAAATGAACAAGTGCTGAGAGTTGCAGCGGCAGTGGATTGCAGGATTGTAGTGGGGGCAAGATCGACGCTATGTCTACACGTTGTGGATTCAACATCTCACTCTCAGATTTTTCCCTTCGTTTGCGTCTGTAGATACCCATGTCTCTAAGCCCGGTATTGGTTCTGATACTTTTGGGCGATGAAAGCCATGAATTGCATTGCATGATCCTACATCTGTTGGATTTCTAAGTAAAACTATATAGAGTACCTCCTCCTATCTTCGCTGAAAAGATGGCGCTGAATCCTCCGATGATGAGCCTATTTTATCAGAACATTCTACTGTATAAAGTTTAGAGATTCGACACCCAGCTCATTTCCTGTACGCCATCTTGAATCCGGAGTGGCAACTTCAGTGAGATCACCCAGTGACGAACTCCTTTAGGCAGATATTTACAGAGATCATTTGGAATGAAAAGAAGAGATCAATGAAATGCCGGTTTGAAAGGTGGTGTTAAAACACTTTGAGATCTGTTATCCAAAGCTTGTAAAATCTGCAGTGCTTGCGTTCACCCGAGCTTCTGGGTCATCCTCCTAGCTGTACCTATTCCCAGGCTAGGCTGGCCGTGGCTGAACCAGCTCAAGCGTTCTTAATCTCGTCTTCCTCCCAACGGGGTTCTTCAGTTCCGTTCCGATCTCAGCCCTCGAAGTTTCGTCCTTCTCGCTCCGTCCTCGCTGGTTCTCCAAACCTTGAATGTCTCCGCTTTCCGGATTGGACACCTTCGTTCAAACCTTGAATGTACTCACTCTCTGATCTGAAGATCACCAGACCCTCTAGACTTGAATGGGTTCAGTCAAAGTGAGTGTGTGAGCATCATGGAGTTAATCACCTTCCCATGCAGCATAATGGCAGTGATCACCCGGGTGTAGTGAATGGTTTGGACAACTTTTTAAAATGATTTCCAGAGCTCCCTTTTAACCCTACTCTTTTGTCATCATCGAACTTCGTCCTTGATCATCCGTCTCCATTTTCGCACAGGAAACATAGGCCCGTAACTCCTGATCTGGCCCGGATTCGATTGTCGTCTATCACGTGATCAGATGATGATCCTGTTCTCATTCCTGTTCTTGCTCGAGTGGGCGAAGAAGTGCTGCAACTCACTCTCTGCCACAGAATTAGACAGATGAGAGATCATGAGGTGGGTAACTCCTGTTATCGACGTTGAAATCCTGATGAATCCATGTATCTAGAGTCGATTACATAAAGAAGTGGGCCAGAGGACACCCACCCTGTTAGATGGAAGAAGGGTTGTGTGATCGAGATCAGGGCCTCAATCATGATGGGATCAGTTCCCGTCAGAGATCAGAGCAGAAGAGCCGTTGCTCATCGCATCCTCTCAGGCGCGGGGAGTTTATTAAATGGCAAGCTCCGTACATCGTCTTCCCTACTCTGGCGCTGCAGCCTCCTCAGGGCCGACATCCTGTCAGAGAGTATGTGACCTTGCATCGTCCTGTATTTGCACTGCCTGAACAGCAGTTTTTAGTACCGGAAAGCGCGGCATTTCGGCAGCTTGCTTGATGGGCCCCTTTTGAAGGGCTCGAATCCTTCCGATCTCCGGTTGATAAAGCCGAGGGCTGGGAAAAGGTTCCCGTCGAGTCCTGCAGCTTTCCCGGAATACTATTTCCTGGACAAAGTTGGGGGTTCTGGGTTTCACTTGTAAAACTTACCCATCCTCGCCCATCCCACCACCGGCGCCGCCCCTCTCCGGCGACCGGCGGCGAAGACGACACCGCGTGCCGCCTCCGGCAGGCGACCCGCATAGGTTGCCGTTGCTCTGCACGAATACCGTTTTCTGAAACAGCGGACAACGTTTTCCGCCAACCTCGGCATCATCAAGAGAAAAAGGGAGGCGTCAGAATCAGATGCAGAAATCATCCGCTGGTTGGAATCTGCGACAAGAACAAGGATGAGGCGGATTAGATGCCATCCTCGAGGGGCGAGCTCCAAAAGAAGTAAATCATGGAAGGTCAGCGACTGATGGTGAGTCCCAAAAGAGGGTACGAACAGAGAAAGGCGTTGGTCAGACAAGTATGCTGTGCAAAGGAAGGAAATATAAAGCCCACCTGTCTAAAAGAATCCAAAGTATAGTTGAAAGATCACAAACAACCGGCCATTCGTGATATCCAGAGTTTGGCGGCGGCAATCAGCATCCCCTGAAGGGTGAGATGATGGCTCCTGCAGGTGTCCAGACCGGGTGAAAGCGGCAAGTGGAGGGATCTTCACGTTGAGATCACTCAGATCCATCACGTTTGGGGGTTCTATGATCTCAAGTGACTCTTCTGTGCTTCTCACGTTTGTGTTTTCCTTGCCAGTTATATACTTCTGACAGGCAGGGATCTCCACACTGCGAAATATGAGAACTGTCAATGGACTAGCGAGAGAGAGAGAGAGAGAGAGAGAGAGAGAGGAAAAAAAAGATAAGCTAATTTTCAGCTGGCAGAGCAAGAACCGGGTTCAGAACAAAGTTCTCTAAAAAAGCTAATTTTGAAGGGACCCAGAGCATTTTTTGCGTGACCAGAACAAAAAAAGAGACGCGAGATATGGAAACTGCAAAGGAACTGATGAAAAAAATAAATTAGAAGAACAGCTAGTTGGGGAATTTATGATCTCCTAGTTTGATGCGGCTTAAAGAAGAAGATTTTAACGGGACCAAGAGCATTTTTATGTGACTGTGACTGAAACAAAGACTGATATTCTATGAGAAGTAGGGTATGCTACATATATTTTTTAAAACAAAAACGGAGACAAACAATGAAGAAGGACACTGGAAAAACGATTCTCGATACTCAGCTGGTACATAGTTTTCGAACAACGAAAGGATCATTAGATCACCTTCGATTGGAACCGGGTTCAAAAATAAACTCTCCTCAACAAAAATAAACGAGTGATCCGTAAAAAAAATTATGGTTTGTACAGAAAAAGTAGCGAAAAGAGGCTGAACCAACAGAGGATGAACGGTATATGTGGGTTTTGAAAGGGCAGAAAAAAATAGTCTCAAGAACATAACGAAACGTCGACCGATGAACGCAAAGACAGATGAGATGGAAGCATAAATCCTACGAGAGAAGACATGCGGACGCTAGTTAATAAAATATAGCGCAAAGAAAAATCTTAGAAGCAAAACTGAAATTTCAAAAAGGAAGCATTATGATCCTCAATGTTTCAAGATCCTTATGGCATTTTACTGAATCTACTGGGTCCGGAAGATTCTAACTTCGAGAATGATCATGATCTTGAGCAGTGTATATATTACTTCAAAGCATTTAAGACGAAAGACTCAGAAGCATAGGAATGATGTCCATAGCATATATAAATGAGACCAAATAGTATATATTACAATGTTTTCTAAACGATTATTGGGTAAGAGAAGCACAACTGGGGAATACGGCACTTGAACAACATTGTACAAGGATAAAGAGCATGGATAACGTTCTGCTAATGCAGTGGTAATAAATAAAATAATCCTATGAATAACTAATAGACGGGTGATTAATACACCACAGCAAATGAGAAAGGAAAGTTTAGATATCAAAACAGAGGATTATTAATAAATATGCAGTAAGAAAGAGTAACCTCTGGATAGTTTTGTAGATTTACAAAAGGCAAATGACAGGGTACGAAAAGATGTTAGTTAGTAACCTCAGAAAGAATAACAACTCTAGAACGTTATCAATGAAGGATTAAAAACATGTACAAATCAACAGCGAATGTCAAGTTGGTTCAGAGAGAATCGCGCTCTCGAAGTAATGATTGGTTGTGATAAACGTTCAGGAAACCAATTCGGACCTTCTCATTTATGTAAGATATGACTGACCATAGGATTTCTAGGAAAAAGCATTCATCCACGTCATTCACGCAGGAGATATGCTAGCGCACGAGGACCATCCACAGGAACCACAGAGACCTCATTTATTACCAAGAGAAGAATTTCACAGGACTTACTTATCCAGAAATCCACTTAATTTCAGCATCGTTCATTATATCTAATATGAACACATCTCTCATTTTCATAATTTAATCCACGAGAATTTCTTAGAGTTGACCTGTAGTTGCACGTGAACTATAACTTATAAAATAATGAAGCATTCCTTCATAAACGAACTGCTGTCGCACAACTTTCACCAGATACACAGCATCCAAAGTTACCTTGGCCAATGTAGCCTCGCACTACCTCACAGAATACAAATGGTCAAAGAACTCTCAAAATTGCCAGATATCAATTTACTACGCAGCAAAAATTGACGATGATGATGGTTAATTCTCCAGAAAGCGTCTAAGCATTCAGTGGACAGAGACTAAAAAATCTATTTCTTCAACTCTTCATGTCAATGTACAACAGAGAAGAGACTATCGGATGTGTTATTGTCCCTACAGGTCGTTTGGGCCCGTCCTAAATGTCTCTCCAGAAACATTAGACACAAAGTGGGTACTGTCACTAACAAGCTCCCCGATCTACACTAACTGTATGAGCCACCCCCTCCTTCCAACCAAAAAAGTAAAATTCTTGCTGGAAAAGCCTTAGTCATCCCCCTAAGACTGCTAAACCCCCAGTCCCCAGCTTCAATACAGATCACCCTGCTGCAAGATAGAAGCTTCAAGAAAATCCCATAAACGATGCACATAGAGAGTGCATCATACCCAGTATCCTTACGTCGTGTGAAAATATTGTAACTGAAACTACCACGTAGTCAAATAATTGTTGGATGGATGATGGACTGGCTTCTCAATTATGAAACAACGAGTGACAACCCAATTCACCAGTAAAGGATATAAATCATAAGGAATCTTCTCCCACTATTCAATCGAGCAAATTACAACTGTCTCGGCTATCCTATCACATTAAATGAAACATAATGAAATAATCTCTCGATTCCTCCATAGTATTCCACGTGACATTCAGAGAGACAATGATAATAAAATGTTGCCAAACAATTCAAAATCTCTTTGATAAAGGACATTTATCCCGATCCCTCGTCTCACTATCTTTCTGTAGTGTATCCTCCAGCAGACAAAGGGGTATAGAGCTCCTGCACGATGATAGCTAACAGAACATGTTTCACGCAGAAAAACTCATCTGTCATCACTGAAAGTAGAAATCTGGAATAAAAATGTGTGCATAGCCCTACATCACTTCTTTACCATCTATCTCCATTTGGCAAATAATTTTTCCAAAAAGTGTCTAATATGCATCCACGACTCATACCTACATCCTTTTAACCCAGCAAAAAATATTGACATCAATACTACGTCCAGTTTCCATGCATCTTCCCCGTTTCAAATCATCAACCATCCCATCCACCAAGATCCAACTTTTCAATCAAAGTGAAAAAAACAAGAAATATACTTAAGACCCGTAAACAACAATTGTGACCTCAATTATGTGATATTTCCTTGATTGCTCTAGACAAGATGCACAGAAAATACAGTCTTAAAATGCATGTAGTGCACATTGCAAGAACCCTATAAATAGGGAAACTGGAATACTCTTGACTCCAAACAATCCAGACAACAGAAAGGACGAACTGCAAAGTTAACGAAAAACAGTGACCTCACTGATGTCTCAATGTCTAAAGATGATGAGCCCGTAAGCAGTAAAAAAAGAACCATTTAAATACATTGTATATAAAACCCACACACTTCACAATGAATGGTCTTATCAAACAGGAACCTTTACAACAGAAACGGAAAGTCACTTGCCTCAGTTATTCTCGCTACAAGTGATCAATCCTTCTTGCATGTAGCCTCTCCATCATCTTCTGATACTCCAACTCGTCTTCACTCGTGCAGGATAATTGTTTTCGTATAGGTGATGGAGTTATGGAACAAAACGATCAAACAAATGACAAAGATTATTGGGACGTACAGCAAAGGACACACCTAAACAAAGCTCAAAGGCTTTCAGTGAACCAAGGAAGGGCACATGGAGGCTTAAGAAATGCCAACCACCAGATTTCGGCATGGCAATGCCTCAGCTAGAGTGTTAAATGCCGGTGTCAAGCAGCCAATAAATAGACAGATCCATCGGTTTCTTTTCCATCATGTCACAAAGAATCCATAAATTCTGTTTCCGCTGATACCCGGGAGAGATCAAGCTCAACTGCGACTACAGTAACAATACAGGCAAACTAATAAGTTTCCCTGAACCTAAAGAAGATACAGAAACCGTACTATATCCCAGAGGACAAATCACTCTTATTGTAGAGAAAGTAAGAATAACAAGATAGTTTATAAGAGGAGACATGCTTCACCGTCCTTGAAACATCTCCAACCCCTTTATAAGAAATAGTCGACAGGCATTGGTACTAAGCTAAACAGAAATAAAAAACTCACGATCAGCAGTGATCTGTTCATTCTCAAGTCGCTAATGAGAGCAGGCCTGATTAATCATCACCACAAAGTATGCACCGTCCATCCATCACATTAAACAAAAGTTGACGATCTTCTGGATATTCTGAAGTAGCCATAGTGTGAAAATGGAGCTAATCAGATAGCATCCAGAAACGGAACCAGGGAATATACTCTCACTATCAATGCAACAGCGGCATTTGTACGACCTAAAGCTATTTTCAAAGCAGAGGTCTAACACAGAACAGAAGTCCATATCCAGGAAAATAGCAACTCAAGCATACCCATAACAAGTTACCCTTTGGTAACCCTTTGGCCATAAGTCTAGGCTGCAAGAAGTGAAGAGATACCATGAGAATCAGCTAATTATGATCTGCTGCCCCATGAAACCCAACTCAAAGGGGAAACTGATCATACACTTCTGAAACGGGAAAAAACTACACTGCCATAACCCGTCACATAGTTATTTCTCATACGCGCATAATCAGATCGAAGGCATCTGATGAAATAATGCGATATGGAATAAAACTCAAAACTAAATGGCCATTCTAGGCCAGATCATCCGTCAAATAATTACCTTCATGAAGATTCGTCTCTACGTGATCATAAGGACTAAAAAAGGGGATCACCATTCCCTCCAACTTCGTATAAACTGTATAATATGTGACCAGTAGCAGCAACAAATATTTACCATCATATTCAAATGATTTCCACATCCAAAAGCAAAGAAGCATCATAACCCAATTTCTATACAATCATCTGATAGTGAGAGGGACCCACCAGTATATAACTAGACAAGATCTCTCTCCTGGGAAAAAGACATAACAATGTCCAACAAAGACATCTGGCTGAAACCATCTATAGTGCAGAAGAAAATCACTAAGTTATGGAAACCAAACTGATATCTGTTTTTCGTACTTGAGTCAGCGTTGATTGGAATCAAATCACCAAGGATACGAGGCACGAGACATTTCACTTTCCCCTAAATAAAGTCTAAAGTACAACTTCCAAATAACATATTGTGTACCATGCTCCATATTTTTACAAAAAACCAAACAAAAATCAGTTGACAATTCAAGTGATTTTGCCACTATCAAACAATTCACGTCTTCATTATATTTGGACTGACAATAAAATGGTGTCTCACTTCCCCTCAAAACTTCCAAGATAAGTACCCCATGCATGGTCAGAGCATTGACAACTGATAAGAATGCATCCATATGTTTCCAGAGCACGGTGCATCATCAGAGTGTTACTACACAAACACTTCATCCGTATACTGACACCGTAATGAAAGAAATTATACTAGTAGTACAAATATAAAGTATATGACATCTAACCAAATCCAAGTCACCACTCTTGGAAGATGTCATTGATGTTCCCTGCGATTTGATGCTATTAAACATCCCGCGGGATGATCTGATTTCTGCTGAACATCCCTACTCATTTCCAAGTGACACCAGTGGCTCACACTTGCTGGATGCACAAGTTTCTTATAAATAGGATATGATAATACGTAGTAAAAACCCTATGCTAAGGTTAGCAGAAAATAATATATGAATGAAGTTTCAATCACACAAATCAGTAAAATGGAAGACGAATCAGCCTCAGGAAGCAATCTGCATCATGTAACATGAAAAGGATATCAAAACTGCTACTGTGAATTTCAGATCGTAATTCAACTCAATCCTAAACCACACAGCCATAAAATCAGAAATTCAAGGAACTAGTCTGAATATTTAACAGAAAGATGAAACATCATTCGTGAAAAAGCAACTGATGCTGTAAGTCCTATGATTTTTTTATAGCACGTTGCACCACTTGAGAGCCTTAAACATCTAACCCTTCAATGTAGTCGAGACACCAATATCGAAAATGCATGATCACTGTGTGTAAGTGATAATCCGATCGCACATCAGCGCCTAGGAAGGCGAGGCTTCTCGTATCCTCCCCAAGAACCTTGGCCCATGCCGTATAAAGGACCTTTATCTGCGGCACCCTGAGAAGTAATTGAGTGATAAACTAAATGAATTAAATCCTCAAACAAGGGCAAGACACCTAGTCACGGTCATTCGGACTCATGAGCGATTACTACCGCTCTAAAATTTTGAGCCATACCGAGTGAAGACCATATCCATCACCAAATGGAGGAAAGCCCCCTTCAGGACTGTTGAGTTTTACTCCGTAAGCTCCACCTACGAAAATAAATCAACATAGTCAGGTCTCGGTGACACATGATATTAACTACTAGAACAATCTACGCATCATATGCGTCCAATAAGTGACAAAATGGAAAAACTAAGTAATGTTATCAGCTTGTTGGATGTCGTTATAAAGACTACTTAGAACAGACTTGCGGGTAAGAGGGTGCACTTTAAAGCAGTGTATTGTAATCAAAATCAAGCTTACCCCATAGACTTTAAAATGACCACAGTCATCGAAACAAAAAAATTGGAGATCAGAAACAAGCTTTAGAAATATAGCAAGGTACCTGCGCCCCAGTTTCTTGGTTCACCACTTGCTAGTTCTGCACGCAGCTTCTCAAGCTCACGAGCCATGGAAACCAAGTTCTTCTCCATTGCCTGCCTCTGGTCGACCAGTTCTGCATTCCCCTTCTTCTCATACTCTAATGCGGTCCTGAAAAAGATAAACAAAAGACCGTCAAATTTACACGTGAATCCGGAAGAGGGAGTTGAAAAGTCAACGACGAGAAGGACACGATATAAACGAAGTCGGTATGACCTGACACGCATAAGCTCCTGCCTGAGACCATCGATCTCGCCCTTGAGGGCATGCGCCTGCTTAGCATCGGCCTGAGATCTTGAGAGCTCCTGCGTCAGCCCCTGCACCTGCTCCTGCCGTAGAGATTTTAGCTTCTGAAGATCGGCACGAAGCTGTGCCACTTCGTTCCGAAGGGGCTCTGCCGCACGGAGGTCAGCCTCCACTTTCATGCCTTTCTCTATCAGATCCCTAATTTGTGCATCCTTATCAGCTCGAATGTCTCCGATAAAGATGTTCAAGCGGTGGATCTCATCCTTGGCCATGGCCAACTCCCGCTGCAGGCCGGCGCAATTGTCCACAAGCCTGCGGTTATCCCCCACGAGCCTCCTTATCTCCCCCATCTGGAATTCGATCTCCTCCTCGTATACCGCCGGTGGAGGCGGTCGAGGCGGCGGGGGCCCGCCGCGTGGGAAGGGATTGCCGTCGTGTACGTCGGGGTAAGCCGCACGCCGACCGCCATCGTGAAAGGCGTGCCGGGAGGGCATTCGACCTCGTCCGGCCATGACCTAGCACAGGAACAGTCACCGGCGGCCGAGCCAAGCCCTCTCGGCGGAGCAGGGTGACGCCGCTGAGGCCGACGGTGCAGATAGGGTTTCCACGGGGAGCACACAACAGAAAGTCTGCACTTCTCCGTCGTCCCCGATCTAATACGAGCGGTCACCGGACCGGCGGTCGCACTATCTCGACCCGAACCGGTTCTCCCAAATCATAGTGAACCGGACCAAACACGCCAATTTAAAGATATTATTATAAATGGATAACTGTGGACTTTTTTTCCACCATCCAATCTGAATTTTATAACAACGAACTAATAACACATATTTATGTGTCTCTTCTACCATAACTAATTTAGGGTTAAAGTAGTCATTAAGCTATTTAGACGAATGATAATTTAATTATTTAATATATTCATTGAAATCGATTCAAAAGTAGCACAACTCTCTCTCTCTCTCTCCTCTCCTTGTTGAATGGACTTTATTTCTTTCACAACCCGATCTTCCTTTTAAAAAAATAATTTAATTATCATTACTTGTAATTTAGGGGTAAATTATCATTAACCTCTTGACTCGACAAATAAAATAAATTATATAATATAATAATTTAAAATTGATTTATACCAGTCCCTGGTAACACAATTCACTCTGTGTCTCTTCTCATTCTTCTCTCCTTATTGCACGGACTGACTGGTGAGTTTACAGAAGTCGCCGTCTTCCTAAGCTTGTGCCAAAATACTTCGGCGGTGGCCGCGATGAAGTCGGCCAGCTTATTGAGGCCCAAGAGACAAGCACTACGAGAGCAGAAGGAGAGGGCGACTCCAACGCCGTGACCAGGAAACGGGTTTGCCTTTCAGTACGTGCAGCCACATTAAAGAACCGGCCATCTCGAAGCGGCCACTACCCATTTACTTTCCATTCCCGAGGGACGTCAGGTGCGAGTAACTCCCTCGGTTACTTTGACTTCTTCGTAGAAAAATCTGTAATATCTCGTTCTCTCAGGGTTTGTTTTCATCTTATCATCTCAGAATTAATTCTCCTTTCTGTCCACTCTCAACCTAGGGCACCCATCAATTGGTATGAGAGCCAAGTTTTGATCGACATGTGACTTAAGCCTAGTGAAGTGAAGTGGGGAGACATCGACAAAGAACTAGAAGAAGTGCGCCTTCAAATCTCCAAAGACCAAGTAGGCAATCAGGAATTTCGGGAGGCGATACACCAACAACTAGTGGCCATCACACACACCCGAGAGTCTATAGCATCAGATGACCATGTGTCCAAATCGACCCGACAAAGGAAAGAGTCAAGGCAACTCTAACGGCAAGTGTGGCACAGGGAGTCAAGTTGCGGGTGAACCGCGGGCCTTCCCGAGAACTCGGCAACCGAAAGGAAAGCCCAACATCATCCCATAAGCCCCCCCCTCTGTCCGGGACACCAGTAGAACCTCTTCCGCAGACCCACAGTAACATCGACCAAAAACGACGACAAGAAATCTGGGTTTTGACGGTCGTGACCTGGAAGGATGGGTGTTCCGTACCGAAATCTATTTCAACACACATCGTTTCAATGCAGACGACAAACTTGCCGAAGCCCGCCTCTGCATGGAAGGTTGAGTCTTACATTGGCTCCAATGGGTGGAAGAACGGATGCCTTTCTGATGTTGGGAGGACCTGAAACAGCAGGTATTAACGCGATTTAGCTCCAAGAAGGCAAACACTCTGTGTCAGCGCTTCCTAGAGCTTACTCAAGAGGGGACCGTGGACGAATATATCAAGGACTTCGAGCTGCTATCCAAAGTTCTTCGGAACATTCCTGAGGAGATACTAGAAGGATCTTTCCTCAAGGGACTCTGCAAAGATATTCAGGTAGAAGTTTGTGCTCTAAATCCGGCAGGATTGGAGGCAATGATGCAAGTTGCCCAACATATAGAGTTGAAGATCAACACGTTGATCGAATTGAGAGCTCTGGGGAGAACTCGGACCATCAGAACGATGTAAATGGGAGCATCTCACCTCGACCTCAGGCGACCACGAGTAGCGGATTTTAAGAGAGGTGAAGAGGGAGGATCTCGCGGAGCTCCCCCCCCATCCCAGGCTAGTGATCAAACTGACCGGAGGAGGAGACTGAACCTTTCAGCAGCCGAGATCCAATCCCGTCGTCTCAAGGAGCTGTGCTATCATTGCAACGAAAAATTCTCACCGGGCCGACATTGCAAGAGAGAGTTGCACATTATATTTTTTCCCTCCGACTTAGATTCTTTGTTAGAGTCATCAGAGAGGTGAGGACGAGCCCTCCGCCATGACAGAAGAACATAATCTGGTTCACCTAGAGGTAACAGTACATTCCTTGTCCGGAGAGGAACCCATCTGATCGCTTAAATTCCGTGGGGCTATCAACAGACGATCGGTTGTCGTTCTGGTGGACAGTGGGGACACTCATAATTTTATTAATCAATCTGTGGCCCGAGAACTCAACCTGCTGGTCGAAAACACTCCAGATGTTCAGGTGATCACAGGCACGGGGGAAAGAGTGACTGGCACGCAGGCATGCCGTGGAGTCTCAGTCGACATACAGGCCACCACGGTTTGTGACGAGATTTTGATCTTACCCTTGACAACCGTGGATGTGATCCTCGGCCTCCGCTGGATGGAGTCTCGGAAGAAAGTCGAGCTTGACTTTGAGAACTAGTCAGTATCCTTGCAAATAGGGGCCGAGCTGGTGGTCCTGATTGCCGACTTCCCTCAGGTCCAAGAGGCCCACACACTCAAGGTGCTCACCGGAGGAGTCAAGAAGGGTAATATACTCATCGAAATCTACCAATTAACGAACCACAGAGATCTTGAGAGCTCGGCTTGGAGGAAAGTATGAGGCTCCTCTTCTCAGGGCCTTTCTTAGAGGCCATTGGCCTCCCACCGCCGCGAGAGGTAGATCATAAAATACCGTTTGCTCCAGCTACTATGCCTATCAATGTTCATCCTTTGAGGTACCCCCACATCCATAAGTCAGAAATCGAGATGTTGATATGGGAAATGATGGTGGAAGGCTTGATCCAGCATTTAAACATTCCCTTCTCCAGCCCGACGCTGTTTATTTGAAAGAAGGACAGTACTTGGTGGTTTTGCATTGACTACGGTGTTTTGAACCGTGTCACTATCCCTGACAGGTTTCCGATTCCAATCATGGAAGAGCTTCTCGATGAATTGCATAGAGCTCAAGTGTTCTTAAAGTTGGACTTACACTTGGGATATCACCAGATCCGAGTGAACGCGGAGGACGTCCCAAAAACGGCCTTCCAGACCCACGAAGGGCATTACGAGTTCCTCGTAATGCCGTTCAGGCTCTCCAACGCCCCGGCCACCTTCCAAGCCTTGATGAACAAGATCTTCAGTAAGTTTTTGAGAAGGTTTGTTCTGATATTCTTCGGCGACATATTGATTTATTATAGAAATCGTTGCGAGCACGAGGAGCATCTCCGACATGTGTTCACTATTTTAGAAGAGCACCATCTCCATCTGAACCCCAAGAATGCTCATATGGAGTGCATAAGATCGCTTATCTAGGGCATTAGGCCTCTGCAGACGGCGTCGCCGTTGACCAAGAGAAGGTCGAAGTAGTACTCAGGTGGCCGTCGCCGAGCAAGCTCAGAGAACACCGCGGATTCTTGGGCTTAACTGGGTATTATAAATGGTTTATCGCCAGTTATGGGAGCTTTGCCCGGTCATTAACACAAATGCTGAAGCAGGATGTCTTCAGTTGGGGATAGGAAGCTGAAACGGACTTCTGGCAGGTCAAGACAACACTCACGACAGCGTCGGTGCTTGCACTCCCAAACTTCGACGAGTAGTTCAAGTTAGAGACAGACGCCTCCGGCAAGGGGGTCGGTGTAGTGCTGATGCAACGACGGTGACCAATTGCCTACTTCAGTAAAGCTTTGACAACAGTGGAAAAAACTGAAGTCGGTTTATGAGCAAGAATTGCTTCCCATAGTGCTTGCAACCTTGAAGTGGAAGCACTACCTGTTGGGAAAAAGATTCGTGATTTACACGAATTAGAGAAACCTGAAGTTCATAAGATAACAGCATCAAGTACTCCCAAAATATCAGAAATGGCTGTGCAAGATTATACTAATTGACTTTGAGGTTAGATTTAAAGCTGGGAGCGAGAACAAAGCCGCAGATGCCTTGTCTCAGGTCCACTTCGACCTTCTCTCACAAGCAACCGAACTAAGCCACCCAGAACTGCTCGACGTACAGATCATCATCGAAGAAAACAGATTCGACTTATTCCTCTCTAAGGTCTTAGAACAACCAGATGACTACCCACATTACTCCGTGCAGTAGGGACAACTATTCTATTGAGGGCGACTCGTCATCTCTGAAAACTCGCGACTCATTCCTCATATACTGCAAGAGTTTCACAGCTTAGTCACCGGAGGGCATTCCAGTTTCCAAAGAACATACCGACGGGTCATGCAAAATGTCCACTAGAGGGGTATGAAAACATGCGCCTAGAAGTTCGTCCCCCAGCTCCGAGGTCTATCAACGGAACAAATCGAAATCTTTCTCTCTCGGCGGCTTCCTCCAGCCCCTCCCAATTCCGACGCAGATATGGGCAGATATCAACATGGACTTTATCGAAGGATTGCCAACATCAGATGGATATAACTCAATCTTGGTCATCGTGGATTGACTAAGTAAATATGTTCACTTCTCAACCCTTCGGCACCCCTTCACAGCAAAAGACGTAGTGTTGACTATCGTTTAAGATCTCGTGTGGCTTCACGGGTTCCCAGAGTCCATCCTTACCGATCAGGACTGTATTTTTATGGCAAAAGATTTTCAAGCTCCATGGCACAACCCTCCGACGAATCAGCTCGTACCACCCTCAAACTGACGGACAGTCGGAAGTGGTTAACCGTAGTCTGGAAACTTACCTGCGATGTTTTGTAGGGGATCGTCCACGACAGTAAAGTCGGTGGCTTCTGTGGGCCGAATTTTTGTTTAACACTAACTACAACTCGTCATCAGGCTTCACCCCATTCAAGATTGTTTACGATCGTGACCCCCCCACATTATTGAGGTATGAATCAGGTACTGCCAAGACGACTGATGTCGACCAACTCCTACGAGATAGAGACTAAACCCTCGCACAGCCCAAGCTCAATCTCCAACGCGCTCAAGCCAGGATGAAGGCACAAGTAGATTGTGGACAACGCGACCTCGAGTTCTAACCAGGGGATGCTGTCTACTCAAACTGCGTCCATGTCGGTAGAAATCCTTGGGTAGGTGACCCTACGGGAAGCTTGCTCCGTGATTTTTTCGGGCCGTACTCCATTCTAAAACGAATTGGAGTAATAGCATAATACAACCTCGACCTGCCAGCCTCTGCAAGAATATATCAATGTTGATGAGGATCTCACCTGGGTCATTCAGCCGGCAGAGGTCTACGTAGAAATGGTGCAGGTGGAAGAAATGAAAACCGTTCGACCCATTTCTCGAGGTTCTTCTTGGCACGATTATTGAGGTGGCTGTGAGTTTGCTATAAATAGAGAGTCACCTCTACTCATTCGTAACAACACAAATCAACCTCCTTCTACTTTTGTTCCACATAAAGTATTTGAGAAAGAGATTCCGAAGAAGATCTCTTGAGCTGGTGAGTGTATCAGAGGGTCAAGATCAAAGATTCGTTCTTTGGAATCTTAGAAGGGTCAAGATTAAAGATTTGTTCTCTAAGTTCTTGAGTAATTCTTTTGTACTATTTTTCGCATCTAGTAGAGCTTTCATCGTCGCCCGTTAAGAAGCCAACCTCCGAACCATGTAAAATCTTTATGTCGGTACTCTTGTTGTAAGTTGTTCTTTCTTTTACCTTACTTTCTATCATGAGCATCGCTTCTGTTAAAGTCTATATTAGACGATTTACTCTAACATAGAGGAGCACATTCAAGTCTAAAAGGCGTCCACGTGGAAAGAGGTCCATCAAATTGTTAGGGCTGAACGATCAAGACAACCTTCTCGAACAGGTAAGACGCTGACATGAGCAGTACACTGTTGGAGTCAAGAGCCATAAACACTACGGAGCCATAGGAGAGGGTGACTCCAACGCCGTGACCAGGAAACGCTTTGCCTTTCTGTACTGCACCCATATTAAAGAACCCTAGACCCAAGAAGAAGGGGGAAGAGGAAGAAGAGTCTCGGAGACCAGCCATCTCAAAGCACCCACTACCCATTTCCCTTCCATCCTCGAGGAACGTCACCTGTAAGTCGACTCTCTTAGTTACATTCACTTCGCAGGAGTTAAAAAGTCTGTAGTATCTCGTTTGACGAACCCGTCTTTCTCTACGACGGTCCAACCGACCCAACATCTATTTCCATCTTATCATCTCAATTAGAATCAATTCCCCTTTCTGTCCACTCTTGGGGCACCCATCAGCCTAGTAACGAGGAACAAGAATACCGTGCGCGCGCGTGTGTGTGTGAGAGAGAAGATGAAATCCTCTTCCTTGATCAATCTACCTACAGGATCTCCAGAAGAGTATAAAATACTCAGTGAAAACTTGAGTACAGGGGAAGAAGCCAATGGTAGATGAAGGGAAATCAGTCAAGGACTGATGAAACGGAAAGTACACACAAACTGACCCAATATGAGGGGGGTCAGCCTCTAGTCTTCTGACTTCTCTCCTGCCCATTTCTCTTGCTGGGGCCTCATATCTGTAGCCATCTTGTGGCTGATTTGATACCTGCCTTTCGGTGGTTTAAGGCGTCCCATCTCCTTTGCTGGTGACGTTTAGCGGCGTTTAGTGCTGGTTTAAGGTCAGGACCTTTGGTGATGGAGATGCCTGTAAAGTCAACGAAATCAAGGAAAGAATCCCACAGAGTTAATTTTTTGGGCTTAAATTTAATCTTACGAAATTCAGGCATGGATGGGTTAGGCTGGTCTGCTCATCGGGCTCGTCAAGCAAAGGTGTAATGAGGGTACTAGTTGTGGAAAGATGTCAACTCAGGTCACAGAGGGGTTGATAGTTGATCGTTGATCGAGTATGTGATCATTGATCATTGACCCATTTATAGACAGTTTGACCATTGAGTGATGGAGACAGTCGAACACGACGGTCGGCCAAAGCTGCCACCAGGCGGCGATCTCATTGTTGCGGTGGAGCTTCCTGACTCCTGCTGTAGAAGCCCTCTGCATTGTCCCATTCTTTCATGGTGTTCCTCCCAACTAAAGATCAGTCTTCTCCACCTCAAGCCCAAACATCAATAAAACATGATAACTCCTTTCTCTCATTAATCAATATTAATATAAGAAGAACAAGTTTTACCAATCAAAGAACTAGTAGTTCACTATGGGCAGGCCAAGCTAGAAGGAAGAAATGGTTGAACCGAACCATTTAAGCTTCAAGGAGGAAACGGCATGCACATTTCCCGAGGTAGCTCAAAGAGGTCTATAAATAGAGGCCACATCTTATAGTGCTAGTGACCATTAAGTACCAAAGAGATTAGGAGAGGGTTTCTAATGGAGAGATCTCTACTTAATAGTAAAGGACTAGTGAGTTCTTTGAGGGCCAAGATTAGATATTTGTATTTTGAGTTTTTGGAGTGCTCTTCTATACTTTACTTCATCTAGTGGAGCTTTTCATTGTCGCTTGTGGACGTAAGAGGTCGACCTCCAAACCACATAAATTATTGTGTCTTCAGTTATGAGTTGTTCATTTTATTTCTTTCTTCCAACTTCAGTGCTAAGTCCATATTAGGCATTTATCTCTAACACATTATTATTGAAATAATGACAATGTAGCTTGTTCCCGCTAAAGAAACTTGGGTGATGCACAACACCATACCACCAGCCTATCACAAGCAGCAATAAATCATGAAAACTCCAATGAGTGGAGATTTCTAAGACAAAGCCAATTTCAATCCTTAGTCCCTCTCAATTGGATCTTGACATGGTTTCCCTAGGTGTAGATCAGTAGGATAATTTTAGACATAGAGATCTTGAGTAGAGGAGAGAAGCTAAGATTGACTTATGACATGACTTAGTTATTATATAGTAAATTATGTAAATTTAAAATTTATAAAACTAAAAATACTAATTTTGGAATATTTAGAAATATTTTTGAATAAATATATTGATTAAATTTTAATAAAAGTTTTAAAAAATAATGATAATTTTCTAAGTCAATCATAGGGATGTAATATAATATCGAGTAATATTTTATTTTTTTTTATAAAAAATATAGTTTTTTTAATAAAATTTAGACTAATAAATAAAAATAAAATATATTTAAAATTTACAAAAAAGGAAAATAAGGAGTGCAAGCGTCAAAATAGCATCACCACTCGATGAACACTAATTGGGTAGAAATAAAGTTTTGTCTGATGATTCTTATGTAAGTGATTATAGACAATTTAATTAGTCAAATTAAGATATCTAAAAGTCAAAAGAATCGTAATTAAATGAAGAGTTGTTTAAAAAATTTAAATCACACAAATTATTTCTAAATAAAATAAAAATTAAGTTGAAAGTAAGAAAAATAGAGTTTTGACGTCACGACGACGATGTATTGACGATGCACCAAAATCATGAGTATTTGGAAGGATTATTGTGTAGTGTCCATGACCTTGAAGGTTTTTCTTGAACAAGGATAATATGGACAATTTCTAGATCTTCTTGTGCAGTTTAGAGATCAATAAAATGAGTCGTGAAATCATCTCTAACGATTGTCACACAACGGAGTAGAAAAATAATGACTTGTGACTTGACAGAGAGGAGTTGAATGGAGGTGAGACGCGTGTCAAGAAACTTCATCGTCAAATTTGCACAATAAGAAGATGCTCTTCATTACATCTGATATACTCTCAAGAGGTGGCGACATGTCTTCTAGTAGATCATCCTCTTCTTGACGACAACTTATTTATTGATCAATTAGAGATGATTTTCTCAATAAATTTGTGATCCTTTTATCGTGAATCATTCAATAATTTTAGTAACAATACTTCATGAATCGTGTTGAGGAGATTTTCACTGATGATCAAGTAATTCCAGTAGCTTAATCTTTCATTAGAAATATGTAGAAAAGTCACGATTTAATTAAAAAAAAAAGAGTTTTGATTCTAGTAAGACTCAAACCCATGTACGTCATTTGATTGCATGAGAGAGAGAGAATAAGTTCTTAAATACCCTTATACAATGGCATCATCATGATATCTCATTGTTATAAATAAGGGGTATTTTTGGTATTAAAATCTTCAAAAATATTCTAAAGAAGGTGTGATCGTTGATTTAGTCCCATGTCGATTATATGCCAATGTAAAGACGCATATATAGTAATGCGAGATTTGGAAATCAATGAGTCTTTTTCTTGTGTGTGTATGATCATTCCTTGCCCCATAGTCGGCTGGCCATTAGTGACATAGAAGGAGAGTGACGCACATGTGTTTTCATCCATCCATAGTTGCTCGAGCCTCTGCTTGCGGCTCCACCTTGACTACGCTTCTAACTCGCTTGCAAGCTCGGTTGGCTAGTAGGTCCCCTCTTTTTTTCATATTTTTATTTCAATTTATTTTTCTCATTTATCTCAAAGATAATATTATAAAAATCATATAAATTCACAAAAAATCACATAATTAGCCCAAAAAATTATATTAATCAATTAAAATTACTTTTCACAATTTAACATAAATATAAGTAAATTTATCTTGAGTTAAGGCTAAAACTATATTATTTATTAATTATTAACTCATGATAATGAAGATTTATCAACTTTCCTCAAATATGTTGATCATTTGTATAAATATTATATGGGCCAATGATCCATATTGATGCTTGCAACACACTTCACCGTCAATTATGAACTATTGTCTCTCACTAGCTTATGGGCTTCTAATTGCTGCTAGTTTACTTTCTTATGTGATGGTCAGATTTTCCTCCATTTGAGACAAAGGTGGCCAAGAGCACTTTATCAACACTCTGTGAGATTTTCACCTTGTTCCACAAGATGAAATTCTAAGAATTATTGATGGATGCTGATGGTCGAATACAATATCATGTAAGAGGTACTTCCATTTGATAAGGATGTCAATCCCATGTGAACCATGTTAGATGGTGAAGACCTATGTAGTTATCTTATATAATAGAGTTCATCTCTTTTTATTATTTAGTTGTAATCACATTCTTTCCTCTCTAAACCTTGAGGGGTAAAGTAGTCAGTGAGCTCTTTACACAAGTGAAGAAATAAATATTTTAAGTAACAATTTAAAATTAATTTATACTTTGGTCACACAATTATCTCTCTATGTATTGAATGGGCTTTATTTTTTTTCACCTACTAGTCCTAAATTTATAAGACCAATTAATTATTATTAGCTATGTGGTTTTATGGGTAAAATAGTTATTAGGCTATTATGTGACAGATATAATTATTGAATATGTCAATTTAAATTTGTTTTATACCAATATCTATCTTATCTCCTAATAATTTATTATTAATATGTTTTCTTCACCATTCTATCTAAAAATTATAATAATAAAATAGTTATTAAGGTCTTTATTTGACTAAGATGGAATGTCTCTCTCTCTCCTTATTGCATAGACTAATTGTAGAGCTGCAAAGGACATTGACCAACTTATAAGAAGGGGGAAGCACTTCTTGTGATGGGTGGTGATCTAGTTTCTGTGTAGATTCAATGGACATGATTTGTCTTTGAGAGGGTTGAGCTTGGAGTAGGAGTCAATCAAGCCTTTTTCTCAATTTGACTATTTCTTACTTTGAATATTTCTTTTCTTGTTGTATAGGACTACCATCTATCCCACCACAGCCCTATTTTTTTATTTTTTATTTTTGCTTGACTTTGTCTGTCTATGCATTCTATAAGAACACCCATTAGATGTTTGGTTCTAATGCTGATGAGAGGCATCCTTTTTTTATTTGGTAGAATAATTTGTTTACTTCTCCAACCCCTCTTTTGCTCTGATATTTTTCTTCGTATCTCTAGTACAAGTAATGGTTTCACTCCATCAATAGGTGATCTACTCTAACAAGTGGTATCAGAGCCTCTAACTCCAAGACCTGTGATGATGCTGAAGACTATTATTGTTTCATCCAAGTTATCAAAGCTTTTTGCAACATCATAGCTACTTTGTTTGATCAAGACAAACTATCATCATTGGTCAATGATGATGGAGTTGTATTTAGAGGCACAAGGATGGTGGGATGCCATTGAAGGTGATGATGTTCATTGGAAAAAGAACATGCATGCATGGTCTGTGATTTTTAGTGCCGTGTTAGAGAATTTCTTGGAAAATCTCAACACCAAGAAGACTACAAACTAAAATTAGGAGGCACTATGCCACATCAATATTGGAGTTGCTCATGTTGTTGGGTCAAGAGTTTAGGGACTCCAATGCAACTTCGAGACCTTTTAAGATTGTGTTAGAGTTAAGGAGTTTGGGTGAATCAATCTTTGGGAAAGAAGTAGTTCGTAAGCTTCTTAGATCCACCCCTTCAATGTCTGATTCCTTGACACTTACCATGGAGCAATATGGAGATTTGAGCAAAATGACACTTAAAGAAGCTATTGGGTTGTTGTTGGTCCGAGAACAAAGGCTTTGTGATCATGAGGCCAGAGAAGAGTAGTAAGCTCTCTTAGCAAGAGCTATGAGGAAGACAAAGCTTAATCTTGGGACAATCATCCAATCCGAGGTCGTGGCCATGACCATGATAGAGGAAGAGGATGAGGCAAATCATTCAAAGCCCATAATGAAGATGAGGAAAGAACTTTTTACAAATCCAAGGTAAAGTGTTTTAATTGTCAAAAGATGAGTCATTTTACTTCCGAGTGTCGCAATAGGAAGAAACAAAAGGAGAAGGATGAGAAGGCAAATCTTGCCGACATCATGAAAAAGAGTGAATTAGTATTGCTCACAACACTTTTTGAGGAACTAAAAACAATTCTTCTCGAAGGCCTAAATGGAGATGTCTCTGCTAGTGACTTGTGGTATCTTGATATGAGTGTCAACAATCACATGACTGGAAAAAAGGACCTCTTTTATCATTTTGATGATTGTAGAACATGGAGAGTAAAATTTAGTGATGGTTCAAGTGTTGACATGTGCGGCGAAAGGTCAATTGTGAAAAAATGTGTCAATGGAGAGAACTTGGAATTAAGGAATGTCTTGTATACACCTAAGCTGCATGTAAATATCTTGAGTCTTGGCCTACTCGATGAGGATTGTTGCAACATGAATTTAGAAAATAGAATTTTGATAATTCATGATTCTAATGGGAAACGTTTAACCAAAGTGTGCAAATCTCATGGCAGGCTATATCAACTAAGTTGAATATAGGGAAAACCTATTGACGGAGGAAGAAGATGAAATGGTTTGACTATGGCATCGATGTTTTAAGTATTTAAATTTCAAGTCATTAATGTCTATGACCAATCAGGTGATTGGAATGCCATCTCTTGAAAAACTTAAAAAGATCTATAGGAGTTGTGTTGTTGAAAAACAGCAAAGAAAGTCCTTTCCCTCCTCATCAAATTTCAAAACCATGAAGCTTGTTGAGATTGTTTATGGAGATATTTGTGGGCCCATTACTCTATCAACCCTTGGAGGGAGTAAGTACTTTTTTCTAATCATTGATGATTTTTCTAGGCTCATGTGAGTTGTCATGTTGAAGAACAAGTCGAATACTTTTCAAGCCTTTAAGAAGTTTAAGGCATTGGCTGAAAACAAATAGGAGATGAAAATAAAGTGATTGAGGACAAATCATGAGGGTGAATTTATTTCAGAAGATTCATGAAGTTTTGTGATAAGCAAGGTATTAAAAGGCAGTTGATGACTTCTTATTCATCACAACAGAATGAAGTTGTGGGAAGAAAAAATAAAATTATCATGTCTATGGTCAAAAGCATGATGAAGGAGAAAAACTTACCATTGGAGCTATGCAGAGAAGTACTGAGCACGTGTTTATATTTTGAACAAATCACCCACGAAAAGTTTGCAAGGTGTAATTCCATATGAAAAATGGACTAGTAAAATGCCTTGTGTTGACCATTTGAAGATATTTGGTTCTATTGTTCATCTTAAAACCACTAGAGAGAGATTGAAAAAGTTAGAAGGTAGATGCAGACCTATGATTTTCATTGGCTATGAGGTTGGCACCAAAGGTTATAGGTGTCTTGATCTTCTAATCATGAAAGTTCATATTAGAAAGGATGTGGTCTTTGAAGAAGGGAGTAAATGGGAATGAAATATAGAGGAAGATACATATGATGAAAATCGATTTCATCCTTCTTAACTCCCTAATTTGGTAGTGACAACTTTGAACATGAGGAGTCAATACCTAGAGAAACGTCCACAAATTTTTTTGAAGAATTCTCTTCTCCAAAAGAGGTGCAAGCAAGGAGATTAAGGTCTATTCAAGATATTTATGAGACTAATCCATTGCCATTTAGCATGGCTGTTTGCTACACTTCTCAAGAAGAACCAATGACTTATCTTGAAGCCTTTAAACATGAAGTGTGGAAGCAGTTAATGAAAGAAGAACTAGAGGCAATAGAGAAGAGTGGTACTTGAGAATTGATCTCTCCACCACCTGGTTGTAGACCCACTGGGCTCAAATGAGTATTCAAGATCAAAAAAAATTCCAGAGGAGAAGTGACACGACACAAGACTCATTTGGTTGTGATGGGGTACACTCAAAGATATGAGATTAGTTAGGAAGAGGTATTTACTCCAGTTGCAAGATTTGAGTCCATTCATATGTTGGTGGCTCTTGCAGCACAAAGTAGATGAGAAATGCATCATTTGGATGTGAAATCTGCTTTCTTGAATGACAAAATCGAGGAGGAGATTTATGTGAAGCAACGAGAAGGCTTCATTGTGAAAGAAAAAGAAAATCATGTGTTCAGATTGAAAAAGACTCTTTATGGGCTGAAGTAGGCACCAAGAGCTTAGTATTTTGGGCTAGATCAATGCTTATCTTCTCTCGATTTTATTAGAAGTGAACATGAGCATGTTGTTTACTTCAAGGTCGACCCACTATGATTTGCTTGCAATTGAAGTGGCTTGTGTTGTGCATGTTGGTTTTCTTTGCATTCTATCTATGAAGGCTCGAAATACCAAAAACTAGGCCGATTAGAGCACATCAAGTTATTTGAGATGAGTGATCTAGGATTACTTAACTCATATGGCTATTGAAGTTATTCAAGGGAGCTCTCATGTTTTTCTAAATTGGAGAACCTATGTATTAAAGATTTTTGAGCAGTGCAAATATGATGGACAATAATTCTATTCACACTCTCATGAAAACATATTTGAGTTTCACAAAGAATAGGCTTGATTCTATAGTAGACTCCACTGTCTATCAAAACGTGATTGAGAGTCTTAGGTATTTGACTCATACTTGACCTGATCTCATATTTAGTGTCGGATTTCTCAGCAGATTTATGGAACATCAGACATTTGAACATATATTAGTAGTGAAGAGAGTTCTTAATACATTAAGGGGACATTGAATTATGGACTTATTTATGATAAAGGTCAAGATGTAGCAAAATTAATTGACTACACCAATAGTGATTTTGCTGGAGATATAGAAGATCGGAGGAGTACCATAAGCCAAGTGTTCTACTTCAGGTTCATGGCAATTAGTTGGACCTCACAGAAGCAAAAGATCGTGTCATTGTTGACTTATGAAATAGAATACATTGCCATCACTGCCACAGCTTGTCAAGGAATCTAGTTGAGTCATTTTATTGCTTAGTTAAAGGGAGAAGAGGTAAAAATAGTTAAGTTAATAGTTGATAATAAATCAGCTATTGATCTAAGTATGAATTAAGTTCATCACAACCAAACTAAAATATGTGAAGACAGAGTAGCAATTGGCAGATGGCTTTACTAAAGCATTGGGAAGGTTGAAGTTTAATGATATGTGTGAGAAGCTAGGACTTAACATTATTAGAGATGAGGAGCAAGATCAAGGAGGAGAACGATGGGTGGTGATCCAGCTCCTCTGCAAATTCAATGGATGAGATTTGTCTTCGAAAAGGTAGAGCTTGGAGTAAGAGCCGATCAGGCCCCTTTTCTCAATTTGACTATTTCTTGCTTTGAATATTTCTTTCTTGTTGTATGAGACTGCCATCTGTCCCACTACGACCTTATTTTTCTATTTTTTTTGCTTGACTGTCTGTCTATGCATTCTATAAGAACGTCTATTAGATGTTTGGTTGTAATGCTAATGAGAAGAATCATTTTTCTTTTGGTAGAATAATCTGTTAGCTTCTCCAGCCCCTCTTTTGCTCTCACGTTTTTCTCCAGATCTCTAGTACAAGTGGGGGTTTCACTCCATCAATAGGTGATCTGCTCCAACATCCTGGACCTCTAGCTGAGCTTCAAACTCTCAAAGTCAGCAGGCGAAGGAGGGGAAGTCCTCCCCGAGGTCGGCTTCGGCCACCTCTGCGACGCTGGGAACCAAGTGCACGTCGGAGCTGAGGACGATGTCCAGGATGCCCAGCTTCTCGCCGCCAAAGAATCTTCTCCTTCGGAAGAAGCCAGCCCTCTCGGAGCTCATCTTCCAGCAGCTTCAGATTCTCCCGGAACTCGCCGACGGCCGCCCTCTGCACCTCGCCGGCCGAGTGTATGACCGCAGTCAACGAGGGAAACATCTGCAGGGACAACGAGAAGTGAGGAGCACGGAAGGGCAATGCCAATAGGCGGTCCCTCGCCAGAGTTCTGGCTGACCTTGTCGGAGCCGAAGTGACACCAAAAGCGAACGGCGGGCCTCTCGCGGGGATCGGCGGGCATCAGCGGGAACCTGCGGGGCCACGTCTCGTCGATGTACTCGAGGATGACGGCCGACTCGGCGATGGGGCGATCGCCGTGCAGGAGGACGGGAACCTTCCGGTGCACAGGGTTGAGGTGGAGGAGGGCGGCGCTCTTGTTGGCCAGATTCTCCTCCACCTACTCGTAGTCCTGGCCCTTGAGCTTGAGAGCGAGCCGGACGCGCTGCACGTAGGGGCTCGCCCACGCGCCGTAGAGCTTGAGCTCCCCTCCGTCCATGGCGGGCAACCTGGTTTGAGCGACGCCTGATGGCTTGCCATGATCGCCGCGTTATAGGCTAACGACGGGCATCCTGCGGGAGAGAAAGAGGTAGAGAGAGGGAGAGAGAGCGCGAGATGGGCTTTCGACACATCCAATCAGATCAAACACGGTACAAATGAAGAGAGATATGGGCTTTTGACACATCCGATCAAATCAAACAAGGTACAAGTGGAGAGAGATATGGGCTTTTGATGCATCCCAACAAGTCAAACAAAGTACAAGTGGAGAAAAATATGGGCTTTTAATGAGCTGTTGCATTTACAAGAAATCGTGATCGCATGCCTACCGCCGCAATAAGTTTTCAACCTCTATATGCAGTACATTAATGGTACATTGTTAAAAAAAGTTTATAATAATAAATTCAAAACCCTAACTTGACAGGCTAAGTATTGGACTTGATTTACTCTCCCACGAATAGCTATGAAATGTTCTTTATACTATATTTTATTAGCATGAAAAAAAATATAAATTTGGATGTGTTACTAGTTTGATAAGGGTTTATGGAAGAAAGATGCATATGATCTGATCAAGAACAATGAAACATATATTTAATTATTAATTCTAAATTCTTTTAGTCAACACCTTCATTATCATGTCACTATAGCTGAGAAGACTCATAACACCAAAAGGCCTTAGAAAGGTCATGTATGAGACCTCCTTAGTAGTTGCTTGACTTATCAATGAGATTTGTTCCTCAAGGATATATAATGTTATAAACTATCTAATGACTTAGACTCACATTAGCGGACATCATATCTTAATGTGGCACATCAGATTATGATTAATGTGGTCAATTATACCTCAATCATGATTTATTCATTGTTAATGTACTAAATCCCTCAAATGAAGACCCATTTTGCTCAAGATGATTAGTAGGCAAATGTCCTCATTTATTTGTCATCACCATCTTCAATGGCACACCTTCGAGGTAAGTGGGCATTGAAAATTTAAAATTTTAACTATCATCTTCCTTGCCTAATGTGTGACATATCAAGTATTTTCTCCTTTTGATCCCCACCACCTACCTCCAAAGAAGAATTGTGTGTGTTGAGACCCATTTCTCATTACTACAGTACCCAACTTGTCTGCACATGAACTACCGACATGCCACAAGATGTCTTGAAATGGACAAGATACGAACATGTGGGCAGCCATATCTAGGTCATTACCCTTCTACCTTTGCCATGGAAGTATCTCTTTAGTCCTTATACAGTATAACATATATTTTACGTGAACTTTCTTGTATAAATCCCATTATGTGTAGCCAAATCTCCAATTTATATATCTTAGAAAGATGCATGATATGGTTTTATTATCAAGTTTTCTCTTCAGATTCTCTAGATACATGTAAGCAAAGGCCTTACACCTTAGAAATTTTTTAGTAACTTAAACTCAATTATCTAATATGCAAACAAGATTGATTTTTTTTCCTACTAGAGTGGAGAAAAGTATACTAAGATTGAGGGCATCAAAGTAATATTACATATTAATCCTTTTAGTGTCAAAGAAATTTAGGTCAACTTTACATCGTAAGACCTTGTTGTCCTTCAAGAATCTCCGAAATTTGGCTTCAAAGACTAATAGAGAGATAAGGTTCCAATTGGGAGTACCCTTGCGACCGACCCAACTAGGACAATGGGTTCCTCATGACCAACTTAATTAGGAGCAAAGGGGTCCTCATGACCAACTCAATTGAGGCGAAAGGGTCCTCAAGACCAACCCTATTAGGAGCAATGGGTCCTCACAACTAGCCCCTACTAAGAGCATGGGAACCTCATGACCAACCCTATTGGGGTGACGGGTCCTCATGACCAACCCTACTAGGGCGATTAGGCCTTCTCAATTAGCAGCAGGTAGCAAAGCCTCAATGAAGGTAATGTATTCTTCAACCTCTAATGATGTTGTGATGGAATTTTAAATGCCTTAAAAATAGAAAAAAAAATCAAGTGAAATAATGACAAGATTAATTAAGGAAGAGCCCGCTGATAGTAAATGAAATCTTCAGCTTCTAGGCAGGTGCGTTGACTTCAAGATCTCTAGTGGCCCTTTGGGCCCAAAGTTGTTTGGGCTGAGGTTGAGTCCTCTGGTGGGCCAGCTAAGTTTGTATCGGCCCCACCTCCTACATCATTTTTACAGATGATAGCTGCAGCTTTTTCACTGTAAACCTACGGCCAAAGCATGCCTTTGATGTGGTTGGCCTAAAGAGGAAAGAAAATGACATCCAGAAGATGATGTCAGGTGGCCGATCAGTCCAACACGCTAGTCGGCCAAAGCTGCTGCCAGGTGGTGATCTCGTCATCAGGTGGAGCGTCTTAGCCTCTACCATAGAAGCCCTCTGTCTCATTTCCGTTTTTCTAGTGTTCTTTCTGACTAAGGATTGCTCTTCTCCACCACGAGCCAAGACTGAGAGCTCCTTCCTCTCATCAATCAATTTGAATCCAGAGGGATAGGTTTTGCCGCTGTAGGAACCTAGGTGACCCACGACGCCGTACCACCAGCCTGCAGCAGACTAATATAAATCATGAAAACTCCATTGATTGGAGATTTCTAAGACAAAAGCTAGTTCGATCCTTAGTCCCACTCCACTAGATCTTGAATTGGTCCTCCCCAAGTACAAATCAGCAAGGTAATCGGAGACGTGAAAATCTTGAGCAAAGGACCAAAACTAAGATTGACTTCCCTCAAAGACATTGATTATTTTTATAACATTTAGTGGGCCGATGATCTATACTGACACTCTGATCACCTCTTATCATTAGTTACGAGTCTCTGGTAACTAATTTAATTATCATTACTTGTAATTTAGGGGTAAATTATCATTAACCTTTTGACTCGACAAATAAAATAAATTATCTAATATAATAATTTATAATTGATTTATACCAGTCCCTAGTAACACAATCCACTCTCTGTCTCTCTCCTCATTCTTCTCTCCTTATTGCACGGACTGACTGGAGAGTTTACAGAAGTCGCCGTCTTCCTAAGCTTGTGCCAAAATCCTTCGGCGGTAGCCGCGGAGGAAGTCGACTATCGTATCGGAAGGGGGAAGCACTTCCTGGACCTCCGGCTGAGCTTCGAACTCTCGAAGCCAGCTGGTGAAGGAGGGGAAGTCCTCCCCGAGGTCGACTTCGGCCACCTCTGTGACGCCGCGGAGGAAGTGCGCGTCGACGCCGAGGACGATGTCCAGGAAACCCAGCTTCTCACAGCCGAAGAATCTCCTCCCTCGGAAGAAGCCCTCTCGGAGCTCATCTTCCAGCAGCTCCAGATTCTCCCGGACCTCGCCGACGGCCGCCGCCCTCTGCGCCTCGTCGGCCGAGCGCAGGATCGCAATCAACGAGGGAATCATCTGCAGAGGCAACGAGAGGTGAGGAGCACGGAAGGGCAATGCCAAGAGGCGGTCCCTCGCCGGAGTTCTGGCTGACCTTGTCGGCGGCGAAGTGGCACCAAAAGCGAACGGCGGCCCTCTCGCGGGGATCGGCGGGCATCAGCGGGAACCTGCGGGGCCACGTCTCGTCGATGTACTCGAGGATGGCGGCCGACTCGGCGATGGGGCGGTCGCCGTGGAGGAGGACGGGAACCTTCCGGTGCACAGGGTTGAGGCGGAGGAGGGCGGCGCTCTTGTTGGCCAGGTTCTCCTCCACGTAATCGTAGTCCAGGCCCTTGAGCTTGAGGGCGAGCCGGACGTGCAGCACGTAGGGGCTCGCCCACGCGCCGTAGAGCTTGAGCTCCCCTCTGTCCATGTCGGGCAGCCTGGTTTGAGCGACGCCGGATGTGTCTCCATGATCGCCACTTTCTAGGCGGTGGTAGTTCCTATCTTGTTGCCCAAGCAATTGATGACTAGTAATTTCCTCGCCTTTGACTTGAAAATAGACCCTTTAGTTGTAGAATAGTCTGATGGAGAGCAGGAACAAGAATGCTGCACGCACGAGAGCGAGAGAAGATGAAATCCTCTTTGAGTTTAGCGTGGCTTCCACATTAACGAGGCATTAACAAGGCTGCCACTTATTGCCCCAATAGTTGCCACATTAAATGCTCACGTTTAATGCAGAGAGGAGAAACAAGTGCGAGGGATAAATGGTCAGTCGGAAGACCGATTTTCACAAACTCAACGACGCATTTATGGGCTGAGCAGCCCCATTCTACCTTTGTTTCACGAGAGATAGAGAGTGTTTGGGAGAGAGCTTTTGGTGCAAATCTAATCACCTCAATTTGAGATGAAAATCAATTCTCTATTGGTAGAAAAAAAGTTATCTATTAAGCGGAGAAACTATATTAAGAAACAAAACTATTATGTTCTTATTCTTGAAATAATGGACTAATAGGGTCAAGAGATGAAGATCTCTTGGGTTGGTGAATGCATCGTAGAGCTAAGATCAAATATCTGTTCTTTGGGATCTTAGAAGGGTCAAGAATAGGGATTTGTTCTCTGGGTTCTTGAGTGATTCTCTTATATTACTTTTTGCATCTAGAAGAGTTTTCGTTGTCGCCCGTGGACGGAGGTCAACCTCTGAATCAAGTAAAATCTTTATGTTGGAACTCTTGTTGTGAGTTATTTTTTTTCTACGTTACTTCGCGTTGTGAGTATCACTTCCACTGAAGTCCATATACGATGTACTGCTCTAAAAAATTAATATCATAGCAAGATTTTAGCATTAGTTTTTATGTTCATTGTTGATGGCAGTCAAGATTACATCATCAATAAAGTTTGACGTAGAAGTGTTCGATGGAAAGACGAAAGATTTCAACATTTGATGACTTAAAGATGAAGTCGTTGTTGATACATCAAGGGTTAAGCAAGGCATGATGGGCAAAGAAAGCTTATTGACTGAGTAGAACGACGATGAGAAGGAAGAGTACTTGGAGCATGCTCTAGCCACAATTCGTCTAAGCTTGGTGGATGTTGTGTTATGAGAAGTATCAATGAAGATACTTCATAATAGCTTTGGGCTAAACTTGAGAAGAAGTTTATGATAACATCACTCACAAGTCAGTTATATTTGAAACATAAATTATATACTTGACGTTTGAGAGAAGGTACACTTGTTATTGATTATCTAAATAAGTTCACAAAGACTATTATAGATCTAAAGAACATTGGTGTTGAAATAGAGGATGAAGATGAATCCATATTGCTCTTGTGTTCTTTACCTCTTTTGTATGAGAATTTTGTGAAAACTTTTATATTTGGTGAACATAATTGATGAGTCTTTATTATCATGAGTTAATAATTAGTAAATAATATATTTTTAGCCTTAAATCATGATACATAGACTTATATTCTTGTTAAATTGTGAAAATTGATTTTCAGTTGATTAACATGATTTTTTTGGCCAATTATGTAATTTTTTATGAATTTATATGATTTTTATAGTCCTATTTTTGAGATAAACAAAGAAAAAGAAATTAAAATAAAAATATACCAAAATGGGGGGACCCACCAGTCAGCAGGGCTCTCAAGTGAGTCAGAAGCACAGCAAGGGGAGCCGCGAGTAAGGGCTTGAGCAGCTAGGACCGATGAGGACACGTGTGCGCCACTCCCCTTCCAGGTCACCCACTCCCCTTCCACATCACCAATAGTCAACCAGTTGTGAGACAAGAAGTGGTCGTACATGAGATAGTAAGTAACTCATTGTTTACAAATGTGATATTACTATATATTCATCCAAAACTTCAGCACACAAGTGATGTGGGACTAAACCCACATCACAATTTCTCACAAAAGACTTTGAAGATTTTAATACCTAAACTACCCCTTAGTTATAATATAAATTACTATGATGATGTCACTTGATAAAGGTATTAAAATATTTATTTCAATCTCTCTCAAACATGTAGTCAACTTACGTAGGTTTGAATCCTCTTAGAGCTAAAACTCATATTTTTATCTGATTATTACGACTTTCTTACTGATCGCCGATGAAGAATTAAGTTGTTAGAATCACTAAATCATCAACAAAAATTTTGTCAATATGATTTGCAGAGTATTGTTACTAAAATTGTTGAATAATTTGTAATAAAAAGATCGCAAATCTATCGAGTAAATCATCATTGATTGATTGACGAACAAGTTGTCATTAGGAAGAAGACGATCTATCAAGAGACGAGTCACCATCTTCTAAAAACATACTAGATGTGATGAAGAGCCTCTTCTTACTGTGTGATCTTGAGGATGAAACTCCTTAACACACGCCTCACCTCTATTCAACTCCTCTCTATTGAGTGATAGTTATTAGAGAGCCGCAAAGTTGTCATTTTTTTGCTTTGTCGGGTGACTGTCTTTGGAGATGATTTATCCTTCAAATCATAGATACTGCACGATGATCCTCTCGAACACTCAAGATTTCAATATATCATTGACACATTACTGCTGCGACGTCGAAACTTTATTTTTATACTTTCAACTTAATTTGTCTTCATTTAATGATAATTTATGTAATTTCAATTTACTAAATTATATTTTATTCAATTATGATTCTTTCGGCTTTTATAGATCTTAATTTGATTAATTAAATCATTTGTAATCGCTTACGTAAGAATAATTGGGTGGAACTCTATTTCTGTCTAATTTACGTTCGACGGGTGCTGACATCATCTTGACATCCACACCCTTATTTCTCTTTTTTATAAAATTTTAATATATTTTATTTTTATTTTTTACTATATAGTTCATAAAAAATCATATTCTTTAAAAAAAATTAAAAAATTACCCAATATTATATTACATTTTTGTGATCAACTTGAAAATTTATTATTATTTTTGAAAGTTTTATTGAATTATAATTGATATATTTATTCAGAAATACTTCAAAATATATGAAAATGAGTTTTTTCTAATTTTATAAATTTTAAGTTTACATGATTTACTATATAACGACTAAGTCATGTCAATGATATTATAGTAGAAGATATCAAGACTACACTTAACTCAAAGGAGTTGAAGAAAAAGATGCAAGATAGTCAAGAAGATGATCAAGCCGACGGCGTAATAGTTCAAGGAAGAACAAAAAAAGAGCATGATTAAAGAAGCATATCAAGATTGAAATTCAAATCAGCAAAGAAGTTTCATTGTTAAGAGTGTAATTAGAAAGAGAACATCAAGAAAAATTATTCAAAGTTAAAGAGAAAAGGAAGGAGGAATCTTTTGATATGGTTAATATCATTTAAGAGGAGATTGACCTTGGTGAAATTATTTTGTCAGTTTCTACTAGATTTTCTAATGATGACTAGATTCTTAATACAAGATGTACATATCATATGTGTCCTCACAAGGACTGATTTTCTACTTACACATTGGTAAGTAGTGGTATTGTGACATTGGATTATGACAACACTATTGATGTTGCAGGAATTGGTACAATACGGATATCAAGATGTACGACAATCACATCTTGACTTTGGAAATGAAACATATTCTAAAGTTGAAGAAAAAATTTATTTCTTTAAGTACTTTGGATAAGCAAAGATACAAATATTTTTCAGAGAATGATATTCTATGAGTTTCTAAAGGTGTTGTACTTTTGATAAGATGGTTGGAACTCTTTATCATCTATTTAGACATATTATTACAAATAGTGTGAATGTGACTGAAGATTCAGATATTTCTATTCAATTATGGCACATGAGGTTGGGCCATATGAGTGAGTGAGGTATGATGGAGCTAAGCAAATGACAGAGCTAAGCAAATGCGTTTAACAAATAGTGTAGAGTGAGGTTTAGTAATGCAGCCCATCAAATCAAGGGTACAATAGATTACATCCACTCTAATCTTTGGGGTCCTACTCTAGTTATCTCATAGGGCGGTACAAGTTATATATTGACCTTTATTGGTGATTTTTCCAAGAAAATATAAGTTTATTTTCTCAAGAAGAAGAGAAAGTATGGTGGTCAGTTATCTTTGAGGTTGACTTCCCTCATAGACATTTATTATTTTTATAACATTCAACGGGCAGATGATCCATACTGATGCTTCAATCACCTCTCGTCGTCAGTTATGAACTGTTGTCTCTCACTGCATAGTGGGCTTCCAATCGCTGCTAGTTGACTTTCTCATATAGTGGTCAAATTTGCCTCCAATCTAGATGAAGGTGGTCACAAGGTGAAATTCTATGAATTATTGACGGATATTCATGGTAGACTACCATATCATGTCACATGTCCTTCCATTTGATAAGGACCTCAATCCTATGTGAGCTGTGTTGGATGGGAGGACCTTTGCAGTTATCTTATATTAGATTGCATTTCTTTTTATTATTAAGTTGTAATTACATTCTCTCCTCTCCAAACCTTGAAAGGTAAAGTAGGCATTGAGCTCTTTACACAACTCAAGAAATATTTATTTAATGTACCAATTTAAAATTGATTTATACTTTGGCCGTAGAATTATCTCTTTATTGAATGGGCTTTGTTTTCTTCACCTTCCAATCTTAAATTTATAATAATAAAATAATAATTATTAGTTATGTGGTTTTAGGGGTAAAGTAGTCATTGAACTATTTATGAGACAGATATAATTAATGAATATCTTAATTTATTTTTTTATACCAATATCTGTCTTCTCTCCTTATAATTGATTATTACTAACTTATTTTCTTCACCATCCGATCTGTAAATTATAATAATAAAATAGTCATTAAGGTCTTTACTCGATCGAGATGGAACGTCCAATAGTAGATTAATTAATACTAAAACTGATTTATACATGTCGTAACATAATCCACTGTTTCTCTCTCTCTCCTTTCCC